ATTAATAGAAAATACAAAGAAATAGCTCATCTATACTGAGCATGGGTGATAAACAAGAACAGCTAAATGACAGCCAAATACAAGAAAGAAGACAGGTTTGGTAATCATTGCAATCAACAGAACAAGCTTATTTGCAGAGGAAAGAAGTGTAATGGTTTCAGATCTTCTAAAAAAAGCATTTCCTTTAAAAAAGTAGAAAGAAAAGCAATGTGATGCTGATGATTTGAAACATGTTTATGCAGTATATAATAACCTAAAACTGAATGTGAGGCGAAAGGAAAACAAAGTACCTCAAGAAGAGTTGTTTCACTTAAATTTTTCATCCTTCCTCACAGGGTTTTGAAAAATCTCGGTGAGATCCGTGTGTTCAAAGCCTGAGCCTCCAGCCCTCGGACTGAGACTGCAATGCTGCAGTCTCTGCAGCCATCTTGTGGGGATTCTGGGCATGTTCACTGTTCAGTGACTTGCTGCTAACAGCCAGCTTGCAAGTTCTATTTCCTCACCTCGGCAAATTGTGGCTGAGTCAGAATGAACAGAGTCTTGTGGCGTGCCATTTCTCCCCCTAATCACCCCAGGGATGCACTGCTCTGGGGCTGAGTGCAATTTCCACACCTCAGCCCTGCACAGGACCCCATGAGCTGCCATGGGCTGACCAGGAAGAGTTTGGTGCTGTGGAGCTGAAAGCCTGTGGCATGATGAATCCTCAGCTTCATAGAAAGCTCCATACACTGTTTTGTTGCAGAGCTGTTGTCAGAGTCACTGCAGGCTTCCTTAAGGAGCTTTGGAAGGACAACTACTTAACAGCTTTAATAGCATTACAGGCAGGCTGAAAGGCAGTCCATTTTATGCTTCCATCAACTAGATGCTTTCTATTTTCCCGTTCTCTGTGATTATACCCTGACTTCCTATCCTGCCAACTCAACCAGCTAAATTCAACTTGGGGATGGTATTTCCTTTCTTTCCATAAGTGCTTTACTCTCCTCCCCTCCGTTCTTTCTTGGCACTTTGTTCTGCAAACCGGCAAAACAAAGGATGCTCACTTAGTAGAAATAGCATTCATTTCCCTGAGGGTTTTGTGTATTCAGCTCATAGAAAGGCAGAGACCAAAGAAGTTTACTTTGGAAACAGATTGGTATTGATCAACACTATCAAGGGCATGTAGGTGCAGATTATTCAATTAATGAATTCTTCTCTAAGAAATATCATACAAGGAATATCATTTTTCTTCAAATTCCTTAAGAGAACCTCCTCAACATCTCTAGCAAGCTGACCTACTGCTATTCTCCTTCTTGCCTCTTCTCCTGAGTAGCAGTGATAGGGTGAGAGGTAATGGCCTCAAGTTGCACGAGGAGAGGATCAGGTTGGATATTAGAAAGAATTCATTCAGAGAAAGAGTGATGCTGCATTGGCACAGGCTGCCCAAGGAGGTAGTGGGGTCACTGTTCCTGGAGGTGTTTAAGAACTCCAAGAATGTGACACTGAGGGTTCAGTGGGAAATGTTAGTAGTAGGTGGAAGGTTCATCTTAGATGTCTTTTCTAACTATAATGATTCTATGATTTGTGCTGGTGGTGTTCAGATTTCCATCCTCAGTTTTATCTCTTTATTTCCTTCAATGATAGGGAGAGTGGAAATGGTTTCCTGGTGGTGGCTCATGCCTTTATTCTAAATATACCCCTTATTTATCACTGGGAGATTCTTGCACTGGAAATCAAGATTCTGTGCACAGTCTTGGGAGGCTATGGCAAAAGACTGCCACAAGAATATCTTGACCAGAAAATCATGGAGAGATGGGTAATTGGAGAGGCTCCACCCTTTGCTTCCTTCTTGGGTTCATCCTGACTTTGGTCCACCACTGAGGGTAGCACTGTTGGCTATGATTCAGAAAGTACAGAGAAAAGAATTAAAATGAAAGAAACTGTCTTGCTATTTGAACAGGAAATTGCAGTTTATTGTTGCATTCATTTAAATGCTCAGTGACAATTACTCTCTACAGATGATCTTGCAGTGAAAAGGATTAAAACAGCCAAACCATCTACCTTTGGGGAAAAAAGCAACATAAATTGATTTAAGCAGTTGTCAAACAGATCTGAGATGTGGGATAGGATTTGAGAGCTGAATCAAAGCTTAATTACCAAGAATCTAATAATTATTGACATGGTTATTTGGGTTTTGACAGATGTTTATTACTGAAATAAAATCTTCAGGCACCTCCATGATTCCCTGTAACTTCTGCTCCTAGGAACCTCTCAATAATTTGTCTTAATTGATAATTCATCTTCATATTTGCTGAAACATTGATGTCTCATGAGCTACCAGTGAATCTCACAGCTAATGCGATTTTAGATATTCTGATATCCAGACTTTCTGGCATGTTTAGAGATGACAACATGCTATTTATCATAATGGTCTCACAAAGGAGTTGTTTTTAGATTGGTTTGGATATGTCGTTCTGAGTTGTAACATCCTGAAAGCTAATAATCATAGGATAACAGGATTGTCTGAGTTGGTAGGGACCCTTCAAGGCCATCTGGTCCAACTCCCCTGCACTGATGAACAGGGACTCCTACAGATGATCAGCCTGACCTGCAGTGTCTGCAGGGATGGGGCACCCAGCACCTCTCTGAACAACCTGTGCCAGTGCCTCGCCACCCTTATTGTAAGAAACTTCTTCCTTATTTCCAGAACTGAGCTCCAGCATCAGGTCTTACATGATGCATGTCACACTTGTTCTTCCTGTTGCTGCTTGGTAGCTGATTAATTGCTGCATTTCCCAATTTTATAACATCTTACCTTGTAGGTGCTTCCCCTAATCAGGAGACAAATACTTCAGGAATTGTTTTGATGCCATTTCTTTCCTTTCTTGAAATTCTTGCTGGGTTCTGTGCACTGGACGGGGTGAGAATGCATTGTCAGTAATAGATGAGTAAGAGTCTTCTTCTAAAATGCAGATTTGTCATCCAGTGGCATCAGCCATACCCTTTCAGGTATTCTTGACTCCTGACTGATCTACAACAAATCATATTAATGCTAAACATTCCAGGAAATGATTGCTTGTCATCTCAAATGATAGAATCTTGATTTGCTACATTCAGCTCAGATTCCAATTGTTTTGTCTCTGTGTATGTCTATGGAATATTCTATTGGCTCTTTTTCCTTAGAGAGGTGTAGATTCCTAATCTCATTGATCTGGTTTCTATATATTAGGTCATGTTACAAATTCCAAATCAGATTAAAACAAAATCGGATTAGCTTCTTGTTCTTAAACAGAGCAGCTTAAATGTCTGGACCTTGTAGTTGGAAACATATATTTTGCATTATTTATCTATTCCAATGTCCACTTGATATTTGATCTATCATTTCCTTTCAATAAGTTTTTCCACAGTATGTAAACAGTGAATTAAAATAGCAGCCAAGAAAGGAGTTTTCAGAAAGGTGCTCTGCCAGTTGAAATGATTTTTATTCTCCCATTTTATAAATATTTCATTTACCTTCCTCAGAATCGTCTGTGAACGTGGCATATAATGTGGTCTGGATTCCTGGCTGATTTTGTGTTCTGGCATTTACAATATGTTCATTGTATTATTCATCATTGCAAGAAGAATTGTTTTCTATGACAGTCAGACAACAGAGTCACATTACGTATTTCTAGGAAATGTGAAAAACACATTACTCATCTGAACCAGATACTTCTTTTTGTTCCAAAAACATTTATTATGAGAACTTTACCTTTCCACAGATGATGTTTTTTAGAATTTTTTTTTTAGAATTTTCTTCAGGTAGGAGTGTGTAAAGACTTTGAAGGAAGCTGCACTGTGTTCCCACCTTTTCAGCTACAGGGGTATAATAGGAAGTGGAATTCTCATTCTATAGAAATGGTGATAATATTCTCAAGTTCTTTACAATGGGTCTCCTTGGTCCCACTACAGCATTTTCAAAGTCTTTGGAGAGCGCTGAAAAAAACCTACTGAAAGCCTTCAACATACTTTGAATCAGAGCCTAAGTATCCAATCATTTGGCTTTCCCATTGATATGTGTTAATAATCTCTCTAGACATCTACAGATACTCAGTAGTTAGCAGAGCATGGAATATTTATGCTGAGGAAGAATATAAAGTAAATACAAGGTATTCAAATAATGAAAGCATCCTGAATGTTACAAACTTCAGGTGTTTTGTTTTTTTTTTTTCCCCCTAATTAATTATTCACCATTTCTTTTTTGAATTTGAGAGATAACCTTTAAGTTTTAAATATTGATCTGGATTTCTTGTAGGGGTTTAATTGTTTATTGACTTCCACATTAACTTCATGTGAATTTAGTATTCCTGGTGTTCTCTTAGATTCCCATCATTGCATCTCAGTGTGCAGTTCAAGTAGATGTAGTTGTTTATCAGCTAGAAACATCATAAGTGCAATGCAAGTAAGTTACAGGAAAAGCAGAAGGAATAGCATCAGTAAAGTCTATGAGAGCCAAGGCCATTGCTATAGGATGGACATCTAGATCCGAATTACACCGATTTAGTTCAATAGCCATGATTGTCAGCGTCTGATAATGACAAGGAACCAAGCTGACCACACGGTGGAGCCTTCTGCTCTCTCTGCAAGAAGCGTGCAGCTCTGACTGCCGGATTCCTTCGGACAAGAGGGAGATACCAAGTCCTCTAAGTTTCCCCCTGAAACTCCGTTCTTTACTTGGGGTTTTGTCCCTGTCTGTGTAGCGAGAAGTGAGTCCACAGGCTGTTTTTTCAGCTCTGGAGACTACATTTAAATGTGAAGTTACCAGTGCACTTAATTCAGACCAACAAATTCCAGCATGACGGTTGTGCTTAGCCTACTGGTGCATACAGATGTAGGGGTCCTGGGTCTATTTTTTATAGCCAGGCACATCAACTTCAGATACATGCCATTACATTTACAAACAGTAGCAGCACACCATCCTCACCCTGTTTCTTCACTGGGTTTCTGCCTGTACAAAGCACATTATATACTTTGCTTTCTTTCAGACTCATTTTGTATAGCATTTGACTTGGACCACATTGAAGGGAAAGACTCAGGAGCAGCAGCAGATGCAGGAACAATAATAAATTGCTAATCTGTCCTCATTAACAAAGAAGTCCTTCCAGAGTGGATATTAAGACAAAGAGCTTTTGGCATTTGTGCAGACTTAAGTGAACATCTGTTTTTCTGATGTCGGAAGATTCATTGTGCGATAATGGAAGCAAAGCCTCAAAGGAAAATCCTTTTGCTGATAAAAGTAAGACTTTTTTTTTGTTAATTACTTTTAAAGAACTAACTCTGGCTTATGTTCTTTTTCGTTTTTTTTTTTTTTTAAGATTACTTTTGTTGTTTATATTATCTCACTCTCTCTCTCTCTCTTGCTTTAAATTAGAATGCAAATTTCAGGGTCTAAATGTACGTACAAATTGCACACACTGAACTAAATAACTCCCTAACCTGGAGTTGGTTCAGCTTAGTTCTTTAGGTATTTAAACCAGTTACCAAAACTTAATCTTAGTTACAGCTAAGACGATTTAGGAGTATATAAAGAAATTGCACTTATGTAAATTGAAACTGAAAAAAAAAAAGTTTCAATTCCTTTTATACAATTTCTGTGTTTTCATCTTGTATATATTCTTGAATTATAAAGAGAACTGGATATCTTAAGACTTTAAGAACATAGGCTTTTTAAAAAATATGTGAAAATGAATTTTTGTGAATACAGGAGGACTTCATGATCACACCATCATAAGGAAAAGGGGAAGGAGAGCAAAACATGAAGCTGATCACTCTACTTCTGCTGTGCAACATCAATGAAAAACTAAATAATAATAGATTGTGATCCACAGTCCTTTCACCAAGGCTTAAATTGCTTTGCACAAGCTGAGCCTTGGAGTCTGCCTATGTGCATCTGTAGAGAACGTATCGCATAGTATGTAATTTAGCTAAGCCTATACTGTCTATGAAGGGGCTTTTTCAAAACATTTCACCTACTGAACATATAAAAATACCATTGGAGCAGTGAATGCAATAGATAAACTTAAGAAAAATGGCATTTTTAATGTGTGCTGGCAGGGAGGAAAAATCACAACCACCGAGAGAGTCTTTACACTCACTCCACCTCCATAATAAGCACATCAATATTTAATTAAGTAGCAGCGTATGGAACAGGTTTGTGCATCGTGAGGTCCTTGGGGGAAAAGATTATTTGGGATTATTTGAAACAGAGATTCCAACTATATTATAACCTTTTTTGCATTGTTTTTATTGTTCGTTTGCAGTGAAGACTCCCCATATCCAAACATGCCAAAATCCCAAGACTTTTATCCTGTAAGAAATGAATTAAGAAAACATCTCCCCTTAAAAATGTGACAGTTTTCTGTGCTCCCGTCTAGAAAGAAGGTTACAAACATTTAATGCAAAGGCTGTGGGCCTGATTTATCATCTGCTGAAGTCAAGGGCAAATATGTGATTTTGTTCATTATAGTACCTTTCATCTGCTCAGCTCAATCACATCAGAGCATTCAAAAGCTCTGTAGCTGTGTCTTTTCCTTTTGAGAATAAAAAGCTATTATGAGAAAAGTTGTTATGTTGAAAAACTGGTACTAATGGAATTAAATGTCCAGGTTAACCTTAGTAGAAATGTTTTCATTGAGATAACTCAATTTAATATGACATAATAGAATTTTGTAGTATATGTTAAAACCCAAATGAAGATGTGTAAAAGTAAAGAATGAAAGTCCCTTAGAGAAACTTGCTTAAAGCTGATTGTTTGAAATTGCAATAACCTTATAACCCCTTGTTCCTGTGATGAGATAATGATACAATTCTGAAGCAGGTGACTTAGTGATGTATGCTGCACTCAGATCCTTCCTACCTGGTGAGATTTATTGAAAGCTGACTGCTGAACTCTGTTCTATGCCTCATGCTATCTATCTATCTTGGAGATGTTGAATGCTATAATTACATTTTGCTTCATTTCCTGTATAATGTATGTGAAAACTCTTCCATGGTAGGAAAGTACAAAGTCCAGGTAACAAGACTATGACAATGTATATGATTTGATGGTTGTTGAGATTGCAGCTAGAACTGCCCATGACTCAACTACTTCCAAGGTCAACCAACACAAGTGAGCTCAAGCAGCACGGCACTTTGGAGGCTGTGTAAAACAAAAATGCTTTGCTATGTTTAATCAACATCAATCTTAACACCATTATACCTATAAACTGAGGTGTGTCTAAGGGTCAAGAAAGGAGAAATGATGAATCTGGTTGGGTTACGATGACATTTAGCCTGTAGCATGCTGCCTTTGTGTAAAGATACTAAGAATGGTTTTGTGCCAGGGCATAATGTTCTGAAGTCTCCAAAGCTTTGGTATTTTGTTTTATTATGCTTTCCAAGATTCCTTTTTGGCAGCGATACTAGGTGTATGTATACGTCGGTTTTTTTAAGTAATATATTTCTTAATGCCACATATGATTTATTTTTTTTTCCTTAGAAAACTTTTCTAAATAAATCATTAGGCTACCAGTTCCTCTCATCACCAGCCAGGTCTAAATTACATCTAGAGATAATCAGCTAGATTTGTTTCCCAGGCAAAGGATGTTTTATGTCTTCATTATGTACCGTTGAGATGGTTTGTGGACTTGGCATAGGTAGAATTTCTGAATCCAGGCTTAATGTCACAAAGTCTGTATATTCTGGCTGCCTTTCCTTGTATTTTCACCATATGCTTCATTTGCTGAGAAACAGAAATGGGCCACAAGGCCATTACAAATGAGCATGTTGGCCACTGAAAGCTGTGGGTGATTTGCATGTTTTGCTTATGCTTCCTATGACATAAATCCACCATAATGTGGAGAGGGATGAGCGCTCCCAGCTCTGTTCATCCTACTGGTTCGTTCTCATCACCTCTCCTGCAACTCACAGTAAGAATTGTGCTGCTGAATGGTGGCTGAATCAAAGAACTGATCTGCTGAAAGCTACTCTGAGAGGTGGAGGCTGAGACGGGATTCTCAGAAGAATTATGAAGAGGTGCTGAATTGGGATTTTTCCTTGGGCAGATGATTATCATTTGCTAGTACATACAGGATATCTAAAATGACCTTCTAGGTGATTTGGCAATAGAATTAATAACATTCCTTATGCAATAAGTTTAAATTACCTATCTCTGAGGGGCCAGGAGAAGGTGCTCCAAAGCCCTTGTGCTTGCTGAAAAACTGCTCTGTTTCAGGTCTCCCTGCTTGAAGAAGGGAAGAGCTTCATCCCATTGCAAAGGAATGCAAAATTGAATGTTAGAAATGGTGCAAAACCGTATTCTAATGTTTAGAGGACAATGAAAACCAGATTGAACTGAAACAAAATTTCTGCATGTCAAACATTGACAGTTCTTCATGTCTTCATCTTGGGCAAAATGAGATAATCTAATGGAAAAATATGTTTCCCAAAGACTTTTAGAAGCAATTGGGCAAATGCAAGGTTTTCATCTCAATCAAACAAAACAAAACAACAACAAAAAAACCAAACCAACAACCTGACTATTCAGTTACTTTTTGAACTACTTTTCCTCTCTCCTGAAATGTGATTTCTTTTAATTATTATTATTATTTTAAATGTTCTAAAATTGTCTTCTGTATTTTCAGTGACTCCCAAGGTCTGGCTTATAATGACTCACGTAAGCCTGGAAAATAATTTAGTTACAGTGCTTTCAGAAAGGTCTCTGGTGAAATGAATATGTCTGTAGGATGCACGTCATACTCCTGGTTAGACAAAGCTGCACAAAGTCCAGATTCCCTCATCGAAGGAATTGCTGCATTCTACTGCACCTGAAAAGTAAGTTTTCTTAGTTCCTAGTGACTGACTTTTTTGCTACTTGAAAGTAGAAAGCTGTAAATTAGAGGTGCAGTGCCAGGCAGAGAGGGGCTGTGCTGCAGACCACGTGCATCTCTTGCATTGGCTGTAAAAGCTGATGGGTTGTGCTTTACCCTACCATGGGTCCTGAGTGTGGCTGATCCCTCTGTCCTCAGACATTCTTAGGCTGTAAAATACACATGTAAGCATTTGCCTGATTTTGTTCTTGACAGTTTCTTGAATTTGATTTACGCTGCTGTGGTTTGTACTGTCACCAAAATGTATATTTTAGAAGTCATGCCTGATCACCCAATGAATAAAAATAGTCCTATTATGATGATGTAAGAGCATTTAAGTACACAGGAAGCTTTTTAAATGAGAGATTTTTTTATGTGGCATGTGCATTCACAAGAAAATTGAACCACAGTGAGAGTATTCCCCTTCATCCAGGAATGATACATGTCAGCCAGGGCTACTAGCAGGAGCTGAATAGTAAACCTACTGTATGAAATAAAGCTGTGCAAACAAACTCATGGGGAGGCACTGATTTGGTACAGTCCAGTAGAACAATTTTCTCCCAGTAAGTGAAGAAAATATTTTTGGCATTGTTACCCTTGAAATCCCATCTGTTCTAATCCATCTGCTCAACTTAAATATATTTAGGGGCTAAACAGGTGAAGTAAACCTTCTCTGGCCCAACATAAAACCTCTTGTCCTGTCCAATGGACAGTACTCTCTTCTTACAGAGCTAACTGAAAACATTCGTAACTTTTGAATTTTCACTTTAGTATTAGGAGTTGAATTTCCCAAGTGTGGAAATGTTGAAAAGGTCCAAATTAAATTATAGTGGTGGAAAGATGGGAAGTCTACAGTGAATCTCTAAAGGAGTGAACAAGCACAAAAAGCTTGTTTGCTTGAATTTTCAATGTTTGTCGTTTACCAGCTTGGGTTGTGTTTTTGTTGTTTTTTTTTTGTGGCTAACTGCTTGAAAATGCAAAATGGCCCTATGCATCAAACATGAGACTTCCTATTACACACAGATAGCTGCTATTATACATATTGCAGTAAAAGGTTATTGTCCTGTTTTGCATCCACTTAATGGCAATTGAAGTCTAATTTATAACCACTGTAGTATTCATTCAGAGTAAACAAACCCCAGTATGTTTAAGGATTCAGCAGAGCATATTGGTACAGGCAGCTGTGTGTTGTGGCTGCTGGACTGTCTGCTGAGCTGAAAAGCAAACCTAAAGCCCTGCTGCAGATCTGAGCGAATCCTTCCTTCCTTAGAGAGCAGCCATTGTGAGGGATATGGGCCATGGAGGATGCGCCACCAACTTCAGAGATCAGGTCCTGGAGCCTGCTTTCTATTTTCTGTTAATCCTGTGCATCTTTCTGTCAGATGGGCTCTGAATTCATGAGTCTCTGGCTGCTCACTATGCTTTTAGTGTTTGGTAGTAACTTCACATGATAGATGAGATTCTAGCACTGGCACTATTAGAGTCATATAAACGTCAGGATTGAATTGTTGTCTTATTTTAAGATTTTAGGCTTTCTTCTTATAAAGAGAAAGTAAATTAATATATTCCCTGTTGACGTGTTAAGATATCTCAGCTAATTGAAATCCATATAAATTGTGAATGTTGGCATTTTAATGTTTTTGGTGCTGTACCATCATCACATAAAAGGACGCTGCTTTCTCTGTGACCTGTGTAATCACAGGGAACTACAAATGATGTTAAATTTTACTCTGTGGCTCCTTTGGATGAAAAGTACTGCATTGGAAGCCCACGGTCTGCTGGGAAGTAGGAACAGTGAGGCAGAGGCAGAAACAGTTGGGTTTAACACAGTCAGCTTGAAAGGTGGAAAGGTGGACAGATTTGTTAGATGCTCTGCTTGTCTGGCCCAGAATAGTATTTCTGTATGATACAGGGTGACAAAGAGCCATCGCCACTTCTCATTGCTTGAAACGATGCATCTATAGAAAAAAAATCAATTTTCTAAATGAGAGCAATGAGTAGACATAACCGGAATAAGCACCAAACTAATGGACTTGAGCAGGCTGGCCTGAATAGAGAGTTATTCACTTATTCTCTTGAGCACAGCAACAGAATCTTGCTCCCAGTTCTGTGCCATTGGCCATAATGCAAAGGCAAATAACTAACTACAACTAAGGAAATAATTTGAACTAACATTTTATTGCTTTTAAATTATAAAGCTGAAAGGATATCTTGCAGCAGGTTCAAAACAGTGGTGAAGTGGGTGTGTTTGCAGCACTGCCTGAATATCAGAGCTTTAAAGGGCTTTTCAGACTGAGAAAATTCTGGCTTTGTTCCCCTATTTGTTTTTCCAGATGGAAAGAAGTGATTAGCCCTTTAATGGAGATATGAATTGGGGCTGGTAGACGCCCCTTTTGGCTGCTTGCTTTCACTTGATGGATGCTCTGACACGGAGAAAGGACATTAGGGTGTTTCTTCTGTCCTGTGGATTTGAAGCCAAACAGCGAAGACCATTCCAAAAGCTAGTGAATTTAAGTATACACAGATAGAGCTCTGGCTTATCAGTTTAACGGCCTTTGTTCTACAGATTACTATGAAAAATAATAACATGCAGCGCAGAAAAATTGAAATTATTACGTTCTGTTTTTCTTGGGAAGCTGATTACCAGAGTCTCTGTTGTATCTAAGGGCAGTGTGTACAGAAGATGATCAGAACGCAGTTGGGATCAACAAGGTCAATTCATGGAAAAAGCTATATAGTAAATAGAACATGGCTAAGTGATGTTTCTACCAATGGTTTTTGCTGTGTTACATGCCATGTGCATGTAACAAAAAGAAGGAATGAAAAGGATAGTGCAGAGCACAGCTGCCTGGTTTCACTGAATTCTGGACACGGCATTTCTTTACTGTTCTGAGGCTGTTCTGCTTTGTCCCAGGTTTCTGGCAAGGCTTCGGACAAGATACACCTGGGCTCTGGGCTTCACAAGCCTTATTCTTTCTGGTCCAAGAGTTACCTACATAGTAATAAGGCTTGTGACTACTGAGTTGCTGCTGAGTTATTGAACTAAATACATAGAGTACAACAGACAGAACCATAACAGTGGAAAAGTAAGAGTTTTCAGCAAGTAGCAATATTTTTTATTATCTCAAGGCAGAAGGAAAAAAAAGCAGCCTGTGCAATTTAGCAGAGAGAACTTAATGTTCTTTCTTGTGAAAGGCTGCAAATAAAAGTGAGCTACAACACACTGCTGATTTATGTAACTGAAAATCTTGCCACATTGTGCACAGAAATATTAAGGGAAACAAATTCCAAGTTAGGAATAAGTGAATGCTCTCTGTAAACTCATCCTTAAAGTAAATGTTGAAAATTATGTAGTAAGTAATGAGATTGAGCTTATTTAAGGTGCTGCAGATGTTGACAAAAAGTGAATTTCTTGGTCGTGTGAGCTTGTCTGAAGGGCTGGTATTTTGATCCCTTCAAAAGAGAAGTCTTAAATCCAGACATGGTGAATGCAGGTCATGTGAGAGGCGGCCCCGTTGTGCGGGGTCTGTCCTTCAGAAAAGAGCCTGAAGCCCTGCCGGAAACTGCTGTCACATTTTCTCTGTTATCAAAGACCAAAATACAAACAATTCTTGCTTTATGTCAGCAGGAATACTTGCTCAAGCATATGAAGCAATGATGTCAGTGGAAACATCACCCAGAGTGGGTAAGCCCGGTGGAAGGATGGCATTTGGAGGGATCCCATCATGTTACAAGGGAAACTTGGCTCTGCAGTAAGGACTGCAGCTGGCAAGCCCTTGGATTCAGTTCCCTTCCTTGCTCCTGGGAAGCTCCCTTAGAAGCAGCCTGGCGGGAGCTGTTGTGCACTGCCACTTTAAGGCATGCATGCACTTCCAGGCTCAGGTCCTGCCACTGCTGCAGCACAGGGCGAGATCTTCTGCTTCGGGGCTCTGGACTGCTCACTGCTCTCTGCTCTGTAACACTTGGCTGCTTCACAGACGCCCGGCCAGGGGCTCAAGGCTTCCTCCTAGCGTGGCAGAGTCCCACCTGGTGCTGGGGCAGCTGCCACCATGGAAGCAGCACCAGGCGCTGCTGCAGCAGCAGCAAAGCCTGCAAAGTCCAGCAAGAAGTCTCGGATGGTGAAGCGGCACACCAACATCTACACCTACCAGGAGCCGCCCCACAGGTAGGGATCCTCCTCTCTCCTGAAGTGCAAATCTTCCTTATCGAGCAGAAAAGAGAGATCTTGTCTGTCTTTTATTTAGAGTGCAGTAACATGAAAAAGAAGAATCGCTCTTCTCTCTATATTTAGATGGATTTTAAAGCTGTTTTCTTTTTCCCTTTCTACCAGTCATACTCCCTGCTGCACCATAAGCACCTTCACTGTAATACCAAAGAATAGCAGAATAGGAAATCTCCATACCTTTCATATGTATTATGCATTTTCCTTGAATGTCCACAGTGGCGAGGGTAGAGCCAGAATGTGGATTGATGGATACACAGTCTGGCCAAGTGCATCCTTCAAATGTTTTTACAGGGCAATAGTGAGGTTCTGACTTATTTCCAAGTGATTCAAAGATGTTGCTTTTTCAGCAAAATTGCAGAGAATTTTCCCAATGAAGACTCAGAGATGCAGTTGGAAAACTTGCTAGCTGGTTGATGTTGGAGGTGTTCGGTTCTGTTCACGCTGCTCTCACATGAAATTCCCTGTTTCAAATGGGACGAGAGAGCTGCAGCTAAGTGAATGTGGTGCCAGCATCAGAAGATTTAATAATCATCCATAGAAATCTACATCAGAGCACGTGTAATTTTTACAATTTAATTCCTGGTGCACTGTGGTCTTGTGCTTCCATCCCCATCAGCAAAGAACAGGAGCAAAGGGTCAGAATGTGCTAAGCCTTTGTTCCCTCTCTGTTTTAACAAGGAAATATTTTATCACTATTAAAATCAAAGATAAAGGCTGAGAGTGCATGGAAAGAAAATGAATTTTAAGTACTTCTGATGGAAAAGTTTAGATGGCACTTTGTTCCAGAAAAATATGTGAAAGATCTTGTTAGCATGATGTACAAGCTGGAAACACTCAGAGGAAAGACTAGAATTCAGCTGGGGAGCATGGATGAGTTAGTGAGCAGCAAGAGGTAGGGAGGAAGAGACACATCCCATCAATGTGGAAGTCATCCAGATTATTTATCAACTTTGAAACAACAGGGTTGTGAGTTCCCTTATTGCTGTTAGGTGGTTCTTGTAAACTGGATACTGCACAAACCAACAGATGATGGGGATCTAGATGGGAATAATTTGTCTTGTTTTTCCTCTTGCGGGGGTGTTCAGCAACTCAGATGAGGATATCAGTGAAGAGAAGGCTAACAGCCACGACCCAGAGCAAGTCTTCCAGAACATCCAGTACCAGAAGGAGGTCATGTCCAACATCCGCTGCAGGCCATGGCCGATGAGGCAGAAGCTGCGGGCGCTCAGGTAACAACACCAAACATACAGTGCAAAGGGTGCGTGCCCAACATTTGGACTAAATTCTGTCATGTCTTTCACAGCATTATATGCTTGGGATCACGTTATTTTCTTCCTCTTCATCTGGCACCTTTCTCTTAAAAGCCATCTGTTGCTAGGGTAGCATTACAGTCCTGAGGAAATCCCAGCAGAGTCCTTGTTTAATCTTGGAAGCAAAGAGATTTTGAGGGTGGAGGGGCACTGGCACAGCTGCCCAGAGCGCTGTGGGTGCCCCATCCCTGGAGGTGCCCAAGGCCAGGTTGGATGGGATGTCGGGCAGCTGAGCTGGTGGGGGACCCAGCCCATGGCAGGGGTGGGAGCTCGATGACATTTGAGGTCCCTTGCAACCCAAGCCATTCTATGATTTTCCTCAGTTACACAGTCTGTGACTCTCTGCCTTCCTGCTGCCCCACAACTTCTGTGTCTATGAGTTTCCAGTGGTCCCCATCCAACTGCTGCTGAGGTTAAAGACTGTATGAGCAGCAGTAGGATCAGATGAATACGCACCTCTTGGAGTCTTGCAAGAGCAGTTCTTTCGTATCCACATAAAATGAACCACACTTTAATGACAATCTTATTTTAGGCATTTTGGTTGTGCCATATTGGGTTAAAAGGACAGAGAGGAAAAAGAAATAAATGATCAGACAGCCCTTCTTGCAATAAAAGTTTTGAATGTCAAGTTTTCTCAGGCAGAGCTCTCAGTGTTTTTAATGTGACAGTAAATCTTCAGTAGGAAAAAAGCTTTGCCTGCTTAAGGATTTCATAGGGAAACCTAATCCATGGCAGTGTTTCAGAGCATTCTGCTGCAGCTGTTTGCTGCTTGTGCAGAACTAAAGGCTCAGAGCACTCGGCTCAATGTCAAGCAAAATTCCACCTTCTTGTGCAGACAGGCAAAGGAGATTGTGCTGAAGTACGAAGGGAGGCTCACTAGAACCAGAGGTTACCAGGCTGCTGGTGCGGAGGTATGTCTGCTTTTTCTTAAATTATATCTCTTCTTCATACCAAAAGTTGTCTAAAGTTTTTATTCACAGACACGTATGTTTTCTATGTCATTCTGATTTCCAACTTGAGAGCTCTACTGAGGAAGAAGTAGATAAGAACTTGTTTTTTGGCTTTTTTCTTTTTTCAATTGTGAATTTAGTCATTACAATTTCTCAGGCTAATTTGATGTGTGAGGGATAAATCTCCTTGTGTTAACGCATTAGAATCGTCCTTCTCAAATCATACGAATATTGATGTCTGCCAGAGAGGGTGATGGGAATGGGATACTAACAATATGATGTTAGTATTCTCTCAAGAGCAATTTCAGCAGACCATGGGGCCACAGTTCAATAGCTGAGCATGAAAAATGTGTCTAGCTTTTAGTTTGGAAGACAATCCTGCAATAGCTTGTTGTAAATACTTTGTTAAAGAATTTTGCTTGCATCATATTCGAAGAATTTGAATCTAATCTTAGCAAATCTATTTACACAATTGAAAATAGACTCTGGCCCTGATTACTAGAAACTAATAACATGCAGGAAACTGTTCCTAATATGTAACCAACAGAGAAGAGTTCTTTGGTCATCTAAGCAGTCAATAACATTTGTGTCATCACAATGAGTAGACTTTTCACAGTGCAATGTATTTCAATTCTAGAAGTCAGGGTTATAATGGTAAAACAGAACACCATGCATTTTATTCATCTGAACAAATGAGAGGCCACATGCATAACTGTCATCTTTCCTTGTTCTGCCCTTGTGTGTAGAAAATGCAGTGGAAGTAGGATGCTGTAAACATAAATACTGTTTTATGTCTCGGACTTCAGTGGAACTAGGATGTCAACCAGAAAGAGGAGTGTGCTAAGGGGCTGCGTTGCTAAGAGTCTGCGTTGGTAAATCAGACACTGGGTTTCGTTCTTGTTCATATTCCTCTTCCTATGACAAAATCAAGGCTTTCATCCTAGAGTCTGTATCTAATCTAATTGTCTCTACTGTGTTTTTGCTTGAAGATATTCTGCAAGGGATATAATTCAGAAGTTAATCAGGACCACTCATTATCTGTAGGGTAACTATATTATTTCTTTAAGCACAAATTAAAGAGTGTAACAGGAAAACCCCTTCATAATATTATTAATGAAAACAGAAGCTAAGGAGCCCTCCCACATCGTGTGCATTTCTAAATCTCACCATGCCCATCTCCACCCCACAGACGTGGTCTGAGATGATGATAAAGAACACTGCTAGTATTTCTTTCAATACCAGATGAGAGACACTGATGCATTTCTTTATTTTCCTTTTTTTTTTTCCCTCTCCATGCAAAGTTATCACCTTTCTTTTCTTCTCTGCTTTTTTCTCCCACAGCTTTGGAGGAAGTTTCTTCGACTGGCATATAATTTTGTGGTGCTCTTTATTCCATGGGAAATGCGAATTAAAAAAATTGAGAGTAAGTATAAGGATTTAATGGGATGGAATTGTAAAGCGTTTGATGAAATGCTGGGTCTTAAGGTTCATGTTTGGATTTACTGAATCAAACAGTATTTGGGAGGAAGTGTTAAATGCGACATTCCACCCACAGTATGACTTTGATGTAGAGCTTCACTTTTTTTACTCCTCCTGATGCCTTAGGCACTGCACAGATCTCATTGATGATCTTAGTGTGGAGTAACCAAAAAATTAGTAAATATAGACATAAGAAATTTGCCTTGTCCATTGCAGCTTTGGTTATAGTTCATCACAGTCTGTGGGCCAGCATCCATGGGTCAAGCCCAGGACCAAGCCGTGTGAAGGCACCTCAGCAGTCCTAGATTAAATCAAGGCAGCCCTGAACATCACATCAGCACTTAGGTTGTGCTGCTGTGCTTCCGCAGCAAATGGAATTGCTGCATTACATCACCCAGTGCAGCAGCTTCTTGAGTAAATACTGCTGGTAATTACAGGTTCATCCAGCAGAGCTTGGGGCATAATCATATTTTCCTCATTGACACGTTGATGTTTTCTCTACCTTGCTGTTCACACTGCATCGATGAGGCAGGTTTTTCTTTTGCTTAGATTTCAGGTAGTACTTAATGAATAAACAGTGGGAGCTATTATAGACTGTGCTGCTCAGATAACTTTTTTCTATGGTTTAAGGTCATTTTGGGTCTGGAGTTGCCTCTTACTTCATCTTCCTTAGATGGCTGTTTGGAATCAATATTGTACTTACCATAATGACAGGAGCATTTGTAGTCTTACCAGAGGTAAGAACACGTTGCTAATATTTACAGAAACATGCTTGCTTACCCGTTGTGCTTTCCTTTCTGAATTAAACAAATGCCACACTTAAAGGCGTACATCAATTTGAAATGCACAGTTTCAAATGAATTATTAAAATAAACACCATTATTAAGAGGGTTCTACATTTTTCTGCCAAAGGATAATTTTGCTATTAGTGTTAGAGATTATATTTTGTCAACATAGTACTAATGCTTTTATAGAATATGTTTGTATCCGATTACTAAAATGGAGAACCAAATCCTAAAAGCTGCAGTTGGTATTGAATATGCTTAGGTCTTGCAAATGTGATTTATAGACAGGAAAAAAAAAGTAACATCTCCCTCCAGACAAATTGTTGTTCATTAGAAATTATTTTCTAGAAGTTTGAACAGCCATTATTTTGTTTAGATCTTGCGTGCAATTTTGGGCTATATATTAACTTTGTGAGATAATTCATAGATAGGATTTTACCTCAATCTGTGCTTCAGATTACATCAGAACATTACATCTGTGCTTACATGCTTACATCAAAACATGTAAATATCTGATTTTTCTTCTTGTTGGCTAAGCCAAAATGCAAAAAGCCACCAAATGAAAAAGTGGGCAAATTGAAGTGATGAAGGTATTCCGTTTCTTACTTCATTTTTGTAAGTAGACTTAATTAAAAAAAAAAAAAAAAAAAAGAGAGATGAAACACTGTCATATGTAACTTAAAAATACTTAAAATGGACAGTCAGCTTTAAAATGCTTAGTTTCTAGCTTAGGAGAAGGAATGATCCTTTGTGGGTCAGACAGGTTGATGCGATGTCAGAGACCTCTTTTCTCTTCTCCCCAGCTACTGGCTGGTGCACCGTTCGGCAGCACTGTCAGCAAAACCATTCGCCCAGAAGACATGAAAACTGCACAAGACCTGGACACCATCTGGTCACTTGGGGCAAGGCTAAAACCACTCTTTATTGTTCTGTTACTGCTGTTTGGTTGTACCTATTTGTTATCACTCTTACTTACAGACTCTGGTCTCTGCAGGGCTACCTCCAGTACTCCGTTTTGTTTTATGGCTACTATGGCAGAGAAAGGAAGATTGGGAAAGCAGGATACCGGCTGCCTCTCGCCTACTTCCTGGTTGGCATGGCAGTGTTTGCTTACAGCTTCATCATCCTCTTAAAAAAGTAATATTTCTCATTTATGGCTATCCGTAAGCTTGCATGTTCAGGCAGACGTTAATGGCACGCTTATCCCATTTCCTCTGCATTTATTCTGCACGGTTCTGTTAACCTGTTTGCATTTGCTAATGGTGGGAATACAGATGGAGTTCAATTCTAGCTTGCTCTTTGTCTTGCTGATGTTTATCTTGATTCTCCCTTCAGTTTCCCACTCCATAAAAGGAGGGTAACATGGATCTGTGTGGTTTGTATTTGTACAGCATGAGGTGCAAGTTTCTTATGCTTTTTTCTAGTATATTGTTCTGACAGAAGCATAGATTTTAAATATAATGCTTTTCAGCATTACTATTCTCACCTACTGAAATACTAATACAAAAATACAAAATACTAATACAAAAATTGTGTCATAGGAGCAATATAGCCTTTGCATTGTTTCAGCTGATAGGTAGCATCCCATTCATATTAAGCTTAATTCCTGTGCTGTTTGAAAGCCAGGAGGTAGGAGAGAGCAAGACTGCAAGTGCTGGCCATAAAATCCAGGAATGTGCAGTGCCGAGAGGGAGTGAGGTCGCTCTGTCCTCTTGGTTCACTTTCCCTTCCCTTCTGGATGCCTACTTGGCATAGTGCAGTCTAATGCAATTTTTAGTGTTGTTTGTAATAACTACATTTCAAAACCAATCCTTCTCTTTCCATCCATTTTTATTCTGCCTTCCAGCTTGATCTGAGGGTCACTGGTGTTCTTGATGCTGATTTACACATCTGCAGTTTCAGGATGTGATTAGCTTTTCTCTTTTTGATTTAGCCCACTGACTTCTTGCCTGCCTGATTACTGTTCCCCATATAACATTGTCCATTTGGCTGCCCTTCCTTTCATAAGCTATTAATCTTCATTTCATTTCTTAGACTTTGCAACATTCTGCCCTTTTGCCTGAGCCGACTAGGTAGGTTTTTTTTTCCTTTTTCCTAGGGTCTGTAAAACATCACTAGGTTTCTATTTAACAATAACATAATTTTTGAGGATGAAAATAAACAGAAAACAAAACACGGCTTTTGCATGATCACTAGGTTTTCTGTATCAGTACCAGTTCATACAGTAATAGCGATAGTATCTTCTAGCTGAACCCTCGCTGGTGATCTTAAAAATGTTCACATCTGTAGTGAGATATACATGCTTTATTTGTCAGGTATGAAAAATGCAATCAGTGAGTCTCTTCTGCACAAGAGCAAACATCGAGTTCATTCTCGGAACCTCACCCCACTTTATTTTCATCATAAAATTGCCAGCAATTACACTGATTGCCACAAACTATTTGCACGTCTAAAAAGAAACTGAAAACTATGAACCATCCCAGTGATTTGAGATACTTTTTCACACACCAGCTTCAATCATTTTTTATTTTTCTATTCACAGAATGGCGAAGAACTCAAGAATGAGTTTAGCAAGTGCTTCCGATGAAAACTACACTTTCTGTTGGAGGCTGTTCTGTGCCTGGGATTATTTAATAGGAAACCCTGAGGCTGCAGAGAGCAAAGCGGCTGCCATAGTTAACAGCATTCGGGTAATCTGCCCCTCTACAAATTATTTTTCAGGCTATTTTGAAATTAAATAGGCCTTTCTTCTCATTTCTTTTTGCTCTTTTTTGTTTCCTGGCATTCACCGGTGGATACATTTGCCTGGGGGAGGATATCACACCTCCCTGTGGTACTGCAGTCACATTGCACTTGCTGACGCTGCCACTCCATTTCATACATCTCTTCTGTCCCTATGTTAGTACAACTCTTCTGTCCCTGTTGTGTTCTGTTTATTGCCACCATATGTGTGATAAAAAGCTAAAAAAATAAAAACAAATTTGCTTGTGATGCAGTTTCGCTGAACTGAATAAAAATTATGTTAATGATGTAAAAGCATGGATATATTTAATCTCTCCATAATAAATGGTCCAGGGGAGTACCTGGCTGCATCAACATTGGAAAGTTTTTTATTATTTTACTTGATGCCTTCTATGAAAGATTAGCATCATTTTGGCAGAATGCTATTTAATATATATTTTTTTCTTTCAAGGAAGCTATATTGGAAGAGCAGGAAAAGAAGAAAAGCAAAAACCTGTATGTATGTAAGATTGGAGGCATTTCCAAAGCACTGCTTCTGTGCAGGCAGCAGGGCTCTGTGATTGTTTCATGCCTATAAAAGCCATGTTAGAAAAGAGCCCTGGTGTAATAAGGCAGCCTGCTATATTGGCTGGGTGATTTTTGTTTTTCAGGGCAGTGACAATCAGCTTAAGGATTATTGCAAACATCCTCGTGCTTCTCTCGCTCACTGGAAGTATTTACATCATTTATTTTGTCGTGGATCGATCCCAAAAGTTAGAGAGCAAGAAGAGGGAACTGACCCTTTGGGAAAAAAATGAGGTACACCATATTTGTCACCGCTGTGTTAGAAGCAGGATTGTTGTCTCAGGGCTCTCAGTAGTGATAGTGTGCACTGAGGTGTAAACTGCAAGTGATGAGCCGGGAGAAATGAGCAGTGGGAGTGCTGAGCCGTGCTTACCTGGAGCTCTGCACACCTGCTCCTTTTGTCTGCACCAAGGTGTCAGCAGAGCTGGCGTGGGCAGCAAGCTGCTCTGAGACTGCAGTTCTAGTTGGCTCTTATTTCATGAAGACAAAGTTTGAAGTCTCTTCTGCCCATGACTGAGCTGAGTGAACACTGAGCTGAAGAGCTAGGAAGAGCTGTTAGAAAGGAATCAGCTTTGACAATGGCTATTGATGTCAGCTGAAGAATACTGCATGTTCTGTGAATATTTTTATTCAGAGGAAGGAGTGGATGCTGAGAATAGGAAGTAAATGTGTACAGAGAACAATTCATCCATTTCAGAGGACGATACTTTCTTTGTATTTCCAACATGGTGAATTTTGATATTCATAAGCTAATAGCTTTAAAGCTAGAATATAATTATCTACAGCAAAGATTCCTGAGTAATATGTCAGGTCTTCAATCTTGGGTCCCAACTGCAGTTATTACTAATGCCAATGATAATTTTTCAAAGTATATTCTCCAAGAAAAGCAGTCACAAAAGCACGTGCATCAGCAATATTCCAATCAGCAGTAAAGGCACCATAGGATATCAGCGTGCGAGGCTACAACAGCGCTGTGCCTTTCTGTTCTGTAGGTAAGCGTAGTTGTGTCACTGATTACCATGATTGCACCCTCTGCTTTTGAACTCGTGGCAGCTCTAGAGATGTACCATCCAAGGACCACTCTTCGCTTTCAGCTTGCAAGGTATGGACATGATACAGTGTAGAAAGAATGTGAAGAACAAGGGAGGAAGAAGAAAGTTCTGCTGGTGTTTTATTTCTACCAGACAGGAGAATATATTCAAGTTCATGGGATGTCGATAACCTATGTCTTACTGTTTTCAGAGTTCTTGTTCTCTATCTGGGAAATCTCTACAGTTTGATCATTGCTCTCCTGGATAAAGTGAACAGTATGAGTGACAGTGTAAGTTAATGTTTGCTAATGTGCAAAATGAGTCGACTTTACAACAGAAAGAATTCCATCCGTAGTATATTTCAACTCAGGTGAAAATTAGTGTGAAATCCAAGCATTACAGCATACTACAATTTGAAAGGATTGTGACGTTTATTTTGTAATGTTCACTTATGAATACTTGTAGTCTTTTGGATAACTGGATCCATTTGATTGCTGACGTGTAGAGAAATAAATAATATATTTACGTGCATTCCTCAATTACTTAAATGTCAGCGTTTTAGGTATTTGGAGGTACTGGACCTAAAATCAGCTTCTATCACTGTTCTAAAAAAATTTCCAACTGCATTTGTGCTTTGGCAGATACTATAAAGTCATCTAATTGCTGCTTGAAAACATGTGAAGTGTTTTCATGTGTACATATGCCTTGTTGAAGACATGAGGCTTTTGCATGTATGCAGGTGTAAAGAGAGAAACAGTACAGGTGAAAATGCAGTTTTCAAGACATTTGTTTTTTCAGGTTAACAGCAATTCAAGTAATTCTATCCCCTCTTTTGCAACTGGAACTCCTCCTAAAGAAGGCAATTTATCTGCAACTATTTCTGATGCACAAATGAACAGCAACAAATCTCACGCTCAAAGCTTGCCAACCTCTGATTCACTGGTTAACAACACAGCTTCCTCTAGCTCTGCCCAGAATCAGTGCTGGGAGACCTACGTTGGTCAAGTATGTCACTGTTATATTATTGAATCTATTCCTAATTCCTCTTTCACCAGAAGTTAAAACCATGTCATACTGTGTTCAGTTTTAGAGGTTTTCTTGGTGTAAATTCCAGAAATTTAGCTAAGGGCTGTATAGAAAGAGGGAAGATTGCACAGATTGGTATGGCCACACAAGAGCTTTGTTTGTTGTTCAGTATATACAATGTGCTTAGTGTTGTACAAGTGTTCTTAGCCAGCCTTCAGTCTCTGTCTTCTGCACAGGCAGATCTCTACTGATGAGTGATGCAGATAGATTGCATTTTAATGGGATGCGTATTACAAAGGTTGTCATTTGATCCTGATGTACTTTGGTCACTGTCAGTGCTGCACTCATCCAGCGCCCAGGCCACTAAACGAAAAATGATGCTAGCACATTTCTGGCTTGCTTAGTTCATTGTTCCAAAGTGAGCAATATCAAAGGTCTTGTTTGATCATCAGGAGCCAAATTTCCTCCTAGGTCTATTAGGCTGACTTCTATTCTGCCTGCTGCCCTCCCTATTCCACAGGCATCGGGTATTTTTTTGAACTGTTCTTTCTTTTCTTCTTTTACAGAATGGGTTAGAGATCTTTGTTTTTATTTTTAGATAATCTTTTCTACTTAATTGTATGTTTTCAAGGCTCAACTAATTAAGGAGCAACCCCATTAATCTGTAAGCACAAAACAGACTTCTGTTGTGGCTTGGTGACCCTACTGTCATTGGGCTGTGGTTTTCGGTGAACAACAAGCATTTCTCCTTGTGAAGGACTTATTAAGTGTCTATTTCAAGAGTCAGTACAACAAAGGATTGGGTACAATAGAGAAAATAGCTGCATCCTGTCTATCTAGATAAATATTCAGTAGGCTCATTAGAAAGGTTGAGACCACCATGCCCAGAGTTTTATTGCTGCAAACTGTAGAAGGCACACTTGAAGTCTAATTATGTTTGTTCTTTACATTAGGCAAAGACAAGGGTAAAGTCAAACAGGAAATGCATATAAGGAAACTTTGTATAAAATCATGCTTCATCAGGGTACTGAGCATGATTCAAAATGTGAAATGCAAGTATAAATGCAAAAGAGCTGTATGCAAGGCAGTTTGTTTCAAGAATGACTCAATATGTTGGAATAATATGTTTTACAGGAGATGCTAAAGCTGTCAATCATCGACATGATATTCACAGTTGCGAGCATCCTGCTAATTGATTTTTTCCGTGGACTGTGTGTCCGATATTTAAGTGATTGCTGGTGCTGGGACCTAGAAAGCAAGTTTGTAAGTACAGGCTTTTATTTTATGAAACAAAGATGCTGGTGATGGGTGGGCTCCTTCCCATAGTACTGGATGTTCTGAAAGCCTTTTGATAGGTAAATAATTTCTACATAGCACAATCTATAAAGGCACAACTCGCACTGAGTTTTATTTGGAGAGTACAGGATAAATGCTGAGATGGAGTATTTTTCTCAGGCCTACTCCCATGGCTGTGGTGCACAGACTTTTGTCTTTCCCAGAATGAGATTATGGAACAATCCCATAGAAAATGATGAGTAATTTGTTGGCCTTTAGAAAAACAGAGGGAACATGTTGCATCCCATATCTTCCTTTCTTAGCTGTAACAACTGTCCATAATAGAGACAGTGATCCAAGAAGGAAGGAAATTACTGTAGTATTTGGTTAGCAAGCAGCTGTAGGCATGAAAGGCTAAGTCTGTTCCTTGTCCTTAAGTAAACAAAGTAAACTAGAGATGAATTAGTTTATCTAATCCCCTGATACTGAGTAGGTTTACTGGGTTCTCACTGTCTGCCAGAAGGTGGTATTTGATCCAGACATTTCAGGCCATGTGCTGTCTGAAAATGGAGTCAGCCAAACGATTCTAATAAGTGATCCAGAAAAAAAAAATAAGAGTAAGGTGAAATATTTATCCTATACTCTGTTTCTTGTAGCCAGAATATGGTGAATTCAAAATTGCAGAGAATGTACTGCATTTGGTCTACAATCAAGGAATGATCTGGTATGTAATCCGCAAGTGATCTGATTGATTGCCAAGTATGACAGTTCTCAATGAAATGTATTCCAGCAAGATACTACCAAAGCATTCTCTTACACTTTATTGTATTAAGAATTTGTCTGTTGCTAGTGACTTGTTGCTTACCTATTCTTTTCATGCAATGCTTTGCTGTTAAAATTGCTGTGGCAACACTGAGCACTGACATGACATTGTTCTTCCAGGATGGGAGCCTTCTTTTCACCTTGTTTACCGGCATTCAATGTCCTCAAGTTGATTGGACTCATGTACCTGAGGAGCTGGGCTGTATTAACGTGCAATGTACCACATCAGCAGGTTTTTAGAGCCTCTCGGTTAGTCCAAATAAGAATGTAAGATAAAGAATAAATGCAACGCAGTCAATGGAAATGTCTTCTGTGTGCAGAAACAAAACAAAAGGAGCTTTTAGTTCTGAAAATTGACAATCAAAATGGACAGATATCAAAGGCCTGTGAAGAAAAAAAATTAGTTACCAAGAAACTGGAGAATTTGGAGTTACAGCAGGGTACTTAGATACACACAAAAGAGACTCAAGCGGGATTGAATTGCCCAAAGCTGGTTTGTGATTGTACTGAAAACATCTAGATATTCTCTCCGAAAAGGGAAGGTATGAGTTTCAATGGCAGTATGCAGGGCAGAAGGACTCGTAGCAAACTTGGCGTTTCACAGAGGAAATCAAGCAGTACCATCAAAAGTATTTTTATTGTGAAAGTTAGGGGATAAACAGAAATCAAACTAAATAATATGTCACAGAATATTCCCAGATCAGGAAATGCGGCCTGACAGAGATCATTTATTTCCATACCAATCTGATTAAGTGCAATAAGCTCCATGTGTAAATCGCTGCAAGTTCTGTATCTTGGTGTTTCTTTTTATGAAAACCATTAAGTATCCTATTTTATCTGCTGCATCACACAATAGAACTTCCCCTTTTTATACTATCAGGATGAATATAAGAATTATTTTTTCAAACTGAAATAATTTAGGGCATCTTTACATCTTAGGAATCAGTTATTTCTAATATGTTTTGAAGATGAATCAAATTCTGCTTCTTTTTTCTTATTTTCCCCAACAAATCTGGACAGTCAAGTGAGTTTTTATAGAACAGTGCTATAAACAGTTCTCTGACTGTAGCAGCAGTATCTGGAAAGCAGTACAAATAAAATTGTGACCATTAAGGGTCTATTTAAAGTGGCTCTGTTCAGACTTTTTAATCGGAACAGAATGATTTTGATCTTTCAGAAACGTAATCTTGAACTTGTTAGGTAGATGAAGACTTGCATCTTTCATGTTGCTTCTGCTTTTCTCCCTGATTAGGGTAATCTGAAACGTTTATGCCTTCTTGCAGATCCAATAATTTCTACTTGGCCATGTTGCTGTTCATGTTGTTTTTGTGCATGTTACCAACAATTTTTGCTATTGCCCGATACAAGCCATCTTTAACCTGTGGTCCTTTCAGGTAAGTTATAACGGACTAATGAAAATGGCAATGATTTTATTTCACCCTCAATTAGTTAATCAGGTTCAACAATACCCAAATTATCAATAAATAGTAGTTTTTGGATGGGGCAATGCTTTCGTGCTGCCCATGTTTTCCAGTTTAAGAATTAATTAGTTGAATACCTCATCATCCTAAATGAGGTTACGTGTTTTGCTTTATATACATGGTTCCACTAGTTCATATTTAAATGATGCAGTGTGCCATCAAGAAATTTATCACATATTGGTACCCTTCAAGCCTGGTCAGTGCTTTTGCACTCTTGCAAATTTGTTTAAAATGTAAGTAATGAACAAGTAGCCTTTAGTTTTTGTTTTTGCCTTTTTTTTTTTTTTCCTTCAGTACACTTACACTGTATATAAGTGGTCTTAGATTAATTTTTTTATTATTATTCAGTGCAACGCTGCTTAAAAAGTGGACACACCAAGGATTTTTTTACGATTTAATTTTATTTTTTCTTTCCCTGTAGTGGACAAGACAAAATATATGATATTGTTTCTGAAACAATTAAAAATGATTTTCCTGTGTGGTTCAACTCAGTGGTTACTTACATCAGCAGTCCTGTGGTGGTCCTCCCTGCGCTCTTACTTCTATTGTAAGTACTTTGTTTCTCATAGCAAATTTAACTCCACTGTGTTAATACTAACTTCATCTCTAGACAGTCTCATGTTGATACTGAGGAACAGTAACATTATTAAGCATATACAAAGAAAAAAACAACCTTACTGAATGTATGCTATAAGCATCGGATGGGAATGAGAGTATGTTGAAAATGCCGTCACCCTATTTTCAAAAAGCTGCTTCTGTGCTAAAGGAAGTTGGACCCTGTGTTAAAGGAAGTCCATTCTGTTGTGTCAAAGCTTACAATGCTCTTGGCTCCAGGAAGTTTTAAGATCCTTCTTCCCACTCAAGAGCACCTCAGAAGATAATTTTCCATTTCCTCAGGGCGATTAGTTCTGCTTAGACTGAACTCTGTTCACAGGCGTATCATTGAAAGAAGCTACCCAGTCACACTGATTCCTGACAAGATAAATCAGTTACGAAGGTCTGCTCTTAAGTGTTAATGTAATACAGCTTCCTGCAGACTATCCAGTGGAAGTCCTTTCTTATGCCAGACTCTAAATAATTGTTCACAGCTGGGAATTAATATTTACTTTGAGCTGTTGGAAATTCACTTTGCTTCTGTGAAGTATCATTTGCTTTGCAGGTGCCTTTCTATCATTTTTTCTCCATAAACAGATGAGCGCAGTTTGTTTTACCAGCTTGGTAATTGAAAGGACCTAAAGCAGTATTTACTATTTGTATCTTTTTCCTCTGTCGTATTTAGAAATGCACGAAAATTTACTGACTGCTTCAAACTGATGACTGAGTACCTACATAAATGTTTATGTTATCTAGTTCAGCCATAAGTCTGTTTCATTTGAAAGCCATTGTCAGGCTAGATCTGATGTCAGCTGGGTCAGTGTTAATGTAACAAGGTCTTATTCCAGCCAGCCAACAAAATGACAGTGGAATGAGCTTACAATTTAGCTGTAGTTCAGTAACCTTGGGGTGAAAAAAAAAAAAAAAAAAGAAAGAAAAAAAAGTGGGGGGGAGAAAGCATCTATCACAATTTTCATTTTGAGCGTGTCTGGAACTGAAACAGAATAAGCTAGAAATGCACACAGGGCTACATGCATAATAAAAAGACTTGCAAAAAGCACAGGCACAATTCAACCTGTAGTTAAATCTGTTTTCAATATCACTTATTTGTTAAACTTTCATATATGCTTGCCTGAAAGAAAGGTATGATCCATTATCACAGTATAAAGGAAATGCTGGAACACAAGGACTGACTTTGCCATTTTGATGACTCATAAACCTTTAAAGAGAAAACAGTCAAGAGTGTTTAATGTGACTCATAATCACCTCTTTCACTTCTAGCATGCTGATCTATTACCTACAAAGTATTGCAAGATCATTGAAATTCACCAACAATCAGCTGAGAATGAAGATACAAGCAGTAAGTAGAGCTCAAAGTACTTTCACATACAAATTGGTGGGTTTTCAAGGAAGTGCTAGCCTAATTAATGTCATCTTCAATATTTCACAATGTAAATCCATCCTGCCTTTGTTATCTCTATGCAGTACTGGATTTACTTTCTAATCCAAAATAACCTTCTCATTCTCCTGAATGTGTTTTAGGAAAGAACTGAAGATAAGAAAAAGGTGGTGCAAATGGCAGTAGGTAAGTTGTTGAGCTTAGGAAATTCCACTATTAATAAGGGATTTGGACGTGAAGATATTTTTATTTCTCATACACATAGGGAGGTTCAACTGTATTAAAAACAAAACAAAACACATGTTTCCTGTGTAGTCATACATTTAGATGGTTTTTAAGCCCAGCTTGACTTAATCTTGGCAGCACTGAAAGCCAAGGCATGTAGTTTTCACTGAGATCTCTGTGCTGGGTATTTTCTGGCTTTTACCACCCACAGGACAGAACCTAGTAGACATTCCTGATGATTAAATCATGCCAGATTTTACTCAAAATTCAGAGGGTAGTAAGTAGAAGAGGGGAAAAGGGAATGGCTCCTTTGACCTCTCTAAGTTAAACATCTCATCTGCATTGAAGAGATTTCAGACTTACTCATCTACTGTACCTGAGGGGATTTGTGCCTACACCTTTTACCTCTCAGATTTTAGACATGAGAAACTACATTAAATTCTCTGACCTTTGGGTAAATTTGAGCCAGTGCGTTTACACAACTTCTAAATTTAGAGGCTTGGAGAGTTCCTGTAATAAATTCTGTTTTCTAGCCAGATTCCAGAATCTGGATGGGAGTGACAAAAGACCAGACCAAGACGGTGGTCTTATTAGCCAGGAGTCTTCTGTTCGGGCCTCAACCCCACGGAAGAATGGCAGCGTCTTGAACTTTGAATCTCCTGTGAGCAAAGGCACCAGAATACAAACCATCTCCCAGACTGTGCCCCACACCGTGCCCTCGACTGATGCAGCAAGACCTGTGAATGCAACTCCCACAACTTCAGCTTCTTTAACGCCCTCAGTATCAAGTGTACAGAAAGCAAGAAACGACCATACCACTAGCAGGCAAGACTGGTTTTTTTAAAAGCAGAATCATTTGTAGATACTATTCAGAATGCCGGTAACACTCCGAATATCTTCCGTTTTAATTATACTGGTAAGCATATCTCCTAACATTTCCTTCCCTTTTTTTTTTATTTTTTTCCTAAAGGTACCCAAGTGTTGTGCATGGGAGTGCAAGTGAGCTCTGTAAAACAAAGGCCTATACGCCAGTGGCTTTCAAAAAACGTACTGAAGATGTTCACTCTGAGCCTCTCTTTAGGAAAAGCATTCGGCAGGTAAATCCAGATGCTTTTGGAGCGGGGGCTCCTGTTTTTGTGGGACGCAGACCACATGCTACCAGATACTATGTTGTTAATGAAAGTGAACCCCGTAAAAAATCAGGCCGTTCTACCTCCCGACTCCAAAGGCAATTCCGAATAGAAGAGCCAGAAGATATTGTTGAGTTGTATCCGCACAATATCAGAAGATACGTGGTTCAAACACCACAACGCATGTATTCTCCTCATCCCAGTGAAGATGAGGAGGATGAAGAGGAACTTGGGAGACGCTATATGAAAAGATCCCATCGCCCTCGGTCACTGTCTGACCTTCGCCCAGCACCGCGATTTTATATTGGGGAGCGTGCTGATGGCCATGTTCTTACGAGCAAAGACCTAGCCAAAGTGCATTACAAATCTTGGGATGATGGTTTTGAGCTAGACCTGGACAGACCTCCATATGCCTACAAAAAAGTGCACCTGAAAAATGTTGATCAGCACTATCTTGAGCCGCATGTGAAACCTAAAATGAAGCATATACTGGAGCAGTCTCTAACAGAATCTGACTCAGTTTCCATTGAATCGAGCAGTGATCCACAGAACAGCAGCAATGACCAATACATCCAGGTCATTCATAGCAAGGAAAAGTACCTGAAACCTGGGACAAAACTCACCAAAAAGAAATCAAAAAACAATACTGAACTAAATATGTCTGAGCCTAATGAACTGGTATGCTCAAATGTCTGAGAAAGTGCCCCAACTTTTTGTGTTTAGAACAGGTTTGTGCACAGGTTTGTGTAGTCATTGTACTTCCTGCACAGGTTTGTGTAGTCATTGTACTTCCTGTTTAAGGTCTATTAGAATAACTACCACAGTCAGCCATTCAAGGTGGGAAAAGCATAATTAGTCCTGTGTTTTACTGTTAACTGTACCTTGCTTTGACATCATTCTCCTTTATTACATGTTATGCTGTTTAAAAAAAAAACAAAAAACAAAAACAAAACAAACAAAAAAAAAACAACCAAAAAACTATTGGAAAATCAAAAGCAGTGTACTTGGAGCACTTGAATTAAACCTGTATAGAAGTACATCAGACAAGGCTCTCTGATGTGATTGCAGAAACATGCTCCTACTGAATCCATGCAGCAGGTAACCACCATCCTACAAGCACAGAACTGCTTCCTGAAGTATGGAATCAAAGAATTGAGTTGGAAGGGACCCTTCAAGGCCATCTGGTCCCACTGCCCCACACTGAACAGGGACACCTACAGCTGATCAGGTGCTCAGAGCCCCGTCCAGCCTGACCTGCAGTGTCTGTAGGGATGGGGCACCCAGCACCTCTCTGGGCAACCTGTGCCAATGCCTCACTGCCCTTATTATAAAAAAAACTTCTTCTTTATGTCCAGTCTAAATCTCCCCTCTTTTAGTCAGAAACCATTTGCCATTGTTTTATCACAACAGACACTGCTAAAGAGTGTCCCCTCTTTCTTACAGCCCCCTTAGGTTCTGAGAGGCCGCTCTCAGGTCTCCCCACAACCCGGGCTGCACAGCCCCAGATCTCAGTCTGTGTTCCATGCCTTGGGTCATTTCTGTGGCTCTCCTCTTGATGTGCTCTGGCAGGTTCACGTCTCTTCTCTACTAAGAACTTCAGATCTGAACACGGTACTCCAGGTGAGATCTCACATTGCAGAACGGAGGGGCAAATCCTCTCCCTCGCCAAGCTGACAGCGGTGCTTTGGATGCAGCCCAGGACACGCTTGGCTTTCCGGACTGCGAGGGCATGTCGCTGGCTCACGCGCAGCTGCCATCCAGAAGCACCGCCAAGCCTTTTTCGGCAGAGCCGTGTTCCGATCCTTCCTATCCCAGGTCTCCTACTCGTTGCCTATGGAGGCTGGAAGTCCATGCAGTTAACCCTCCGCCGTGCCACGCCAGGATGTCGCAGCCCTCAGGTGAGGGGGAGGTGCCGCCATCGGCCCACGGGGGCGGCGCAGCGCGGCGCCTCATAGGCGGTGTGCGAGCGGCTGCCCCGCCCTCCCTGACCATGGACTACGCGGGGCTCGCCGAGTCGGCGGCCGACAAGATGGGGCTGTACCGGCGGGACGCGGACGGCTGGCGGAGCTGCCGCCGCACGGTGAGCGCCGGGGGATGCGGGGCGGTCGGGGCCCTGGGGCGGTCAGACCGGCGGGGCGGCTGACGGCTCTCCCTGCCCGCAGAACGAGGTCGCGGTGTCCTGGAGGCCGTCCGCCGAGTTCGCCGGCAACGTGTAAGTGAGCTTAGCGGAAGGAAGCGGGGTCGGGGCGAGGCGGGAGCGGCAGCGCGTTCGGTTTCGTTTCGCCTCCCCTCAGGTACCGCGCCGAGGGCACCGTGGCCGCCCGCCCGCAGCAGGTCTGGGAGTGCATCAAGCCGGTGGCCGGAGGGCTCAGGACCCAGTGGGACCAGAACGTGAAGGACTTCGAGGTGGTGGAGGCTGTCAGCGATGTGAGTGCTGAGCGTGGGTTTGGGGACTCGGCGTTCCTGTTTGTGCCGCTTACGAAACAGCCGACGTCGCTTGCGGGGAAAGGGCTGCGGTGTGCTGGGATGTGCCTCTCCGTACCGTTATGGGAGTAGATTGTATCTGTTCTCTTGAAGGGCTGTCTTTCTGAAAGGAGCTGCTTTATGTTTTGGGCTAAATACGATGTATTTTAAAGATAAGTAAACTTATGTCGCTGAAGATCTTGCACTACAGTGTTACCGCTGCAAATTGAGGCAAGCAGAATCTCCGTTAGCAGTCTTTCCTGTTCCTTCACAGATGTTTAGAGAATCACAGAGTGGCTTCGGTCAGAAGTGACCTTACAGCCCACCCAGCTCCACCCCTTGCCATGTGCTGTGTGCCCCCACCAGCTCAGGCTGCCCACAGCCCCATCCAACCTGGCCTGGAACTCCTCCAGGGATGGGGCACCCACAGCTCTGGGCAGCTGCGCCCAGCCATCGCTGCTCTCTGAGTAAAGAATTTCATCCTAACATCTAATCTAAATTTCCCCTCTTTTAGTTACTGGAAATATGAAGGTTTCTGCAGCACAGTATCTGGGTATCAAGTTGCTTTCTTAAGCGACCTGTTACAGAGAAGGTATCTTCATGAAAGTCCTGAAAAAGAGTAGTGTTTTAATTGTCCACTGAGCACATGTGTGCCAGATCTGCTTTTCAGCATCTTTTGTGGCATCTTTCCTTAAACAACCAGGGATCAATGCAACATTGGTGTGTTTTCCTTCATTAAATAATTTAATTAGCATACCATGGTGCCTTTTGCCTGTGCTGATTTGCTTTTTTTTGTTGTTTTTTTTTTGTTTTTTTTTTTTCAGTGAACAGTGTAATATAACTCCTTCATAAGTTCATCAAGTGTAACTGAAAGAGTACAAGAAAGCACAGGGATATTTATGCTGTACTTTTGGAAACATCAACTGATGTAAAGTCCTTTGTAATTTCCAGGCTGTCTCTGTATGCAGAACTACAACCCCTTCAGCTTTCATGAAGATTATTTCACCAAGAGAATTTGTGGATGTGATCTTAATGAGGCAATATGAGGATGGGACGATGCTATCTGCTGGTAAGATGCTTATGTTCGTGTTGTAATCTTGATTAAAGGATAAAATATTTGTGGTCTCTTTGCATTGTTCTTAGGCATAAGTCATATTCTTTTGTAGTTTGTTTTTTTTTTCATCTTCACGCAATTGTTTGCCTGCTGCAAATCACTGCTTTTATTGCTTCTTTGCTCAGCTGCCCAATTTTCCCCTGCTATTCAGGAATGGTTAGCCAGAAATTCTAATACCTGGAGTATTGCTCCTGGAGTGCTCTTTCTTAGCAGTCAAGTGGTCTATACCTCTGTGCTATGGATTTGTTGGAAGCAACTTGGTTGAAACCCAGAGATCAGCAATGCACTTAGGCAGTGCAGTTTCATTAACACTCTCTCAGGGCGTCCTGATGCTTGGTTCAGAGCTCAGCAACAGTTACTTCTGAATGTAACACTTCTTTGATTTCTCAGGTCAGCAGCCCCAGCAGTTTCTACTTCAATGGTAGTTTCTGTGCTTGTATGATGCAGCCCAATAATAGGAGCGTTATGCTGCTTATTCTTTTCAAATATGTTTTCTTAGAGTGAATGTGCTTCTCAGCTGCTGCTTTGAGTACAAAGGACTCTTTCCCATCTCCTGTGTAAATGACATACTTCTTGAATGCTTTTTCTTATAGCTACCAATGTGGAACACCCACTGTGTCCCCCTCAAGCAAATTTTGTGAGAGGGTATAATTATCCCTGTGGCTGCTTCTGCATACCAATTCCAGGGTAAGAAGAGATCTATTTGACCACTATATTTTGAACCCTTTCTTACCCATTGTGCAGCGTGTTTGTGTGTATGTGGCTATCTGCAGTGTGTAGTTCCTTGGCAATGACATGTTTCTATCTTCCTGTGACATGTAATTGTTATGACTGAGTGCCTATTCTGTTCTCTTTTATGCTGTGAGTTAGTTCTCTTCTTTGAGAGAAGTGAATGTTACACGAACTGTTGTCACAATTCTTGCTGACCTCTTAAATGGAGATTCAGCAGAGCATAGGTTATGGTCTTAATTTTGGTAAATGTGTATCTAGCTGTTTGTTACACTGCCATAATTTGTAAACAGAATCACGTACTCAATAGGGCCTAGCTTAATTGTAATTTGACACACACATTTATAGAAATTTAAAATTAATGTCTGTTGTTTGTTTAAAAAAACTAACTTAGAAATATCTATCATCACCTAGTTCATATATGAGAGTCATTGTAAAGTCCTTAATGTTTCCAAACCTCTGGCTATAAAATCATTTGCATTGTCTTTCAGGGAACCAGACAGGACTCAGCTCCTCAGTTTCTTTCAGACCGATCTTGGTGGCTATCTTCCCCAGACTGTCGTGGATTCTTTCTTTCCAGCTAACATAGCTGGATTTTACAGCAATCTGACCAAAGCTGTTAAGGCATTAAAAGCATGATGAGACCAAATGCTGACATCACCAGCTGAGCGTAGGAAATGAACTGGCAGTTTGAGGGTAGTGATCATGAGAAGTAGGAAGTTGGCCAGTAACACTTTTCTGCTGACAAAGATCCTCGGTAAACGTGAAATTGTTCAAAGTAATGCATACTTTTCTAATAGGATATCCTTCATTTCTATAATTAGAAGATGTCACACTAGAGGCAAGAAGAATCCTGCAGGCAGCACTGCTGGCTTTCTGTGGGAGACAAATATACTAGATCTGTTCTTCATCAGAGTCTATGATTATAGCATAAAATCCACTCTACCAGCATTAGTCAGGTGCAAGCGAAACAGTTTCTCTGAAGCTCTGTGCAGACTCCCATGGAACAATGTTCCTTAACAGACAAATAGGTGGCTCTTCTGATGCCAGCCCTCACAGAGCTGCTAGGATGTTTCAGAAAAGTCAGAATTAATTGGATTGTGTGTAGGATCCCAATTGTTTGTTCCCACAGACGTAGATATTTGTGGTAAATATAAGTTAAGTGCTGCTTTTCCTAAATCAAAGTCTAGCAATGCAAATCAATTAATAGGTCTGTGGGTTGGCTTGTAGACACTTTTCTTTCTTCCCCTCTGTACCATGACAGTCATTTCCACAGCATCAAACCAAACTGCGCTGATAGAGTGGCAATAAAGAGGATTAAGCACTTTACTTGCCTTGTTTTTTTTAACTGCACTTGAAATACTCAGGTATTTCAAACACTTTTCAGCTTCTTGTAGTGAGAGGTCTCAACAGGTAAACAGTCATTTCTGTAGCTCAGTCATGACTTGGCAGGCCATCTCTTTAATACTCTCTTTAATACTTACCTGACAGCACTGACTTGGGAAATCAGCTCCTGATCAAGCGTGTTGTGATATGTGCAGCTTTTAAAAATATGTACGGTGCTGGTTACCGTGGGAATGTCAGACATTGCTATGGGTTACATAGAATCACAAAAGGAAAATTAATTACTGTATTAGCAATTGGTAGGTTGTGATTTTAATGCTTTAACTTGGTTATTTAACAAAGTTAATATGCTCTGCTCTTTATCCGTGTATTTGTGTTATGTTGGTGTGGGGCATAGGTTTGCATACAAAGTGTTCTACTGTAATTCTCACCTTGTGGAATAGATTTTTTTAGGGAAGCAGTTTTTAATTCAGTCCTTTTTATGTACAAAGATGTAAAAACTTCTATGAGGGTGATGAAATAAATATTTTTTTCTGCTGTACCTTGTTGTCTTTCCTGCTATATCTTCCTGTTTCTCTTTAAAATTGTTCCTCCTACCCCTTCACAGGGTACCTTGAAGCACCGCTTGGATCTCCAGCATTTCTCAGAATTCAGTGCAGCGAGACAGCAAACAGCCTTCCCTTTAATTTGCACTCCCCACTAAGTGGGGATATAATGTTTTGGTGAGGGCTCTCATTCTTGACTTCTTTGTCCATGGCTGGTCCTTGTTTCCTATTTAGTTTGCTGCTTTCTGTGCTTAAAGAAAGGTAACAAATTCAGTGAGGAGAGAGATGGGCCCTGACGTTACAGAGGCTCATACTTACTTCCCTAAATGTGTTGCAGGTTTTAGTATCAGGCCTCATGTTAAGTAACTGGGCAAGTCTTTGCAAGATTGTGGTTAATTTAATTTTCAGAAGGTTCAGTGAGTGGAGCTCAAGTCACCACTTGTAATTCCTGCAATTAAACCTTTTGCAGATAGTGGGATTTTTTAATTAGTTCTTTTAAAACATTTGTTATATTTTTATACTACTCTGAACAACAAAGGTGGTGGTTGAGGCTTTTCATTAAAATAACTTCAGGCTGCTTTTTCTGAGTGCTCAGTGTGTTCTATCCAGAAGCAATTAAGAGCACTTAACATTCATCCTTCTGCCATGCCAAATCAGAGATGCAAATGTCTTAGCAAAGATCATCCTGTAAGATCTTGGAGTGCCTCCAGTGAGATGTGCCGCTTCTGACAGTGTTTGCACTTCTTTTGATCCTGACAGATGACAGGAAACAGAAGCAAAAGAAAACACTGAAAGAGGTAAGAAAAGCACAGTTGGAAGAGGGAGAAAAAAAAGATCCAACTGACCTTGGTGGTTCTGTGTCAGTTTTTAAATTGTTTTGGGTGAGGACACCTTTGGCAAATGACACTGAGGTAATCTAAGGCATTCTGTTCTCGTGGAACTCTATACAGCATATGGAAAGTGGTGCCAGAATACATGCAGCAGCATTTGCTGCGTACTTTTGTGTCCAAATTAGTGTTTTCAGAGTAAAAGTTTGAATTCAGAAGGCTGAATTTCTAAATACTGACACTTTTCCTTATAAAAATTATACAAAGGTATTTAAAAGTAATGTGCACTCTTGTTTCTAGATGGCCTTGCTGTTCTTGACTCTGGTCCCATAAGACCTCTGACCAAAGGAATGTCAGAAGAATCTTCATTCTGTTGCCCTCAGCTTCCTGCTTTTCATCCTAGCAATACTATGAGATGCTCCCTTTATTTTTTTTTTTGTCCCTAGTTTGGGTGCTTGAGTCAACACAGCTCTTTCAGCTGCTAATAGAAAGCTATCCTAGTCAGTTTTAGGCTGTTCTTCAGTTTGAATAGAAACGTTGGAGTTTTTCAGGGCACGCTGTATTTTTGAAGTACTAAGTTGCATCCTACTTCCTCTGCGTTTCACAGATGCTGTGTTACTGTCTTTCATTGGGGGTGTGCACATTCCCTCCTCTTGGGAAGATAGAGCGGCAAGCAAAACTAGTAAAGCAGAAGTGAACACTTTGTTGCAGGATGTGCTCTCAGTCTTTAAGAGAATGGCTTAAAATAAGAGTACTATTGCTTCCACATCTTATTACAACCAGTATATTATTTATAAAGTCATTTTTTGTTATTATTTGACACTGAAACAATTTTCTGAAATAGTAATCATGTACGTTTTCATTTTCACTTCTCATTTTAACCCAAACAGCTGTCTCTAACAGGCAGTAAAGTTCCATATACAGAGTACCACGCCATGCTAGCCAGATGTCTGTAAGTGATAAACCACACCATCTCTTTTTGTATGTAGTATTGGCAGTAGTCTAATTTCTCCTCTTATAAAGTTTCTGATGCCTTCTTGGTAACAGAGCTTGGATTCTTTCTTTTGATGATAGCTGTGATGGGCCCATCAGGTAATGCCTTGATTATATTCCATGCTTCAAAACGAGTGAGTCCTTGCAAGGCTGTGGTTTGCACTTGTAATAGCTCATCACCAGGCTGAACTAGGCTGCTTTGCTCCAGTGAGGTTCCTGTAGGGGAAGGAAGAAAAATAGTAAGAATTTTCTCTGTGGGGGAGTTTTTAGTTAGTCTTTCATTCATTAGGGTTCACTACCGTGTTTGGTATAAGTCAGCTGTTCCCAGGAGGCAAAAACTACTTGCATTGCATGGGATAATGCTGCATTTACCAAAAATCTCTTTTAATAAGTATAAATCAGCAGTCAGTTATGAACTACGCTACTTTTTATCAACAAAGAACCTGCCAGCCAGACACTGAAGTGTTTTTACCTTTAAATATCCTGTTGATGATGATGGGTTTATCTCCATGAATAGAGCCCTTCCCACCTTCCAGACTGAATCCCAAACCAGCAGCTGATTTTTCTAGAGTTACAGTGCAGATTGCATCTTCAGTTGCTGGAAATAAATGGAAAGTTAGCAGGTGGGCACAAAAATACCTGGAAGACTGTAAGATCTGATAAAAGAAATGAGCTTCTGTTCTGTTTGCAAAGGCAAACAGCCAAATTGAGATGGCAGCTTTTAATTTCTCATTTTGTGATTGTACAGCCCTTTGGGAAGCTGCAAAGAGAATGTTGTGTTTGAACTCATAGCAGAAATGAAATTTAAAAATGAAAGAGTGATATTTTCTAGAACTAAAAAAATCTGTTCAGTGAACAAAATTTGCAGTAAGCATACTTGATTTGACATTAGATTTGAAATTCTTATTAACCAAAAAGCTGCAATTTAATCTGCCCATGTGTTATGGATATAGCCACCTGCTACCTCAATCACTAGCATGTTGTTTAAACCAGTGACTCTTTCACAAAGAAAAATAGTCTTGCATAGTAAAAACTTCAAATTAGAAACCATAATATCGGAATTCAGAATCTGAATTTTCAGAATTCAGAAAATGAATTTTCATTTTAACTGCAGTTAGGCCTGTTACTAGAATAACAGTATTTACATGCTTTCAGAAAGTCATACTGAGGATCTCACAGTTGGTTGGTTTCCTGGTTTGGTTTGGTCTGATTTTTTTCAGAGGGTTCATTTATTTCAGAAATGCATTAATTCTTTCCAAAGCTATCCCAAATACCTCTTTCAGGAGTGTTTCACAAACTGTGCTGTCCTTGATCACAATTCTCAATTCACCCAGCCGATGCTGAGCAGCTCCATTAGTACCCATGGTTTCAGGCGACAATATTAGAATCACAGAATCATCAAGGTTAGAAAGACCAGTAAGATCATCAAGTCCAGCCATCAGCAATGCCTGTGTCTGCTCTAGACCATGTCACTCAGTGCAATCTCTGCCCTACTCCTGAAAACCCCCAGGGATTGTTACTCCACCACCTCCCTGGGCAGCCTGTTCCAATACCACTCTTTGTGAGAAGAAATTGTTCCTAATATCCAACCTGAACCTCCTCTGACTCAAGGCCATTACTCTCGTCCTGTCAAACACTGATTAAATCAAATACTGATTAAACACTGAGTAGGTAGCTGCTGTGAGGTAATGCTGCTGAACTTACCTGATTCTTGTGAGACATCGCTTGCAACTGAAGATGTGCTAGAGCCAATTGAAACGTTGTGACTTTTTTCTCCATCTTTTGCTTTTCTAGTGACAACTACAGCTTGTCTGGGTTGTCGAGCTTGTCGCATGATCACTGAGGCATCATTGTGAGTTGCCCCTTTAAAAGACTTTCCATTAATGGATAGTACTTCATCTCCTTTCTGAATAGTTCCTTCCTGAAATGCTAGTCCATTGGGAAACACCTTGTGAACCTATTGAAAAGCCCCATTACCACACAGGCACACAAGAAAAGAGAAAAGAAAAAAAAAGAAATTATTCAGTTAATAATTTTCACTGTGTGTATTTTCCATTCTTTGCCAAATGGTTGCTTCCTGCTGTTGAGGGCTGTTGGCTTTAAGAACTGTTGGGTGGGAGAGTAATACCCAACGAAACAGGACACTTCTGCTAATAATTACCTGGAGATGACAGCTCTGTGCATTCTCACTCACAACCAAGATTTTTCTGACCCTGTGTAAACAGCTGCTTACTTTAATTATGCCAAAAGCCGGCCTTGGTAGTAGGAAACCAGAAAGTTATACATATTTTTAGAGAGAGTAGTTGTTTCCAGAGTATTTTTTGAGAAAGATACTACTTACTGTTATCACTTTGTTTTCTAGATCTATGCCACCTGCCAGACTGAATCCAAGCCCAGTGTTTTCTTCTTTATGCAGAATTGTAACGTGAATATCATCTAATTCCTAGGCAGAAAAATAAATTGTGTCGAGAACATCCCAATATATAAGCTGAGTTGACAGGAAAATCCATGCATTTTCTGTTTGTCCACTGAGCATTTTGTAATGAGGATTAAGGATTTGAGCATAATGCTGAGACATGTCAAGTGTTTTGTTTTGATCAAATTTTCTTATCAATTACCTATATTGTGAAGTGTTATTATGTCCAAAACTGTTATGTTTCTGCAAATATGAGTCAATTAGATCTGATTATAATTTTAATCAAATTTAAGAGTACGACAGAATCAGTGCTTAATGATGTAAGTACAGAAAAACAAGAAAAAATAATGTGGCTTGCAGCTCACAGATATAAGTACCACAGCTTAAACATTTTTTCCAAGTTTTATCTGTGATAACAAAAAGTTGCAAAGCTGAATGGCCACTCCGCATGCTGAAAATGACATCAAAAATCACACCGAGCAAAGGCTGATTTACCTTTAACGTGGCTTCATCTAGTGATCTGACTTCTTCTATGAGCTTTGCTAACTCTTCAGGGGAAAGCAGAGAGATGACAGACTGCCCTGACACACCGGATGCTTGAGGTGAGCCTTGTTCCTGTTTCTCTTCTTCTTTCTCGCTATCTGCAAAGCTCACAGTGTATTCTCTCAGCTCAGAGAGGCTGTCCCATTGTGAAAAGAATAGAAAAGAAACACTGAGTTATGAAAGGACATACAAAAGCACAGAGCAGACACTGCTAGAGCAGTCATCCTTAGATCCCCCAGCACTGGGGAGGTCGTTCATGTCATAAGTATTATGAATACTTCCATATATCGTAATACCTAGCAGAAGTAGGATCAGTCACATAGAAGAATAATCTCTTGGCTCTAGAATAGAACAGATCTAAACCATGTCTGTGATTTTTGTTGTTGCTTTTGTTTTTCAGTTTCTCATTTTCATACGACTGTAATGATCTTCCTTGAGAATGCAAACAGTAGATTTTTGTTATTATTTTTTGTAATCTGTGCAGTAGAGTTTTGAAAGAATTTTTGAAGGCTCATATGTGCTTTTGAAATATTTTGCCGCAAATACCTCTGATTTTTGTTGTTTTCCTAAATCTCTGACTAACTGGAAATGCATATAAAACATTATAGGAAGCAAGCTTAGTATTGTTGGTGCCTTTTGTCCTGGGGAATGCCTGTGCCTCGCTCTGTCTACGTCACCTTCATGTATTTCAGCCAGATCTGCTTTTTAGGCTAGAAGTAGTAGTATTTCAATGATATGCAGCTTAACCAAAGGCAAATGTTAGGAGCATCAGGATGTTTGCACCATCTCATCACAGTGACTAGCTGCAGCTAGTTTAATTTTGGGAAGCCATAAAGTTTTCACTTCTTCTGGAAGTAACATACTAAAATTCCTCTGCTTCCTCACTGGTACATGCAGTAACAATGTCAGTTTCACTTTCTATTTCTACCACTCAGATACTAGAAATACTCCTCTTGAACTAGGAGGAAGCTTGAAATATGTCAATATTTACAAAAAGCAAATTAAATTTACCAGCTACGTGAGGCATCCTGCCAATCACTGTTCTTTACTATTGTGTGATCCTGCCTGAGAATATTATTAGCTAATCAGCACAGAGACTCACCAATACTGATCTGCAAATCTGATTTCAAATACAGTATCTTACTTCAGAGAAAATCCGGTGTCTGGGTGATGGTTCTCACTTGCAGGTGGGAGAGAAGTCCCATCCTCTTCTGCAGAGGTCTGAGATAATGTGTCCAGTGCTTCCCATGCACTGTTCCCAGAAGGGACTGGGGACTGGGGAAGGCAAAGCAAAGACTTCATTAAAGCAGATGACACCTGGTTACTGATGGAATAGATTTTACTATAGTTTTCATCAAATGTCTTCATCATCTCACAAGACTGAGTGGCAGTAAGTGGAAAGCTTCGTGATCTCAGGTTGTGTACTTTTGCTACTGGTGCTATATGGGAAGTTGTAATGGCTTCTGCAATGAGAAGGCCTGAAGGATTTTTGGTGTTGGCATTGTTGCTTTTCTCTGAGCTGGCTGCAAGGATGTCCTTGGGACAGGAAGATCTATCTAAGCTCTTTGTACCTATAACCACAGATGACTTTGACTGTTGGCTATTTTCAGAGCACGGAAGAAGGGTTTGGCTGAAATGGTTTGGAGCCCCTTCTGACCATTTTGCAGAGGGAGAGTGTTCCTTCTGGACTGATGGTTTTGGGCTGAGCCTTCGGTGTACTTTTTCAGGTGACTGTGGAGCACTCAAAGATTCAAATGAGCTTATTCTCTGTTTGATCGATGATCCCCTGGAAGACAGATGGGATAAACTGGATTGCAGTTCTTTGGTGGAAACACTCTGAAGGTCGGAAGAACTTTGATCTGCCTGTGGTTTGAGGTCTGAATTTGCTTTCCTCAGTCCTTTCAGACTTTGGCGAAACCAGGCTGGCTTAGGTGCTACAGGAGGGCCCTTTTTCAGAGCATCACTTTCATCTGATTTTGACCCTTTCAAACTGACTGTTTCTGATTCTGATTTCTGCAGAACCACCTCTGAGCTGCTTCGATTTTCGTGTTCTTCATTTGTGTCAATGCCAGGTTGCAAATCTAAGTGGCTGTTGTCTTCGTTCATGGTAGGATTAAATAAGCTTTTTATGCAGTCGGAAATCTTAACCCAAGGATCTTCTGTTGTAGTATCAAGAGTATAATCTACCCGTGCTTGCCTCTTAAGGACAGGCCTTCGTATTGATGAAACTGGAGTTCCTGTATTAAAGAAACATTATTAATAAGCTGCCTCCTACTTCTCCTCATCCATCTTTTACTTATGCGTTTTTAGTACTTCATTAATTTGAACTTCATTTGTCTCTGAGAAGTATGTAATAAGTATTTTATTTAAAATGTTTCTAGAAAATTTAAGCCTTATTTAAATTCACAACTCTTGATCTACAAGTTCAGTTTCCTGATGCTGAAATTATCAGAAAAACAAGGCTCTTCCATGCTCAGGAACATGATCCCTTCTTTGGAAGTCCTGTAACTTCCAAATAGCTTAGATGAAGTACACATGAATGGAAACAAATTTTTGTTTGTGCAGTTGCAGTTATTTTTGTCTGCATCAGTGTAAAGAAAGATATGTTGTAGAAGTGAACATTATTGGTTTTAATGATCTGAACCAGAAGTTACAGATTTGCAGAAAACAGTTTAAGTTGGAAGGAATCTCCTTGAGATCAGTTAGTATGTAGAATCATAGAATTGTTTGAGTTGGAAATGACCCTTGCAGGCCATCAGGTCCAACTCCCCTGCATTGAACAGGGACACCTACAGCTGATCAGGTGCTCAGAGCCCCATCCAGCCTGACCTGCAGTGTCTGCAGGGATGGGGAACTCACCACCCCTCTCGGCAACCTGTGCCAGTGCCTCACCACCCTCACTGTAAAAAAAAAAATAAAAAAATAAAAAAATAAATTCTTCCTTATATCCAATCTAAATCTCCCTTCTTTTAGTTTGAAACTATTTCCCCTTGTTCCCCTTACAGACCCTGCTAAAGAGTCTGTCTCCTTCTTTCTTACAGCCCCCCTGTAAATATTGAGAAGCTGCACTCAGGTCTCCACTAAAACTGCTTCTTTTAGTCTATCAAACACAAGAAGATAGTAATTTATTATCAGTGATACGTACCATTACAATACTTTCCTTGAGGCTAAGCATAACAATGCATTCTAGAAATGCTGAAGTAAAACTTTAATGTCATTTTTTCATTTTAAATAAGAACAGGCTTATTTATATTGAAAAAATACAGTAATAGTATACAATAATATAAAAATACGGTAATAATTGTCCATTTTTACTTTTTACAATAAATCATCTAGTCTAGTATGCTTCTTTCAATGTAGTTTCTGTTTTGTCAAAGACTGATGGATTGAAATTTCTTTCCTTCAACCCAAGAATTACAGCTATGAGAGAAGTGCGCATTTAAAGATGCTATTTTCAGCTGCAAGCATCATATTAAACATACCTAAGTTTGGTTTTCGTTCTTGATCTCTGCCCCCTGGAACAGCAGTTGTGCGTTCAGAAGCTGTAGGAGAAGTGGTGAAGACACTGTGAGTTACGTCTGTTTGCTGTCCCTCTAGCATTGGTTCTCTAACTTCCTGCTGAGCAAACAGGAAACAGAAGTGTGTCAGAATGTAATTATGCAAACCACACTACATGACTCTGAAGAAAATTATATTTTCACCTGTTTGCAATCTGGTAGAAGATATTTGAATAGGAATCAAGTTTTTATTTCTGCTTGAGAAGCAATCCTTATACAACGTTAATTGTTTCTCTATTTCAAGAGGGCCAGCATGGTATTTTATGCTACTTTTGTAAACAGATTGAAAAAATGCAGCTGACATTTCAAAACTGTAGTCAGTGGCAATAACACCATAAGCCAGTTTCTTCTGATGAAGATCTTTTACCCCAAGGACAAGCTGGATAAAGCTAAATCATTACTGTACCTTCGGAACTCTCCCTTTTTCGTTTTTCACTGGAAAAATAGAGTGAGAGGATTACCCTGAGGTGGCAATCAATATTACTCAACACCATAAACAGATGTTCCTGAATTACCTGATTCCATTGTAACCAATGACACTAAGCTGCCATACCACGGTGCTGGAAGTGCTGTCTGCTATGCAGTTAAACTACAGGATTGCTAATAGGAAGCAAAACCAATCAGGACTGTGTATGTCCTGAAAAAAGTCAGTAATTAAAGAATTCCTTAAGGTTTCTGTAATGTGGTGGTGGTTGTTATGCAACTTATTCTAGGAAAACCTTTTTCTGTGCTTACAGCAGCAGTAAAACCTTCTCTTCAGTATCTAAAATGCATTCCGACAAGCAACCTTTTCTTCTTGGGACTTAAAGAAATATTGCCCTGAGAAATACATACCCTCTTTCCAGAGGAGGTTTTCTTCATTAATAGAGAAGCTTTTGACTTTATTGATCTTAAGATTGATTTTTTCTTCCTTATTTGGAATAACTGAGGGGTGAAGGTTCAAGAGTTGTATGCAGTGATAAGTCCAACAGCCACTTAACTGCTCCGAATTTAACTTCTGGTAGGTAATTTTCTAGTAGCTGTTGATGAAAACTGAAACTTTCTAGGATGTTAACATTATAGTCAAAGTTCATTCTAAGCTGCATGGGTTTATTTGGACCAGTTGGGGAAATGTATTGCGTACAGTTCTGTTCATTTTTACTGGCATATTGCTAAACCCCGGGGAAACAGTTCCATTTTTAAACATGCCACAACTTAGTTTCAACATGCAGATCTCACAGTCCCTCACACTCATGCAAATGTGAAACATCTTCTATTCTATCTTAGGTAAGAAAAGGAACTGAATAACCTACAAATCTGCGCTCAACTGGCTCACTCCTATATTCTCAAAAAAGAAGGCCTTCAAACCCTCCCCCAGGCCCCACAAACACACACACTTCTCTTTTTTCCCTGACTTACTTCCTGTTATCACACACAGCCCTTCTCTTTGCCCTACTGCTTCCCCTGCCAGACTCACAAACACACACACACGTTTTGCTTTACCTGCACATTTGCAGAAGGTGATTCAGTCTCTTCAGATACAAGCTTTTCTTTTCTATCTGCAATATACTGGTCGTTTCCTGTGCAGTCCTGCTTAAAATATTTCCTTGGAGGAGGTTTGGGCTTTGATGATTTAGGTTTTCTAACAAGAATCTCTGTTGATTTCTTAGCGTTTTGCAAGGGTTGACTTCCTTCACTACAAGTAAGAGGGGAACTTCTCTCAAAATTGTTTCCAGACAATGAGTACAGCAGGCCAGGCTGTCTGGTAATTGGTACATCAATGCTGTGTACCCTTTCTTTCAAGTCACTCAGTTGATATGCAGCACCATTACTACACAAGGACCTGGGGTTGTAGCTGCTGTCACTGCTGGAGCGGGTCATCAGCTTCTGGGCTCTACGGTTGCCATAAGCAGTGTTTCTTTCAATATGTTTTTCACATGGGTGTCTTCCATGCCAGCTTGTGTCTAGTCTTTTAACACCTGTGTAAGAAACACAATCAAAATGTCTGGTTAGATATGTGACAAGGGCTTACTTCTAAGATCCAGCTGGCTAAATTTGTAGTTATCTCCCACCATCATCTGGCATACACAATACAAGGAGTTAAAGGCTTGTGAGAGAATGTCAAGGCTTAGATTTTTGGACAGCAAAATAGCATTGTTTTCCTTATATCTGTATCAGCAGTATGTTTTATTGCTTATTTTTTTGGTCCTTATTTCTTCAAAAACCAAAATTACTGCATGTCAATGAATGCACTCCCCTTACCTTCACTATTCCATTGATGTCTCTCCTTTCCAAATCTGTTGTTTTCCACAGCTTGTGCAACAGCTTCTTTTAGCTGCTGTTCAGACACCTAGGAAATACCACGCCATTATATTTTTACAAGATTACTATGTGGCAAGTAACATTTAAACTTTCATTCCTTTCACAAAACTTTCCAACCTCTCTAAGTCTTCTAATTGAAGTGAATATACCTAGTTACATCATGTACTGTTGTTAAGCAATTGCATACTGTTATAAGGGAATCTATACTAATAGAGCTGAAATTTTTCTGTGTGTGTGTTATTTATGTTGGCTGTTTTGGTAAAATAGGCTCTATATGGATAAATGTACTTCTGCATATTTCTCTAGAACTTTAATACTGGATTTATCAGTGTAAGGTAATTTAATGTTGATTTTTTTCTAATGATAACTTAATGCAACAAATTAAAGTTAATCATTTATGCTCTAGTTTGTGTTAGGAAGCATTCTGGAGAAATATCTGATTTTGCAAAATTTTTACTTGAATAGCAAACAGCTGAGGAAGACCTAAATTTTAATTACAGTATAGAAAATGGTTCTATAAACTTTTTTTGGGGGGGAGGGGGTTGCAGAAGGGAAAGGAGGAATATAATCCCTCTTTCATATTTATGTCTTCTTACTAAGAATCATTTCTTTAAAGTTTATTTTTCTGATCTATATAATTTTGTTTATACCTTAAATATTATTTCTGTAATTTCCTTATTCACAGCACACAAACTGTTGAAGCAATCTTTAAATCTTATGATTAAAGTATGATTTAAAAATCATATTTTATTTTAAAAATTAAATATGATTTAAATCTTGTGATTATATGCAAGGACATATCCTAGGTTTATACCATAATCAGTCTCAGATACTTGCAGTGATGCTTATAATGAGATCAGCATCTTCATTAGCAGCATTTTTGTTTTAACCTGTTTGTAGATTAACACTTCCTCTCTTTCTTAATCTTAGTTTATCATTACGTGTTTTACTGAAAATGAGAATACAGAGTGCTACCTGTGGTTCAGGGTGTCTGCTGATAATAATCTGCACTGCACCAGGATCACAATGGCTTAGTACAGCATAAACTTCATTCAGAGTCATATTTTGCACTAATGCTTCATTAATTTCAATAATTTCATCTCCACACCTGCAGAGATATTTAAAAGAAAGTGTGAATAAAACATTTTTCCTCCCATCTTTGTTTCACCCATGCAGAGATATGCAAAAAGCAGATTTGTGTAGTTGACCTCTACTTTGATCACAGATATAAATTGCATTGTCTCATTGTTCTCTTCACAGAAAATGGAATGGGGATGAGTTGAATGTCAGGTTTTTTTGATCTGCTGCATTGCTGCATGCAGCTTATGAAGTTCATGCTTAGCTACTCATACTCTTTGTGTCTGATCTTTCTGCTGTATGCAGCTCAGCTGCTGTTTCCACCTACAGCTTCCTTCCTATCAAGTTCTTCAACTTCTCACGTTGTTATGGTCTGCTAGTGTTATTTCAGATGAGAAAGGATATTCATATTTCTGCTACGTATGAGTAACTTGCTAACACAACAGTTCTAGTGACAAACGATTGTAATCCTGGCGATGCTTGAACTGAATCTTTCCAAGCTGTCCACTCTTCCCTGTTTCATTACAAATTCTCATATATATTAAGAAGCCTTCTGAAGGCATTGATTCATATCAAACTTTCCAAGTGTGCAACCACTTTGTTCTTTCAGCTAAGTACTGCATGTAGAGAGAGAACCTAAGTTAAAGAAAGTCACTGAGAAAGCTGTGTTCTGTTCAATTATAAGTATGCTCAACATGACTACTTGAGCATAAATCTTATGAGGTGAATTTCTATACTTCCACTAGGGATCATTTCAGTAAAACTGCATTTCCACTGGGGAAGAAGAGAGAATCTGAGGAGCTTTAATTGGGAAAATCTAAAACCCACGCAAGTCAGAAAATACCATGTATTCTGTTTTTTTCCAAATATGTCCTCATTGTTTCACTTATAGAATTCATTCTGGAACATATTTCTGTGCTTGTCTAAACCCTCCAAAGCAACCCAAGTATAGACGAGTGACAACAATCCCACTGGGCTGTGATGTTTCTGGAAATTCTGGCTATCACAAACATGTGCATTCTCAAACCCTCAGAATAGCATGTGCTGTTAACCCAAAGCCTCCAGAAGGCACTGACCTCTTGCCTTGTGAGATAAAATATAAAGCTGTAAAATATTTTAGAACAATGGAAAAAAGTTATCATAAGACAAATTTTCTTATCCTACCTGAGTCTCCCATCCATATGTGCCACAGAACCTGGTGAGAGGGTATGAATGAAAATCCCTGAAATACACTGGAAGTAAGGGATGCTGCATAACCCAATTCCAAGGCCAACCCCTGGCTCTGAAAAAAAAGTGATAATAATAAGAAAAGTGTAATAAACAGTCAAAACAAGCAATTGGAGAGAATAATTTTAAAAAACACTGTTTTCAGTTTATTTAACTTATTCTGTTACGAACCAGGAACCTACTCTTGTTTTCACAACTTGTACATATTACACATAAGATGCAATCTAAGTTTATTCTGCAAAATATTTTTTGTGACAGCGGAATTCAAATGACTGCACAGAGAGTGAATGAAACGAAAAGACCAAAAATTTAAGGAGCAAGTGTGTGGTCGTTTCTTATAGTCTCAATCCTCTTTTTGTTTTCTACAGTACAGCTCAAGATTTTTGCAAATGTACTTCTTTGCTCTGCATACTCTGATGTGAGATCCCATTCTATTTGGTAAGTCACCTCATAGATTCTTTATTCACTGTTTTGTTGATCCTGTGTTTAAAAACGTATTTCAGTCAGTTATTGCTCGTAAATAGGAGAAGGTAACAGTTGGAGCAGGAATGGCAGAAATACAGGAAGACATAAGTATGTATTTTACTTCTTTTTAGCCACCTCAAGAATGAAGCAAACTACTTGAATAATTAAGGATAAGAACTGCATAGGAATTAGTTGTTGCTAAGAGATCTACTTTTTCATCTGAAGGATATAAATGTGACAACACTTGAGGGAAGAAATGGTATGATTGACTCTTGAGGACAGATGGTATTCAAAAGCCACTGCTGATAGATTGCTGTTAGCACTGGAGGCATCATGGTCTACTTTAGTATATTAAAAAACTTAGTTCAGGAAAATAATGTTAGTGAGGAAAGACATGCAGATAGCATGAGTGGTGTTTTGTGAATCAGTGCCTCGTTTGTCCGTGCTAAATCAATTTTAGCACTTACCTTTGTTTAGGCTAACTTCCATTATGACTCTATCATTGGGCTTTGTAGCATTTAATAAGAACACTGGACTTTCGGAACTGAAAGAGCTGTTTTCTTTGGTTATGCATATACTGGAGCTGAGTGACTGACACAAGTGGGGTGACAAATAGCTGGAAGCAGAATGAGGTGTGCTGAAGCTTGTCCTGACTGTTAGAGTCAGAAGACCCTTTTTGGCCTGTTGGAAAGAAGAGATCACGATTGAATGGGTTGAGTTCACATGCATGTTGCATGTAAAGGCTGAAACTGTTCTGAAAGGAGAGTACGTAACCTTGAATTTTTGTAAGGCATCATAATGTGTTAATCCATGCATTGATTCTCCATTCAGTTCGAGGATTTCATCACCTGTTTTTCAAAATAAAAAAACATGTTAATATTACTGTATTGTGAATAAGTTGTATGATATATGCATGTACTAAAAAAGGAGTCTTGCAAACGTAATAATGGATGCAGATGTAAAAGTCACTTGTGGCTCATTTCAGTGGACCTTCATCTTCACTTAATCTTTCTTTAGATTTTCTTTGGGAATCTGGAGTGGGAAAAAGGAGAAAAGATGGATTTCTCACCTTCTTGTAGTCTTCCGTCAGCTGCAGCAGCTCCACCAGGAAATATGGTTTTGACGTAGATTCCTATTGGCCCATAAATGCTGTCTTTCCCTCCAACAATGCTGAAGCCCAAGCCCTGATTTATGGAAGAAAAATGGCATGTGAGAGCCTATGTTTAGTCTTCATATCCCATTTGCAAAATCATCAGCATTAGCTACATGGGCAATGCCAGTAAACAAAGCAGTATAATCTGTGAAAGATAGGCAACCACATGCCAGTAGTAAAAGCAAATGAAAATTTCAGCTGATTACTCTCATGATTCATTTGCAATCAATTAATTCCCTATTATAAACACATAAGAAAGCTTCTACGTTCCATTTTGCCCCTGGGCCAATATGTGACCTTGAGAGATCCATTCATCTGTTTTCTTGATTTCCTTTCCCATAAATGAAATTGATAAAATAATCACAGAAGATCTTACAACTAACCTTAGGCACTCAGATCTTGTGGAGAGAATCTTTCTCTTATCCTCTACCAAACAGGTTAATGTGTGTTGTAAGTTTAAGCAATGACTGTAGATTCTTTTAAGTAGATGCTTGTCTTTGATTATTTTTTTGTCTTTCCTCCTTATGTAAAAGGACAAACTATCTACTACCCTCAGAAGGATGCTGTGAGACTAATTCATATGTCTGGGGCCATTTAACATCCCTTAAATGAGAAAGGAAAGTACAGTGCTGATGATGTCCTTCTGTGCTCACAAAATACAGACAGTAAGTGATGATTTTGAAAATGATGCTGATCATACTTCATGTAACAACTTCTGAGAGGTATCTCACAGCTTAAATAGTTACAAATAACATATGACACAAATAAGTTTTAATAACTTAGAACCCTGTTCAACTAGTTCAAGAGCTATATGTCTAAGTTCACAACCCACATCTTCTCTGTATTCTAGTATGAACTGGCAGTCTACAACTAGAAACCTGAGCACCTGAAGTCATTATCAGTTTGCAGTTGAGAAATGAAGCAAAACACCATACATGGTAGTCAACAGAGCCAGTCTCACCTTCCCTTGTCCTTTCATCAACACGATGTTAGAGATCACCGAAGCCTGTGAGCCACAAGATGCATGCACCAGCTGTGCTGTACTTAGTGATCTAGATGGCCTTGAAATTGCCTGAGAACACAAAAAAATACAATTTTCATGCAGAACCAGCTGTTCTTTGATGCAGATTAGGGTTACTTGTTTACTTTAAATTTTCTTCTTTACAGTAACCGATGTTACTGAAGGCTTAAAAAATCCTTCTCATTTTGAGAAGCCGGTTGTTATTCAGCTAAACAATTTGCATGGATTGCGTTGTGGAGTTTGGGGCTTTTTATATGAAAACAGATCTCTGTGATACATTCTGTTGTTGGTGATCTGTGTTATGCTTTCTTTCAATGCATGTGAATTGACCTCTGAGCTCCTGCTCACTGAAATTGTCCAAAGCTAGAATGGCCCTTGAAGTTACATGTGGTGGTGTAGAAAGATACATTTGTGCTCTCACTTGATTCCCCATGCCAAAATCCCATTTAGGGATCCTAAAGAAGTATTGCTGCATTTGCCTCTAAGAACTGAACTCAGAAACAAGAAATTCTAACCCCCTTCTCTCATCTTGCTACTGAATAATTTACAATGAGACATATAGAACTTCCTTTCTGCATTTCCCCAAAAATACGAATTAGTGCTTACGATATTTCTGCAGTCTGTAAACTACTCTGCACTGTCTCCATTAAGCAAACACACAGGATTCTCTCTACAGCTGAAACAGATGAAGCACAACTTTTTTGCTTGATAACCAAGGCAAGCAATTTCTCAGTGCTCATGACCTGTCCATGCCACAGCAAGTGGATTTCTTCATTCCATCCCCTGAGATTTGACCCATTTTAATGAACCTTTAATTAAATGTTTAATGGAAACCTAACATAGAATTGAGTATTACAAACTAATTTAAGCATTAACAGAAGTCATTACCTGAAACTAACCATGCACAGAGTTTAGCAGGACCGGAGTTAATAGAACTCATTAAAAATCCCAGCAACTTCAATGTTGGTTTTTTTTTGGGGGGGGGTTCTTTTTTTTTCAGCAGTAGAATGAAACTAACAGGTGTGAAAGTGCATGGAACATCAGTCAAAAGTTCAACTTCCACATATGCTATAATATAAGTCAAGATTGTAACATGGAAACAAGCTTATTAATTCAACATCATGTTGAGAACATGAAAAAATGCCGAGGAGGAGGAAGATGCCTGTGCAAGACCAAGAATGTGCTCTCTGGTACGTATAGCTCTGCCACATCTCTGTCATTGCTTATTCCCCTGTTGCAGGCCTCCTGCATCTGAAAGTGGAAGTTTTCAAATTTCCTGAGTTTCTGGCTGTGTGAGCTCTGCTTTCTGCTTGTTTGTGTGATGGGTTGCAGTACCCAGAACTGGGATGCCAACCAAAGAGCCGATGGGCAGCACCCACCACATCCATCCACATGGGACCTCAAATACCCTCATTTCTCTTAACTGTCTCTGCTCCTCTGGGTTGTGGATTGCTTAGACAGCAAAGGGGTGTACATTATCATGGTTGCTGAAATATGTCTGACTCCCAGTGGACCAGAAAGAGCCTCATGAAGTCAGCATGAGCAGTGACTACCAGCCACGAGGTGACTCCATACCTGCATGTGGCCATAAGTGGGCTAACGGAGGAAAGTCTGGATGCTCACAGCAGCAGGGCCCGAAGTTCAGGCCACGTGCACAGAGCATCTCCATGGCTAGCAGTGGGGAGGTGCCGGGGTAGGGTCCTCTTCAGCAGTGAGCTCTGGGTAGTGAGCTAGCAAGGTGGCACGAACCACCTCGGGGGGGATTTGCACACACTGTAAAGCCTGCCAGGGCAGAGGATGGGAGAAGGTGCTGAAGAAAAGGGGTTTCATTGGCATAGTGCCTTTCCTGCTCCTCATGGGGGAGAGGAAACAAGTGTGCCAGAGACTGGTGATGCCTCTGGTTCCATTTTCCCTGTTCGGGCCTGAGAGAAAGATATATTTTGATGGCCAGACTGGTTTCCAACATCCATCAGAGATCTTCAGTTTTATTTTTTCTGTTTTTCAGGTGATTTCCCATAGCACTTACTGGGGTTCTCCCTCCAGAGCAGTCCAGCTGTTGGGAAAGTGATTTCCGATTGGTATGGAGGGCATGGGGCTGCTGCTCTCTGAAGGGCACGGCTTTCCGGGGTGCTGTGCAGTCCATGTCCCCTATCCAGTACGGGTTTACACCTGCAGGACATGGGGAGAGGGGCCAAGTTACTTCTGCTAGCTTTGGAAAGCTCTGCATATTCATCTGATCAGGTACGTTTCCCTTAGAAAAGTTTTTTTTTCCAGCTGTAAATCTCTCTGAAGGGAGCCATCTTTTTAATTCTAACTTGTGGGAATAGCAATTAGCGTTAATTATATTAAAAACAAACATTCCCAACCACAAGAGCATCAGCTTATTTAGAGTACACTTTGATAAACATAAAAGCGAACGTTTACATGCAAAACCCTTGATTGTAGGATTGGAGAATATAAATACTGATGCCTTTATGTGGCAGCAGTTCTTAGCTGAGGATCTCAGAGTGTCTGGACAACAGCTGTGCTATCTTCCAACACTGCAAACAGAGTACTGTGCTGTGAACACCCAGAATACTACAAGAGAGAAAACGATTTCTTTGCAACTTACTGGTTGAGTTGCTGCGTGTCCGTTGACACAGGGCTTTACTTTGCAGAAAACAACCATTTTGTACTTCCAAAGGCCTTTCCTTACAGGTTGATGTTTCCTTTGAGGTGGAAAAAAAAACAAACGAACTGAGAATATATGAAGGAGAAATACTTCCATTTGTTGACTTTTTCTAGTAAGACTATTACATTGCTATCAATAAATTCTTGAAAGTGATCTCCATTTAAAAACAAATTTTCTCCTAATTTGGCTTGTAGCCAAATGTGAAAACATTTTGCAAAATTAATTACTTAAAATATAGAAGATGATAACATAGTAGACAGCTCAGTGCTTTGTCAAAGAAATATGATTATAACTTGCCAGAGCAATAAGGTTGAAATAGATTTTGGTCTTTAGTCAGAACAGACATAAAATTAATGGACATCACTAATCGATTCAGACAGTCTAACATTTTGATGTATGGATAAAGTGTAGCCATCCTGCTCTAATTTTTGAGGATGACAGGCACTTTTAGTTACTTTTTTCATAGGAGAGCATTATTTTCAAAACAAAAACGTTTGGGCTCAGCTTTACAATAGTGAATGGGTGTCTAATTCCCACTCGTCTTAAAATAATGCCCAAATGTGTGTGTCTTGTTGAGGACAAGGGTTGAGCGTTTTTCAAAAACTAAATAAATAAACACATGATAAATGATGATAAATTATAACATCTGATTAATAGTTTGATGTTAGGAATAACGTCTGGATACATGTATTTCCTGATAGTACTGTTTCTGTCACGTCATAGAGAATGCCATTGATCACGAAGGAATCACAGTCAAAGGAAGAATATTACTGAGTGCAGACAGTGTAGGGAAAGTGATTCAGTAGAACTCCGGGTATAAAAGGCTTTTGCTCAGCAGTATTCTGCAGCAGTAAGAAGAATTAAGAATAAGAAGCAGTAAGAATTCTGGAGCCAACCGGCACAAATACTTTCTTCCAAATTTTAGGAGCCAAATTTTCAATAGTGCTGTTTTTTTAATTCAGAACTGACAAATGGTAATTTTCCTCTTTGACAGCAGGTGGAGGCATTAGTCATGTAGCTAAATCATACTAGGGCTTTCTGCTCCCTTTCTCCTATGAGCTCTTGAGAATAAAAAATGCAGAGAATGTCCTCAAAGAGGCGTTGTGGAACTGATTTTGCAGAGTTTCTTTTACAAGAAGAATTTAAAGACACATTTGCATCAAAATACTTTTTACTCTTAACCCTTAAGTATTTTGATGCAAATTTGTCTTTAACAGCACAGATCACCTGCCTGGTACTGTGCTACAATAGTTTGGTATATTTCTGGCCACTGAGCTGCTTAAGGAAGAGGAAGAAAAGCAAAAATCTTGGCAGAACTCTGTAGACATCTGGGTGAAACAGTTCATAACTGCAGTCGTGCAAGGGAATGCTCTCTATCCAGTCTTACTCTACCTGATAGCAGGCCCAGTCAGGAATACTTCCTCAGTCTAGGATTATACCAGAGTTTTCTATGTGATCTTACCGTAGATAATAATAATTAAACAAAAAGAAGAAAAAACAACAACCAGATGGTACTTTTTTCCTTGAACTTCAAGCAAGACCTTAAGCCTGCAACAAACCTTTGGCTAAACTCTGTTGTCTTCAAAGATGCAAACGTGTGATTAGGGGACCAACCTCCAACATTTGCAAGTGAAAAGCTTTTAGTGCCATCTGGTTTGGGGTGGTGAAAAGGGTCTAATCCAAAGAAACAGATCTAAAGGGTTTCTCCGTGAAAGATTTAGTGATAACCCAGGGCTGCTGACCTGCAAATGCCTCCTATTTCCCTCTTTGTTGTAGAGTCCCTTAACTTTTATCATAAGAACTTCCTAGCTACAGATCCTAGATTTAAAAAGAAAAGAAAAGAAAACAGACAAGAACAACCTCTACTTCAGTATAGGAGCTGCTTTCTGGCTTCTGGACTCACGGATCCTTAATCCACCTCTTCTTTTTCTCAACTTCCAAAGGGAAAATGAGCACTGGCAACCTATGTGTTTCTAAAAAGATGGATTGTACAGACTTTGCTAGAATTTCCCAGGGCTTCTCCATAACCTCTGTTTATCTGGGAAAAAAAATCTCTGCTGAAAGCTACTAGTCTGACCACAAGAGGTTTGGGGTTTAGTCAGAAAAAGCAAAACCATGTCCTTCAAATGTCTGTTGCACAAATTCCCTTCCTGTCTCTTAGTCCAATCACCCCACAGTTGTGGGGGGAAACACAACTTTCATGCTTACTTTGCTAGCCATCACCATGCTCACCAGCTGTGTTGTTGATTGAATGAGAGATTCAGCCTCCTTGCTGGGCAGATCTTTAAGTGATTGCCCATTTAGTGTTAACACTTCATTCCTTGGACTCAGACATCCATCCCTTAAAAAGAAATAAAGAATAGAGGAAAATGAATGCATACCATTTTACATCCGAAGAAAAATATGACACTATTGTGCTATGTGCCTCATTTCAGGAGTCAACTGCAATCTTCCCTCTGCCTTGGAGAGAGCACTTTCTGACATGTTTTGATATATTATATACTCCATCTCAGGGAATATACCCCATTCCTAGTCTATGACTACCCTTTGCTTTTGAGGCTCTTGTTTTGCCTTAAGTCTTCAGAGCCACAGATATAAGCTTCAAGCCACAGATATATGTGCTATCGATGGGGACTGAGCTCATGTGTGAGACATTCCCTTCCAATTTGTGTTTCCCTGGTTGGAAGCTCCCATACTGGCCAGCTTATTATATGTAGGTAGATGCTCAAGGAGTAAGGGCTTGTGTCCAGGCGATTATGACAGACCAGAATAGCCCAAACTTGTTGCTGAATGCTGGTTGTGCAACAACTGTGCAAACAGTTCCCTTAGAAGCTTGCTAACTCCACATGTGCTGTACCTGTTTGCTGTGCTTCCAGCAGGTACCTGGCAGCTTGAGAACCCTTTCCAGACAGAGGCACAGTTTGGACTCCTGGAAAGCTTGGTTCCTGAGCTGCTGTTTCCTCTGGTTGCACACAGTCTGCAGATGCAGTTGTCCTGATTGAGAAAGGTGAAAGATTGCATTCAAGAAAATGTTCCATGGTTGCTAAGAGTTACATAAATTTATATTGCATCTTGTGAAGAAATGCTGAAAATTATCTTAGAACCAGATTGCCTCCAAGAGGAATGAGAATTGGCCTTTAATGGTGTACAGTTGTGAAAGAATAATTTTATAATTTTAATAAGTCAGTGTTTAAAAAAAATTGTTTTCCTTAGCTTCTGGCTAAAAGAAGGAAGGAAGAGGAAGAATGCTGCATATAGGGGAAGAGAACTGATAATACGTTTGTAATAGTAACTGGCTAAATTTTGCTCATGCTGACAATTTTAAGAAAAGACGGGGAGGAAGAGTAAACACACATCCAAAAAGGAAATACTCCAAAAAAATATGATAGCTGTGAATGAAAAGTAAGTGTATACAAAACATGAGGAGCTCCACCCTGGCTGCTGACTTGTTAAGTAGTGGGCAGGGGAGCAAAGATGACTGCAGCACTGGAAGGTTTTGTCATCTCCAGTCTGGTTGAGGTTGCTGTAGTCTGTGTGCTGCATCTGGAGGGCTAATTGTAAGCACATTTGTAACACAGTTATGAATCATTAGCATATGGGCATACAGAAAGAGAAATAGTCTTAAGTCATGTGAGTAAATAAAGCAAAGAATGGATTGACTAAGCATACAAAGGAAACACTTTTGTCTAGGAAACACATCCCTGCAGCACAGATACTTAAGCATTTAAACAGTCTGAAGAGACAAAGAAAGCTGGCAAGTTAGTGCAGAATTCTTTCTCCATTTTCTCAGTACACCTCCTAATTCAAGTATTCATTCTCGCTGAGCTAAATCCACTCTCCCTGCCCACACCAGCCTCCCCAGGCAACACAAAGTGAACAAGGTCCTCAGCGTGTTTTGGATCCACGCTTGTTCCCAGCAGAGCTGTACGACTGAGATTTCAGACTTGGATGCACACTCCATACATCAGGACAGGCTGTTGTCAGCAGCACTGTCTTGTTCACAGGCACAGCAGAGGTCAGCTGTCTGTATTGCTCCAGGGTCCACTTCTCAGAGTGTCATGGACTATTTCCAGTGATTCGTAGTTCTCTGACAGCACAAGGGAAGCTATATAACCACCTTCTTTAGTATCTCTGGAGCTGCTTCCTCCCCTAAGCAGAGTTCATCCAGCCCTAAGGGTTATTGTGCCCTTTCACCACAAATCAATAGGGATTACATTATACCTGACTGTCAGCAAAGGCAAACTTCGAATTTACAGCAATTTCAATACAGGTCATTATCATCCCAGCTGGCTGTTGGAGCTTGGTTCCCATTCTGAAACCTGCCAGAGTAAATCCAAGGCTGTGAATGAATGAAGTATTTGAGTTTGAGCCCTGCAGTCACTACAGACTGAATTCAGTAGGTAACAGATAAGGGCTGTGCTTGTATTGACTGACATGTTAACTCTGTGGGTTTGCTTGCATTCCAGATTGTCTGCCATTAATGAGGAGCGTCTGAATTTTATGAAGCTCTTTTGCTTTTTTGAAGAGTGCTTCCAGTTAGTAATAAGTAAGTGTATGAGTATGGACAGGATTCTGTTTTAAACCAGTTTGTCTGAACTCTAGTATTAGTTTTGGAACTTCTGCATTTACTTTTCACCCAAAGTAAAATATTCTGGGGAAATATATGCATGAAATCAGGACTGTGTTAGGTTATTTTCCATCTCAGGGCAGTGCTCTAGAGTCTTCAGCATGGTAACAAAATAAATTCAGATGTCTTGAAATGTCAGATCTTGAGTAGAAAAAATATTCATTTTATACATCATTGAAAACTTACAGACCAGATTCTGCATATGTGAAGCATCCGTTAAATCAACAGGGTTCTCGAAAGAGCAGTGTGCTAATTCTAAAACAGTAGAGATGTAAGATACTAAATGTAGGAGCCATTATGACTGTGTTCTGCTCCCTTGAAATATACAGATGTTCCCTCACTGCTGCTGGTCAGGCATGCACACTGAGAGCTTCATGTAGCTGTCCTTGTGCACTGCAGTCTTAACTTCCACTTAATGGTGGGGCTCTTCAGGCAGCTCCCAGCCTCTCTCATGCTCATTCCCTTCCAAGAACTTGTTCTTAGTACACAGCTGCTGCACACACAGTATTTATAATACTCTTTGTAGTTATCTGTCAGAAAGGCATTTGGCTATCATCAGTTTCCCAGGACATCACAGAGGTGCAGTGTGTTTGGCTCTGAGATTGTTTATTGCGTGCCGTGTCAGCCCTGTGGGGAAGGTGTTTTGTGCAATGGGACAAGTGCAAGGCTGGAAATTCTGGCTTGTATTGGGACACGCATGTGAAATAACACCAGTGAGAACTTAACAGAATATTCTTTCCAAGAGCAATCAGTTGTATGCATTTAGAAAGAAAGAAGTTAAATTCATTGTGCATTGTAGAGAAGTTTTGGGAATAATTTTATTTTATTTTTTTAACTCTGTGGAAATCTTACCAAGTAGGGCAACATTTCAAATAGACTTTGTGTGTCAACAGTTTTTAAATGCATTTATGTGAACTACTTAAAAAAAAAAAAAAAAGTTTATTGGACAGGAGGGACACGTGGCAATATCTGTATGTTCTCAGCATTTGCACTTCTTTTGGGCCCTGGATATAGATTCCTGTGTTCACATCCAAGTTATTGCAACATGACAGAAAATTAATAAAAGCTGTTCTCTAGAAAAGTAAACATTTGACCACTTCATGTGCCAGCAGTCAATTTGCTTTGGGTTTTGTTCTTTAATGTCCTTTATTTCCTGTCTCACTTATTATTATATGCATAGAAATATTGCTGATGGTTCCAAGAGTAAAAGCAGCATTTGTTTTCATTCTCCTCCCTTTTACTGTGCCCTGCTGTTTTTGCATGGTGATTTATAGCTTTGTAGCAAATGCTGAAAATTTGCTAAAGTGAGGCTGAGAGGTTGAGGAGGGAGGGAATAGGCAGGTGGATTCTAGGTCAACTTTGCCTACTCGTTATTAGTGTGTATTTTTAAGTGATGTATTTGCTGCCAGTGAATAAAATCTATCTGCTTATAAGGGACTTTGCAACCCAGCACTTCAGGACTCAGGGGAAACTTGTGTTTGCATTGCCCATTACTGCGAAACCGAAATGAAGATGGTCTGCAGGAGTGCATTATAAACAAAATTAGTCTTTAAGCTGAACCTGTTTGGCTGACACGTTAAAATCAAAGAGGGAGTTCAAGAGTCTTCTTAAATGCATTTATGTTGCAGGTGAGAGTAAATTAATATTTCATGTGCTTTGCTCTGGAAAAGTAATTTGCAAGTCCAGGTGAATCTTCTCCTCCTGCCCTCCTTCTTTTGTTGTGCTAAATGAAAAATTTTGGAGGATGTTTTTCTATCTGCCATTTAAGAGATTTCTTTTCCCTTCGTGTTCTTATTAGGCATTTCTAGCCCAGAGTCCCGTCTCAAAACATCTCGTTCCAGATGTTGTTTTGAAGTAAGGGTAACCATGGCATCTGTGAAAAACTAAAAAACTTTTGTGCACTCTCACCGTAAGACACAGTAGTTAGATTGTCTGAAATGAAGTGTTATACAAGGCTGGTTCACGTAAGGTCTTTGACTCTGTTAACTAAGCATATGACAATGAGCTGATTGACTGCTGGTTAAAAAAAGGCCAAAGACACACAAAAAAGCAAAAAATCTAACAACAGTACAATAGTGAATTTAAATATTTGGCTTCTCTGCCTTCCCAGCTGTGAAATGACTGGGATTTCCAAGTGGAAGATGAAGAGAACACAGCCTTTTGGGATTTTCTTCAAGAAACCTGTTTTCCTGCATCATTTCTAACAAAGAGTCTCTTCTGGCATAAACTGACATGACTCCACTAATTCTGACATCCCTCAGCCAAAGCTTTGGTCCTTCCAAAATATTTATAGTAGATGTAATTCGTTTTCCCAGCAGCATATTCCCTTTGCAATTAATAAAATGGTAGAAGCCAGGAAGCCTTGGGATGATGCAAGAATTGGGGCATGGGATTCAGGTTCTGCCCTAGATACACTATCAGCATATCATGTATTTCAGACAGACCTTTCCACCCATCATCTGGGCTTTGATTTGTTTTTTTGGGCAGCCTGTGCCCTGGCCCATATTTTGCTGCATGCACCGTCTTAGCATTTCTGCCTCTTTCCCAACTTGCTCTGGGGATAGCATGGCCCTGATGTCACAAAAGCGAGAAGTCTGGGAGGATGGACAGAGAAAACAGAAAAAGGGAGGAGGAAGCAGAAACGTCCAAATGAGTGTAGTCTCCTCTGCTTGCTTTGTTTTTCCATCCTCGCCATAGGCTCATGTTCAAGACATTACAGTCTGTTGCCATAACACTTGTCCTGGTACCAAGGAGCCAGCTAACTGGCTTCTGCACAAAGGCAAGTTAATAAAAATAATTCTGTGACAACCAAGGGAGAAAATGACCTTTTGTGTTTTTTTCCTTCAAGCAGAGTATCAGAAACCAAGGGAAGCAAGAACAGAGAATGTTCTGGGACCGAATGTGGCAGTGCAGATCAGCTCGAATAGAGTGTTTACATAAAGAACTCGTCCATCTCTTTTACAGTTTATTCTAGATGGTTTTTCACCCACTTCTGCCACACTCACTGGTAACTGTTGGTGCTTCGTAGGCTGTCCTTGGTGCAGGGAGGAGAGCCCTTGAGTGAAAAGGAATGCTTCTGGAAGAATCTCTCCAACCCCGTGAGACTGCTGCTTTCCAGAGAATGAGTCAATATTCTCTCTTCTTGTCCGTCTGACAAATTGCAAAGCCTCAGATTTTGTAATGACATGAGCAGGCAAGGCTGTCTTTACAGTTTACTTTGTTAAATGCATCAGGTATCAGATGCTGCTTGACATTTTTTTCTTTCATTACAGGCCACCAAAAGTCTGCTAATTTTGTGAGAAGCAAACTACAGAGGAGATCTTATTTATAAATTGAGAAGCTGGTTTCCCAGCTGTGTCAGTGCTAGAGTAAGTGTGCCTCATCTTAGAAGGTAAGTGGTCCATGAGCTGGTTGGATGGATGATGCCCAAGTAATGTCACGTGCTGGAGGCACAGTGAGCTATAGTTGATATGAGTGAATCTTGGAACATGGAAACCAAATGAATTATAAAACCCTTCTCATTACTGTAGCAGTCCATTTAGAGGAGAAAAAAATCCTGGCTATTTAGAATATATAATGAAAGTAGAGGACATACATTGAAGTCTTTGGTGTGAGAGATTAATGGATCAGACTGAGAAATTATTTCCCAGGTAACATCTTATAGTTCATACGTTGCATACTATAAGGTTTTGATCCAGCTTTTCTTTGCCTGGCTGTGCATGGTGATGTGTTATTTACTACTTTTGCTTTTTGTACAATCAACCAGAGAGGAAGAAAGAAATGGTTGGGAAGTGCATGAAATGATAGCTTTCTGGTGTGGTAAAAAGAGCAGTAGGGAGGCAGAAGAGGAAAAATATGTGCCTCTGACCCATATGCAGTAGTCCCAAAACATTTTGCTTATGCCTTGTGTAACAGTGAATCTCATGCAATTGAGTGGGTGGCAGCCCTGGCCAAGGCAGAGAGGGTGGAACTAGATGATTTTTAAGGTCTCTTCCAATCCAAGCCATTCTATGATTCTATGAGATACTTTAGTTTTTGAACTGAAGAATGAAACTAATGTTTGGAAGACTGATGTTTCTGATTCTCCCCTAGTCCTGAAGAAGGGAGACACAGGGAGCATTAAATCACGCTGCACTTTTAAACATTCTTCTCTCATTCCATTTTAACAGGAAAAAAATGAAGTTGTTCAGTTGCATGAGAGTTGCTGTCACCTTCAGAGACATACTTAAGACTGTAGGGAATGGAAAGCAAAAGAGCAGTGGGATAACCTCAACAACACCACAGAAAGAATGGAATCAATTTTCTTGAACAAAGGCAAGGATCCTTCAGCTCTGAATCACAGAGTGTGAATTTCTGAAGAGTCGCGTGGAGATGAAGAGAGTGTCATACTTTAAGACTTGAAAAACACTTCCTGACCCCTTTCTTAAACAGAGAATTTTCAAGTTTAAGATAAGACACGTGGTATAGAAAGATGATGACAGGCTTGTGCCATATGGAAAATAGAAATCACTGTTTTCATAATATGGGGCGAAGCCTCAGCGTCAGTGGTACAGATAAGGTCAGTATAGCTGTTACTGAAGTTCATCCCACTTAGCATGCTGAGATAAGGCTTCTCACAGCCACTGATCCGTGACTCTGAAAGGCAGGAATATTAGCAAGTGGCATCTGAAAAAGTTTGTATGGTTATGAGAGCTCTGAAAAGGGAATTCAGTGTGCCCATTACCTATAGTGTCGGTGAGCACCCCACCTGCACTGATAAAGGCCTAATGCTGACTGATTTATGTCACTGTCCATCCAGGTTCCTGACCCTCCATGTTCAGTGATACTAACACACCAACCAGAGGGGGTTGATTCCCTCACCAGTGGTACTTATCCATACAGCAGCATTAGGTATGAGAATTACTCTGTTCCCCAGATCCCTGTTTGAGCTGTTTGTCAGCTAGAAGACCAAATAACTTACAGTCTGCAGTAAGATGTTGAGTAGTTTCACAAGGCTATGGATCACAATGGTTATTGAAGCCTGGATGTTTTGGAGGTATGCAAGAAAGCAGGCTGCAATAACTGACACATATCCAAGAAAACACTTCAGCTGTGCTAAAAAGAGAAAAGGGGAGAGTGACAGAGGCCAGCTCCTTTATTACTCCCAGACGAATATCAGCAGAATGTATACAGGCTGTTTCCAAATGAGAGGAGGTGCTATGGTTTTGCAGGTGTATTTTTGTATTTCAGTCATTTCCACCTATTTAGGTTTTCTGTCAGAATGCAGCAGAAACTTGGCTTGTTTTTTGTCTTTGTTCTGTGGTTTTGCCTAGGGGCTGACATGCATCATCACCCAATTTCTGTCGTGCTGCAGACCTTGCAGTATGGGACTACATGCTGTGATCATTAATAAGAAACTCAAAAAATTAGGGGAGATTCAGATTTCCAGTGCAATCTGTCTTTTGATGTAGAGGTCTGGTTTCATCAGTTTCTACTGAACGTAAGTAAAATAGAATAGAATATGTAGGTGTAGGTGAAAGAAATATAAGCACTATTGTATAATATAAGAAATATAAGCCACTGTTTGTACATGTAAAAAGCAAGTGATACAGGGTATTAGAATGGTTCTAGATGCCATGAAGATACAGGCTATTAAAAGTCATGTCACAGTTGCAGTGACATACCAACAGGAAGAGAAAAAATGAGCAAGTAGGATACATCAGAGAGAAGGAAGCATTTCCAAAGGCTTCTAAAACATATTGCCTAGACTGAGAAATGGCCAGAGACCTGGGGTTAAAATAGTTGCTTCTAGATAATAGAAAATATAATATTTACATCTCTAGAGAAAGTGACATCTCTGGTTTAAAGCCATCACTCCCTCCTTCCTGGATCAGAGAGAAGGAACATCTGCCTGTGAAATCTCCTGTGTCTTTCATGGTATTAATATGATTTACACTTGCATAGCTTGTGAGGTCTCATTGTATCATGCTTTACATGTACATTTTTCTATAGTGACAGTTCTGTATGTTGAGCACAATACATATTGCAAGCAGAAAGCACCAGCTGTGCTAGTTTCAACAGTGAATGGCCTAGCAGCCACTGATTTCAGTGCAGTGCTAATCAACAGGGTGCTACAGGGTGGTCAGGAAGCCAATACATTTTCATGCGGTTTATACACAGCAGAAACATTGCAAGCCCATAAGCTCTGAAAATGCCGAGTGGGATCCTATGTTCCTGAGAAGTATGAATTAACACATCTTGTAACTACTGCAGTGGAAAACCTTACGATACAGTACACCTCAGTGCCTACCTTGATGAGTAACTTTCTTCTCATGTTGTTGCAGTTCTCATTTGCGGCTGCCTTGGACTGGGCTGTGCTGGTGATGACACATGGAGGATCAGGTGGGCTGTCTTCTGTCTCTGATGTGCTTGGCAGTTGTGCTCTAGGGCAGCAGTCAAATTCCTCTTGACCCCAGCTGGTGGAGATCTCAAAGGGATCGGGACATTTCTCGTCGGGACTTGATCCATCATCACTGTTTCTGGCACTGCACAGTATAAGCGATCTTGAAATAGAGCGAAACTTTCTTGACTTCCTGTTGCCAGCATTGCTCTTTCGATCCATCTTCAGAGAGCTGGTGGTGCTGCTCTTTTTCCTATCGTTCTCCCATTTATGTGGCATGATATTTTCAATAACTTTATCTGCTTCTCTGTTGCTAAATATCCTCCAGGAAAGGAAATATAAAATGTAAGTTGTAATATATCCCCACTTAATAACCTACACTACTGAAAAGCCCTAACGAATAAATCGAATCAACAGAGCCTTTCAGTCTGCTAACAGCCACGTGATAGCTCATGACTTGCTAATTCTGTTTCTGTGCAGTGCTCTACTAAATTTGCCTTCACCTTTTCATTCTCTTCACATGCTCCCCAAGCACAATGGAGTGCTTTTAATAAATGTTTTTGATGCTTCCATTGTGCTGCTTCCCTTTGGCTTCTGCTGAATTTGCATGTTGAAATCCCAGATTGAAAAAGAAGATACTTTAAAAGCATTATTCTATCCAGCTAACATTATCTGAACAGAGGAAGCTCCTTTTGAAGTTTAATTCATGAAACCACTATAATTCAAAGAAGATTAATCAAATTGTCAACGTTAAGTTCTCTGCCTGGCACATCTGATTTGTAAGCGGCTTAGCAGAAGTAGATTTTAGCCATGAGAAGGTAAGGAATGTCAGGAGCTGTAAAGCTCCTACCTTTGCAGACCAGAACTCACTTAAGACTCACATTTACCAGTAATGCAGAGATCCAGTGAAGCACTTTAGATGTGAATAGCTGATTAGGGATTGAACTCCATAAGGGTATATGGCTCCAATACATCAATCAAAAAAAAGTTCCATTACAGGAATGGTTTGTTTCAGTGTGTGATGCAGCAGAGCAAATTAAGAGAAAGTGGAAGAAATGCTATACAGTCAAGATTTAGCAGAGGTTGGAGCTTTTGTAGAATAAGAAAAGTAATGAGCATGTTAAGATAACAAAGGGGAGCTTTGTTAAAAGGGCTTCCTTTTTCTCTCAAAAGTTTTGCAGAAATATTTTGTTAGGTATATGGCAGCAGTAGAAGAAAATTTCAACACAAGCAAGTCTAAACCAATCACTTTGACTTACTCACTTGATTTTGGTCTGTTTGTTGCAAGAGCTTTTCTATTCTCAGTATCTGATTGATACATGTTGAAACTGAAGGATTTGTGTAAATGAAAGAACGCTGTGTTATACTGAAAATTGAAAATGGTTGCAATTTAAAAAGGCATTCTCAAGTATACCACTGAGAAAAGTTTGCACAATGCTTTACAAAGCGGTTGGCTGCTTGGTTTTGGTTCTGTGAATTAAGTAGGAGCATCTGCACTTCGTACCCAAAATGTCACTGGTGATACAGAAACAGAAGGCAGACTTTCTAAAGGCTCTGTACAGCCATGACAAGAAACACAGGCCTGCAAGTTCTGACCAAGCCAGACCTATATAATAAATCATAAGGATTATATTTTTCACTTTTTGTGTTCTCATAGAAATAACAACAAAGAAAAATATATACATAGATGATAAACACTATGCAGTTGAGTACCCATCTCAAGGAGTTATATGGCATTGCTGGAGAAGTATACAGTTCAGTGTGAATCAGAGTTTGTTTGGATTTATTAAAGTAAAAAATCGCATGTAGGTTTTTTCAGGAGGAGGGAGGCCCCTTTTTGCACCAAGGCCTACAGTCCTTTCTGGTGTATTTGATAGATGATGCTCCCATAGCTTTCAAGTATAAGTTACTGTCACAAAAGTCCTAATATTGCTCTATTCCCTGGTGTCTCTTCCCAAACAAAATCCCTACAGTTTCAAAAACTCATGCTAACATTTCAGAAACTTCTCAGGATTCCCAGCAAGACGTTTTCCCATAGCAAATTTTAAGTTTGAACATTTCTAGAGAACATGTCAAGTTGAAGAAAATCATTGTGTTTTCTGCCTTTCTCCTGTGTGTCTTTGGGAACCTCACTGCTGATCTGGAAGAGTCTGATCTCACTGGGTAGGAACATTGCAACTGAAGTCACTCGGCTCCCAGCCTTCCCACTTTGGCACAGCGTATTTTATTCAGTGCATAGAATCTTCTACTGGTTTTTAGAGAATACCTTCTCTTCTTATGAATAACATAATTTGCAACCCTGGCCAACTGCAGCCACAAGTGTGGATGGAGGACTGCCCTTTGTGGGCTGTAGGCTCAGATGTCCTGTTCAGCATGAGCTCTGTGAGGACGCAGAGGGAATGGGGAAAAGGTTGACATAGAGCTCAGCTTTAACACATGGTCTTTTTGGTTGACTTGCAATATTATTTCTCTAGGATTAATCTCCTTTTCTGCAGTATTGAGAGAAGTTTGTTTTTAGAGCCTCTATGGTGAAACTTAGTTTGAAATGCGGAGATGAAAAGTGCAATGAATTACATTAGAACAATAATTTTGAAAACTGAAATAGGAAGTTGTTGACATAATTCAGTATCACAAGCTTGCAATTTTTGTATGTTTTTTCATTGATTAAATTAGTTACAAGCTGACTGACATTTATTGCCACTAATACGTGAAGACCTTCAAGGTTTACAGATTTTTATTGACTGTGTTTTTAGCATTTTGGCTAGCTCAAAATTTCAGTATGCCATAACTTGTATGTATTTTCAATACGTGAGTTACAAAACCTGCTCTTCCTGTGAAGTTGATGTTGCATTTCCTGCATGTCTGAAGGCATCTTAGAGGAAAATGAAATCTGGCCCATTGAACCAGAGTGGACTTGAAAAAAACCTTGTCAGGATGAGGGGAGCTTCACAGCTTGCTGTCATATTGGGGTAACTTTTGCAAGTAACTCTCCTCAGCATCTAGGTAGAAAGCAACAGAGCTAACTGGCCGTGGAACATGCAGCACTTGGAAGTCTGCAAAAGTGACTGTTGATTCTTCTGTGGTTCTGGCAATCACTATTAGATACGAGCAATAAGTGTCAGAAATGAGCCTGAATTGTGCATTCAGACCTAAACAATCTTGCCTTCGGGGAAAAATTAGAAGAAATAGTATTTTTCATTCACGGATTTCTGTGTTGTACAAACATTAACTGCACTCTTGCTTCCCTGAAGAGAGAGAATTTTTAAAGAGCCATTAAGCAATGGGTAAGCAGAGGACTTAATAGCTTAATGGTCAAAATACTGCTCTCTGGAGACTGGTATGCTAGAATGAAGGATGGAGAGAGATGCGGGAGCCCTTCCTCACTCTGTCTGAGGCTGCTGAGCTTAAGAGCATCAGTACCAAGCACTGCCATCAGTAGTAAGTGCTTCAGAAGGTATCTGACTATTTCTAAGCACCTGGGATGCAGGGCATGTAGAAGCACCTGTTGAAACAGGGAAGAAAACATTGCTGTAAGTGCACTCTTCCTTCCCACCCCCCAGCAATGCTCCTGCAAAATATTACCCTCGGCAGAGAGAACATCTTTTTTTGCCATGTTGCATCAGTCATTTCCCCTACCCATTCCCTCACCCCCATCAGAACTCTGTTAGCTCAAAGACCAAATTTAACCCTGATTTACCAGGTATCTCAAGGAAAGCCAGCAGCTGCAGTGAAAATAAACTCAACAGACCTGGAGATTTCCAGTTAAATACTTGCTTTTGCTCCTAACTAAAACAGCATCCTTTCCAGGGCTGCTGGTCCATAAGTGACAGAAATACGGGAGGTACCAAAAACATATTCTATACATCTTTCAATAAAAATATCCAAAAATATTATTTCACACAGAAAACAGTATCATAAGTGCTAGAGAAGCTTTATGATTCATTGCCATATTCCACAAATTTAATTCAATGGGCACAGACAATTACTTCAAAGTCAGTTCTCCAAACCATTCATCTCTTCCTCCTGTGCACTCACTGCTTGTCATTTTCTCTTGCCATTCTTATACCTTCAGCATGCCTGATGGAAGTTGTCTGTGGTTTGTAATGCAAACCAAATGTTCTTTTCTCTCTCTCTTTTTTTTTTTTTTTTTAACCCAAGCTTTATTTTTCCAGCTTTAAGTCTAAAAAGCCTTAACTCAGTCTGTCTTCTGCAAACAAAGTAAATGATTTGAGCAGTGCCCATTTGGTTCAAATTTTTGGTTGGATATTATACCAAGCATTTACAAGATGTAAATAATTTGAAGTAGCTCCCAGGCTGAATGGGAATGCATTGCTGTTAACCATGCAGTAGGAAAGTTAGAACTTTTTCTTTACTAGCAAGACAAGTTTTCTGTTACCAAGTGCTAACAGCGTGATATCTTGCATCCCATTTTAATCTAGATCTTGTGATCTCCATCAGATTCATTACTGAGCAGTACTATTAGAACTGAATTGTTGCAGAAGCCAACGATTTCCAGGCAGTAGGAAGAGCTAGAGATTTGGAAACACTCTAATGAAAGAGTAAGAAACTCTTGAGAGCTGAATTTACAGTTTAAAAAAACCTCTAATTCTTAAATAAAAATGCAAAAGGAGGAACTTACAACAGCGAGGCAGACAAACCTGACTCCTGCAGAAGGCTGTTCCTCTTCATAGGCCTGGCAAAAAAAGACAGAGTGAATAATTGAAAACACACTCTGATGGTGTCACGTGGTTTGGTTTCAGTAATTCTGCTCAGTACATTGGAACGGAGCTATTGTTTCCTAATTGAAGAAAATGTCAGCAAGGATAGATAAACAAAAGCAATGGGATGCAGTATTGGGGAAACTTTCCAGCGAGCTCCCAGCTACCCATAGACGACAAGACTATTTAAGGAGTTTGTGTAATTTGTTTTTACCCATCCCTTTCTGGTCCTAGGATTGATGGGGTCTCAGCATGCTGAACCTACTGGGGAGTGGTGGGGAATCTGTGCTAATCAAGTGCAGGATTTCCTGCTGGATGCTGAGGAGGCAAGCATGTTTCTTGTAATTTTTAGCAGATATTTTAAACATGATGCCAGTAAGAATTTCATAAGCAGTTTCTGTTCCAGGAGCTACTTCTGAATGCCAATCCTTTGTATTTCTCACCATGAAGTGGCACGGTCTCTTTAACCAGCCAGTTCTTAGATGTTCTCCCGTTGATGTGCTGAACTGCAATTTTGTGATCCAATCTTATCAAGGACTCAGAAAACTGAAAACTCATCAATTAGAGTCTTCTCCACCTGTCAATTCCCAGCTCTTTTCACACAGTAACAACTGAAACATACTTTCAGTCGTAGAATCCTAATATCCAACCCGAGCCTTTGCTGGTGCAACTTAAGGCCATTACGTTCCGAGGAGGTGTTCCTGTTTCAATCAATTAATGTTAGCTGTCTCAGAATTTTTTGAAAATGCACAAACTCCCTGCTGTGACTTGTTCCTATCTTCCACTGAAAGCAGCCACACATGTTGACTGTTAGGTTGGATATTCACAAAGATTTCTTCTCAGAGTGGTGATGCAGTGGCACAGCTACCCAGGGAGGTGGTGGAGTCACCATCCCTGGAGGTGCTCAAGAAACATGTGGATGTGGCACTGAGGGACGTAGTCAGTGGGCATAGTGGGGCTGTGCTGGTGGTTGGACTGAATGATCTTAGTGGTCCTTTCTATCCTTAATGATTCTACGACTCTGTAATTTCCAGGAAAATGTGAAGAAAAGCCTGAATTTCACATGTGGCCCTGCCTGCTCATGAAAATGGGCAATGAAAGTATATAGACACCTGCTACGCTTTGTATTATGTAGCCTGAAGATTTTGGTTTTATTGGTCTATCACTAAATTCACAAAGGAGAGAGTTTAAAATGGGTTGTAAAATTTTGCTTACACTGTCTCATGTTTAGTGGTCTCCTGAGAGTTCTAGATAAAATGTGGGCAGTGAATATGAGCATCTGGTCTGTGAGAATGACATACCAGGGCAAAAAGTGCAGCTGAAATCTCTGCTTTGTGCAGCACCTGCTGTAGCCCTGAAACTCTCTGCCCCTGATAATGCAATTGTGACTAATTTATATTTAAAGCGCTTACAAAATGAAAAGAATCTGGCATTATTTTTCCAACAGATAGGTTTTCATGGTATGAGTTTTAACTTGGGTGACCGTAAATATGTAATGTTAGTGCTGCTTTTTGAATGCTAATCCTATAGAATAGCCATGATTTTGATGCTGAGTAGCAAACAATGGATATCAAGTAGCTTTTGTGGAAAGACGGAAAAATAGGGATATGACTTTATGCTTTAGCAAACAGTTCCTCACTAAGCTTAAATTGAGAGAATATTGGCCTTGTGTATAAAATGAAATTTTATACTGTCAGTACCACAAAATCGAAATATCTATCAGGAAGAAGAGCTACATACTGTTCACCATTGAACTGCCTTGCACTGCAACATACACGTTGTTGTTTAGCAATAGGGCACTCATTCACATAAATTCTTAACAGTCCCCATGTATTGATCCAAGCTGATTGAGCTGGAAACTCAGAAAGATTGGAAAGTTTTTTTTTTATTATTATTATTATTATTATTATTATTATTATTATTATTATTATTATTCCCATTGTCATATGCTATTGCATTTCCTGACTATGGGCTGAATTCTGTAGTCCTTAAGCCACTGGAAGTTTTGTTCATTCTGAATCTGGATTTCTGCCAGAGCCAGCAGCAGAAGCAGAAATATCACAAGGAGGGGCTGTATTTTCATGATGTTTCACTGTAACCTTTTGCAGTTTTTTTCCATCTTCTCTGTACAGTAATTGTTCAGCGCCCAGCGGTGAACTGAAAAGCACATTTTTAGAAGCCGTAAGGAAAAAGAGACAGAGCCCCTCCTGCGCCTGCTGTGCTGTGCTAATGGTATGCTTTAATACTGGATCCTGTGGTCAATCTTCATTACATAGCTAAAAGGAATCATACCAGGAAAGGGGCAATAAACACTGATCAGATGCTCGAATTTTTTATGAAAGGATTGAAATGATGTGGACTCTTTCCACTGAAAGGAGCTGAATTGTTAAAGGTTTATGAAATAATAGTTGTTATAAGGAAAGTCAGCTGGGTTTCTTTACTGTCTTCTCATGTAAGGGACTAGAAAGGAAAAATGCAATAAAGTGAAGAGTTCAAATAAATAAAAGGAAATACTTGAAATCTAAAGCACAGTTAATATGTGGAACAAGAAGCTAGCAGAAATGAGTCCTTTGAAGTTAGCTGTTTTGCCTTTGATTTCAGCAGGACAGAGATTTCACCTCAAGAGATGAATAAATGAAAATATCTGCAGTTCAAGGAAGAGAGCATGCAGAAGGAGCAACAGCTCTTGCTGCAGAGTAAATGTCCAATGGTACCATTCCCAGGTAGAGCGATGCTTCTGTCCTGGGTTAGGAGGCACTTTTTCTGACATCTGGTGTTAGTCTCTGGTGAAAGTGAGAGGAGAAATAGAGAAGCCACTGAACATATTGCTTATGAGTTCTTCTCTCTCACCTAGAATCCAGATGCATCCGGAGCCAGAGCAGATACGGGAGCTGATCCCTCTTCCCCTCAAATTATTTTCCAAATCCAGAGATTTGGATTCTAGGGACAAATTTGCAGACTATTCAGTGCTAAATATTTTGCCTGTTGCTACTGGTGATAACCTTTTCCAAAAAGGAGCATATAAATTTAAGCGGAACTTTTGCATTGGGCAAATCTAAGTAATGATGGAACACAGCCTCAGACCTGATTTCTACCCAACCCCATACTTGTGATAATAGGTGAAGAAGCCAAGAAGCCAATAGTTTGAGGTATGCTAGCTTTTGTCCTGTCCTTATATTGCTCTGCAAACTGATGAATTACAGAATCATGGAATGGTAGGGGTTGGAAGGGACCTCTGGAGATTATCTAGTCCAACCCTCTACTAAGTATGTTTTTACGGTAGGTTATACAAGAATTAGTTTTATCTTAATCACAGACACAATTTTCACACATTGCCTAGTCCAGAAAGCAGTTATGTTGCACAAGGCAGTCCATCTTCTCATTGCTAAGCCAGGACTGGATTAGTCACTTCAGTCTTGGGTTGTGAAGCTTTTACTCTGCCTCCCATCCATCAAAACATAGCAACGTAGGAAGTGGTATATTTAATCATCCTATCAGCACAGCTCATCCAGTATCTCTTTCCAGCAAAGGCTAGTGGCAATTGCTTCAATAGAATTAGCTTGGAAAAAAATAATCAGCGTTCAGGAAGTGTTTCTTCTGAGTGCCGTGTTGATAAGAAGAGGCTGACACCCTGCGGTTTTGTGTGTATTCCAGAATTGCTGGAGCTTTTTACATTATGATTGGATAGCATTGTTTTAGCAGAAGCTTATGAGGCCCATAATGGATGAGTAGTTGCAGTTTGTCAAGTTAGGTAAAGCTCTTTCCAGTTCCTTTTATCACTTAGTACCTGCTTTTGCCAGGAAGCACAAAGAATTTTCTTCTGTAGATGAAATGAATCTTGTGTTAAGTAACTGTAATTTATCCACTTCTGTCTTCCATTAAGTTTTGATTATCCAGAGGCAATGAGTTTCATGTGTTATGTAAAAATATACTTCCTTGTACTTGCTTCAGATTTGCTGCGTCTAGGATTATTCTAGGAAAAATGCCCTGCTCTTCAAGCCTTTGTAGAATCCTCTTCTCATTGATCTCTTCATTGATGTCATCCTTTATATTCCACATACTTCTGTCTTTCCTTTGCTGCCCCTCCTTTCCCTCAGCGTCGTGCTGCTTTCATACATTTGGATCTCCTCCTTTTTCTTCAGATCCTTTTTTAAGTCCACTTCCTTTTGCGAGCTTTGTTACCTGACTCTTTCATAATGGTATCCAGCTTTGCAGCCTCTTCTGTTTCCAAGTGAAATGCCTCCCTGTGAGTTAATCAAGGTTCCTGGGCCTTGTATTCCCAACTACATGTGCATTGCATGACATGCACTCTCACTCTCTCTGACATTCTCTATGCAGTATGTTATTCTGTGCATACAATGCTTTGTTTACAGAAAAGTATCCCATGTGATCCAAAGAAATACTGCATTAAGAGATTATCTAACTGAGCAGTAACAGTGGAGTCGGCGTGAGGAACACTGACTGTAGCCATGATATGGTAGATGAGGCCTAACAAGAATCGTAGCCTTGGAGCAAAGTGTTTTGAGTTGTGCTTATTTAATATTTTTGTATTGGATCTTATAGACTATGCATAAATGATTGTGTTCATCTTAGAGAAATACTACAGTATATTTGTGTTTGAGCTATGAAACTGCTAAATATCAGGTACTGAAGACCAGATCTGTCTATTTTTTTGTAAAGCCATTGACTGATACAGAGTTCACAAGAGTAGTAAAAACATTGCCTGTATGTTGTCATTCTAATTTAAAGCAAATATTTTTAAAGGTTATGACTTTACTTCCTCATTCTGCATTTCCAATCACATAGTGTTCCTTTTTCATCTGATTTTGCATTCCTTCTGATTTATAGTCCCCTGAACTGTAAGTTGAAATAAGGGGCCCTTTAGTTTGAATGAAAGGGGAATTATTAATTGCCAAAACTATGATTCATTGAGCAAAAAAGTAAAGGGCAGAAGAAAACTGAACTTAGTCTACATACAAAAATCACATGAAAAATTTCTCTGAATGTTTCATAAGTTCAGTATTAGAAGGTGTATTTAGATCTGTCTGGTCTTCCATTTTATTGTGAGTCTTCGTTGGGTTGTGTCATATTTGTTGCTACTGCGTTTTGTTTTTTGCCTTGAGAAGCCAGATATGAATGAAGTATTGAAAAGATGAATACATTAAATCTCTCTGAGGATATTGGCAGAATTTTCTTCTTTGCCACTTTCAAAGCCCAATCTCAGTCTCACTGAAGGCCTGTACTTCGCCATCCCTTAGCATGCCATAGGTAGTATGTGTGGTCCTTCTTGGTTGCTGGCTTTGATGAATCTTGGTGGGGATTTTTGTTTCAATTTAGCTTTTTCAGTGGTTGATGAGGAATTATGTAATCTCTTCTTCTTAGATATCTCTGCCTAAATAAGATGACTTTACTGCTTTTATAGATTGTCACTTCTGTTGCAAGGCTTTAGCAGAAGCCACGTCTGAATAATTATTATTCCTGATGCCTGGCAGAGGTAAAGCTACTTAACACTGCCACTTCTCTGCACAAAGTCTTCAAGACCCTTCATGTTTCTGCTGCTTTATCACTAAGTCTGTGACAATTAGAATGAGACTGAGCTGATGGTTTTTATTTGTGGCATTGAGGATACCAGCATAAAGTTCCAGTGGCAGCTGTCTTGCTCTTCACTTCTGTGCTGTAGCTTCTAACAGTGATATGAGTCACATCCATTACTCACAAGCATTATTGTTGACAGCAAGATGAGACTAAATTATCTCACAGGTTTCTTGTGCTTGAAACTGTATAATCTGTCGCAAAAAATAGCTCCCTGGTAAGACACAAAGCAGAATGACTCTAGTGCTTCACAAGATCTGATGACACCCTGCCTGTAGGTGTGACAGATGATGCAAGAGCCAGATTTAGCATCCTAAGCACTGAGGAATCTCATGTTTTGGGGAGACGGCTTTTCTCTCATGCTTTGAGATAAGCCTACAAATTTAGAGCAGTGCCTGGTGTTGAATAACAGCAGCCAAGAGATCTCCTGAGGATTCCTGACATTGGTTTTACTTTTTTTTTTTTTCCTACAGAATCACAGATTTAATGCTCAGAAGATGTTGTTACATTGAGTTCATCAATCTGACAAAGAGAAGTTTAAGCTGTAATTCCTGTGTTGATGATAATGATTTCTGCTTCAGGTAGAGCATGCATTTTAGGATAGCATCAAATCTAGATGTAAAGACATTATCTCACTAGTCTTGAGAACTTGCTGTATGCACAGATAGACTGTTAGCTGCTGTTTCTTTTAAATGTCTCTGTATCCACGTACTTATTGGCTCTTATTTTGACATTTGTACATTAGAGCTTGGAAATTAATGTTTGGCACGTTAAAGACCTTCATCACTTCCCCAGCATTTTTATTTTACTTTATTTTTTTAAAATTAGTGAGGAGGAGGGAATTCAGGTGTCATGAAACTTTACTGCGTTTCTTAACATTTGATTATTTTTCTACTTTTGTGACATTCTGTTTTAAAACTGAAAAACAACTGTTGGTATCACAGTGTCTGTAGTCCAGGGCTACCAGATAGTGGGTAAGTAACCTCCATTGCATTAGGAAGAGCTTCCTTACTCCATAAGAAGCCATTATAACTCACATCACTGCTACTATGTTTGTTTTGCAGCTGATGTAGATGACATTTTCTGGTGTCCTTTCTTCATGTGTGCTCACTTTTTAGTAGGAATCCAGAGAATATCTAATATTCTCTCTATAAGAAATAATACAAAATCTTTTGTCTCAGCTTGAATTTCCCAAAAGGAACAGTCCTTTCTGGAATTTCAGTCCCAAATAATTGCCCAACATCATGTTCCAAGTCAACCACGCAATCTGGAACCCAAGATTTCTAGCTTGGTTCCCTTTCCTTTTTCTTCAACATCTTCTAATCTGGTGATAAATATTGTCATTCAGTTTGGGAAGTGGACCTTCAAAGATACAACTCAAGTAAGAATTAGAGGGATAAGAATATCCAGATTTGGGGGGGTGTGTGGGAACTACTGAGTCATGGCCTGAACCTCTGATTGATCACCTGAGGCGAGCCATGAGCCAGCCAGAGGAGCACAGGTGAAGGCAATTCACCTGTGCTGCTGGAAGGGGTGGAGCTTGGCTTCCTCTCGTCCTAGACCTATTTAAGAGCTGGCTACCAGTGGGGAAGGATCTCTTCTGGAGGTTGCCTCTATTGGTGTTTTGTGGTGAGCCAGCTGAAGGGTAAGCCTCCCATTTTATTTGCTTTTGTTATCATTGTCCACTTTGCCTAACTCTCTTGATTATATTGTAGCATCTTGATATCCATTGATTATACAGGGGGTTACTTATAAAAAAGAGGTGTTTCAAAGGTTTGGGTTTGTTGTTTTTTTTTTTTGTTTGCATGTTTTTGTTGGTTTGAGGGTGTTTTTTTTTTTAAAGGGGGGGAAGGAGAGGACCCCTGTTTATGGCCAAAATGAAGGACCTTTATGTGTAAAATAGACAAAAAGATGTTAAGGTTTTGTCAATATCAGTTTGAGCTCCCCATTAATCTTTGTCAGTTGCTTAAAGTATGTATAAGTGAACCTCATCAACCATGTCTAACACGCTCCACTCACTCCATAAAGTGGTCACACTCTGCCACAGCCCAGTTTTTGACAGAGCACTATAGTGGAGATCTTCTAGATCTGATAGTGACCTGAATATTGGACACTGGATAAGTTTACTTCCCCTCCTGTTCTTGATCCCTGTCTGTTGAAACGAGTTGTGGCAATCACCTTCTTTCTTGGATGGGAAGGGATAAAAAGTACTATAAGATAATTAAATTGTACTCTTTTAATTAGGCAATAAAACAACTCTTAGAAAACAAGTATTTGTTTCTGTCAAGTAAGGATGTCCTGTACCAATCCATCTCATTATGCAGAATATATTGCATACAAAATTCATTCTATATGATAATTCTGGAAACATAACAGCTGACTGCATCTCCCCAGGGGCTGCACGCCAGGAGGTGTGTGCTTGGTTCTGAGCATGCCAGCTGCACAGAAATGAGGTTGCAGTGGCTGTACAGACATACATCACCAGTGTCGGTGTGTTACACTAGCCTGCATGTTTTTTCTGTAGGCTCATGCTGCATGAATCAGCTACTAATGAGGTCCATAATAAAGGAGACCATTAAGTGAACACTGCATTAATAATGTTGGCAAAGTCCCGAGACTACAGGCGTTATTTATAGCATATGACTAAACAAATATGCATCTCCTTTGAGGCTGAGACTCTGGGCTAATTTACTGATTTCCTGCACAGGCTGGTTCATACGGAGATTTGAGTAAATAGTGCATTTGGATGTCTTGTTTGGAAGTATGTTTTGAAACACTAATCATATTAATATTGAATTCTAAAACGGATTGGAAATGTGTGTGTGTTTTCAGAGGATTATGTTGTGCCCCTGTCCAGTTCTTGTGGAAATGTGTTTTTCTGCATTGCTTCTTTAAGAAAAATAGAATATTTGAAGAGTACTGCCTGCAGCTACAGAGCTCTTGAAATGAGCAGAAAGGTTAGAAACAGTTCTGAAAAATGATGAGCTTTAGCAAAAGCCAAAAAAAAAATTACATATCCTCTTTTTTACATCTGCTTCAAAATGAATTCCTTTTTCTTTTTTTTTTTTTTTTTTAATGGAGATTAATTGCTATTGAGAGAGAATTGAAGATTTAAATGCATTTGAGTAACGAATCGCTTGATTTATGCTTTTGTTTTTTGTCTGCCTCAAATACAGCAAGTTTAGAGAGGCCTTCAGAACTGCGGGAAGCTGCAAGCTCACAAAATTCCCTTGTACAGTCTGCTGATTTTATGTGTGTCAGGAGAAATAGGAGAAATATTATACAGCAAAGTGAATGCGTCCTGAACTAAGATACTTCCATGCACAGCATCTCTCTTTTAAGCACTAAGGCTGATCATTCAACAACTTCCTTCCAATTTTTCACATAACTTAAAAACAAAACACCCATGACAACATATAGAAAGGCAAAAATACAGTTTGTGAAACACTCCTGCTTTTATATCTTATCTGATTACTCTCCTCGTTTAAATTCCTGAATTTAAGTTGAAAATGATACGTACTGACATGTAAAAACGGTTGACTGTATGATGCCCAAAGAATTCGATAAGAAAATATCACTTACCATTGCCAAGTATCTTCTCACTTAGGTTTGTTATTATCATCCCCTCTTAGGCATGGAATACACAGCAGAGTCAGCTCCCGGCGTGTTGAACAGTTGACAAAATAATAAATGCACTGCAACTCCACACTGTTATGATATTTGACTGTAGCTCCTGAACACTCAAAGTGACTACTCAATATAACAATTTTTCCTTAGCAGAAAATGCCTTGCTATTTGCCAGCAAATCTTTAATGCTTTAGATTGGGTATTTCCAACTACCGCCCTACTTGCGAGGCAGATGTGTATAAAAGAGATGTTATTTCACTGAATCAACCACTGAGATCGTAACCCTTTTCCTGTACCACAAACAGAAATGTAAAACCTCAGACTTTCCTTTTGGACTTCACTGACTTGTGTCTGTTGTAAGAAAGCAAAACACAACTACTCCAAAGGCTAATATATGGAAAAATGTGTTAAAATGTTTTAGATCATCTCAATACCTCTAATTCCTGCCATTCATTGGTTAACTGGCTCGTTCTGTGTTTATGTAGTTGCATGGTACAAATACAACACCTAAACTCCTTGCCCAAAGTTGAAATGATTCATTTATTACTCTTAGCCCAAAAAGAAAGGGGGGCAGAGGGGGGAAGAAGAAAGAAAATACACAGTGTTCATTTAACCCAAGTGAGTGAAAACGCCTTTCATAAGCTCTGCAAGGGCTTGGGGAACTTGGTCTTGGGTGAATAAAGTCTGTGTAGTGGAGCAAATGGTTTTGTCCCAGGATGACAGAAATTAAGCTAAAGAAAAGATAAAGCGGGACACTTTTGCCTCTTGAAAAGAGGATAATAGGAAAGGAGGTGCAAATGGTTTTTGTATCAGAGTGCTTTGGGGAGGGGTTCGCTTTTTTGGGGTAGGGGAGGAGGCAGAGGGAGAAGGGCAGGACGGAGGAGGTGTGTTTGTGGGGGTTCTTAAGTCCCTGCCAGTGATCTGTGTTCTGAAATTACATCACTGGTCAGTGTTAATTTATGTCTTTTTGTGAGGTAATTACCTTAAATACATAGTATATAGAGTTTTCCATCTTCTGAGTGCATATAAATATGAGTTAATTAAATGTTATAGTCACTGTGGAGAAAGCACAAGAGGGACCGTGACTGGGGGCCGTACTAAATTAGAAGTGGGGACCAAGACTAAATAAAGACATCTCCTCTGCTACATTGCCTATACTGGGGAGATCCATATGATAAGCCACTGTTCCATAGGACATACCAAGCTGATTTCTAATATTGGCTGTGGACTCAGTCAGTTGCTGGGAGAAATCAAAATGCAATGGGTAGCCCTTGTTTCCTTGTGTCTCAGCCACAATACGAGAACCTCTAGCACAGCTCTGATGGGACAGTGTTATTCTGCCTTCATTCATCATCCAGATGGGCATTAGACTTAATCAAATTCTAGCACTAACAGCTTGTTTCAGGACCACAGCTGGAATCAGCATGTCTAGACTAGCACTGATTTATTCCTGGCTCCCAGACCTATGTGCAAGCTACTATTCCATATGCTTTTTGTTAGAGGTAATAATGCCATTTCACGGCATAACTTTCTTTTTTTTTTTTTTTTTTTTTTTTTTTTTTTTTTTTTTTTCTCTTCCCTTTTTCTTGAAATTACAATTTATTTTAATATGTGGGAAAATGCCCTGCTGCTGCTCTGGATGAGATGGCTGCCAATTCTGCTGACACAGAGCAAGCTTCCAGATAAACAAAATAAAGTTTACAAAGGAAACAGTTAAATTTTCTGACTGCCGTCTCTCTGTCAGAGAAAATGCTAAATGCATTTGTAAGTTATATAAAACTGCATCAGTTCATATTTTCCCTTGCTGGTTTCACAGCCCAGGGACCTACTGACATCTCAGGCTCTCAAGAGCCAGTCATAAAAATACTCTGCAGAAAAAAACACTGCCCCACCCCACACCCTCCTGCTGCTGGGCAGATGAGTTTCCCATTTTCCTCACTTATACTCAGACTAAACAATGTTAAATTTACCAAATCTGACATCTATGTTCAGCAAGCACTCTACCCTAGGAACCACAGAGGTTGAGGTATATCATGTCCATAATTCATAGGACAGCATTCAACCTGTCACATCAGGCCATTAGGAGAGATACTTCTGTTTTAATTCATACCTAAACAATGTATGCATTGAGAATGGATGGTGTGTGTGTGGAAGGGTTCTTCTGCTGTAAGTTAACCTCTGGTTTTATTTTTTCTAGTTTACTGTCAGTAGTAAGCAACAATGTTAAGCACATCGTGCCCGTCTGTCAACGGTCTGCAGAGACTGGGAATAAGAGGCAAATGATATCTTTGTGCCCAAAAGAGGCCATTCTGTGCATTGCTTTTCATCCATTCATCTCTATAGATATGACAACAGTAAGTGCTTTCGTCTATCCTTATTTACAAATTGGTGAACTGAGAAGCAGGTAAGTTGTTTAGAGAAGGATGATCTGAGTGATGTCACAATTCTGACACTGTTAAAAATCTTTCATTTTGTAGATGTTTATCTCTGCCTTTAAATCCCTTTTAATTCCCTTTTTCCTGTGTTAGGTATTTCTTCTCATAGAACAAAAGCAAAATAAGCTACTCATAAAATGGAGAATATGTTATTGATGTATTTGCAGCATTATTCTTCAATTCATCCTTAATACAGCCTGACATCTTGTTTGCTTTTTTTGACCACTGCTGTGCACTGAGCAGAAGTTTCCATTAAGCTGTCCACTGTAACGCCTAGATCTTTTCTTGAGTGATTTTGCAAACCATTAGTGTATATGAATAGTTCAAGTTGTTCCTTTCATTGCACATTACTTCACGCTTACCTACACAAAATTTCTGCTGCCATCTTGTTTCCCAGGCCCTTTTTTTTTATTATTTTTTAAGTATTGCTTTTTCTTGCTGCTTTGATACTGAGGAAAGAGCTTGTGTAGGTCTCAGACTGCTCTAGCAAATGGAAATGAGAATAGGAGAGAACCTGGAGGATGCAGTCCTTAGTGTGCACCAGGCCATCCACCCTTGCTGTGGATGCAATCTGGGAAATGGATGTATTGTGCTAAAAAGCATCAAGAGTGAACAGCTGAGCTGCTGAATAAAGCTTTAGAAGAGCTGCTCTGTGTCCAGTTGAATCAGAAGTACAGTTTTCAAAAAGCTGTTCATAGTTAAGCTAATTAGAGCATTCTGGAATGTTTATTCTGCTCTGTGCAATTTACCACAGCAGCAATGAACTGTTTGGGGCATGGCAGCTGGCTTTATTTCAGCAGATAATACTCTTGTAACCAGTTTGAGAAGCTATGTTTCTATTCAGTTGTTTTTTTCTCAAAAGCATGCCCATTCATTCATATGTTACATTAATGTCTTTCTGGATTGGAAGAATGTAATGTAACAATTGGTAAAATTGGATAAAATAGATTTACCACCTTAATGGTTTGTTTTCTTTCCCCCAAGTGAAGCTATTGATGATAACTCCCAAGGTGATGCCCTGATTGCTCTCAAAGTGCAAACGTGACATAGACAACGAATTCACAGCCTTTAAACCCAACGCTTTGTATTCCACAACCAATGGCTTTACCTTATCAAGATCTGTTTGCAGTAATGGGAACTATATGTTCAAACTATATTTAACTGTTTCAAAGATTTATTTACTTAAAAGCATTCTTTCAAGTGAACATTTTTAACTTTGATCAACAAGGGAGAAAATTATCAACACAAAACTTCACAGATAGTCAGTGAAGAATATAACTATTATGTAACTACAGCTTTATTTGACCATTAACTTGGAAATATGACTCTTTATTGTTTATTTCTGTGGAGAAAATAATATCTGTTCACCTGCAAAAGCTTAATGTTATCTTAGATTCTCCCCAGATAGCCCTACAAATTTAAAAATCATCCCAAACAGCTTTTGTTTGTTCTTGTTCTGTGTAGTTTTGGTTTCACGGATAAGTTTTCTATATGCTTTAAGAACTCTTTCACTACCAGTTCAGTTTCACCTTCACTTTCCCACCCTCAGGAAGCATGTCGTGGCCAATAGTGCTGTTCGTTGCAGGCATGAAAACTGCGCCTGATGAATGCTCCTTTCATGGCATTTACGCAGGAGAATTGTCCTCAGTAATTACAGTGTTCCTTTAGAAAAATTGCCCTACCTCAGCACATTTAGATGTTCTGCGTTGTAGAATAACTTGAAACATAAATCATTATTCTGCATTTATACCAATTCTGACAACATCTTTCTTTACAACGCGAAGCTTGCATTATTATAGAAAACCGATAATTGCTATATGCTACGTGGGCTGACCAAAAAACCTTCACCACTTGTACGTAACACTTCTGAAACCAAACAGCTAACAGCTGTGCTGTGTAACAGGGCCAGTGGCTGCTAGAAATCAACATTGCCTTTTTTCTTTTTGTGATGAATGAATGTTCTGTTTTCAGACATGGTCGCTTAGATGAAATGGTTATTCCCCAAATCCTTGTTAAGCTAATTTCATGGGAAGCAGGAATTTGTGTTGGTGTTTCTGAATTCTGTGTTAAGTCTGGTGTTCAGTAGAAACCATTCACAAGTCCCAAAGTGTGATACTGTTTAAAGCACTTCAGGACAAAATTCCATAACTGCCTAACATGGCACTACCAGTTGATATGCACAGTTAGATATTAATTAGCATGGGACAGAGGAAAACATTGAAATCCAAGAACTTCTGAAAGCATCAAAATTCTCAATGAGCAGTGAGAACAATAAGCTGTGCTCTGCAGGAGGTCATGTACTGCAATTATTGAAAGAGGGCTCTGAATTGCTTTTAAACAAGTAGTTATTTGTGTATGAAAAAAAAGAATGTGGGGAAAAGAAAACCGATTGAGAGAACTTTTGTCATGATGGAAGTTAGCAATTTTGTTGTTAATGAAGCATGCAAAATTTGGTGTGATCTGACAGCATATATATGCAGAAATCTTTTACAGTACATTTTAGAATTGCAGGACATTTATGAACATTTTCTTGGCAGTATTTCTGTGGTGTTCTTATAAGCACCTACAAAACATCCACAAAGCTGTTTCCAGTATCTTCTTTAGGGAAGAATTATGCCCACTTATCAGACAGGAACACTGATGCATAGATATGGTAAATGAGAGGTGAAAATGTGCAGGACATAGGTATGACCAAGTGTGGAATAGAATACTGTTACCTATATTAGTTGGGGAAATGGAAGGGGTTTTCAATTTGCTTCAAAGAGTGCCTGTAGGTTGAGTGATCCAATGTAGGGGATTACTGGCCTTTGATAGTCTCTTTATTCTTCATCTACTGTGATCGACAATCCAAGATGGTGCCACAAAACCAAAGGCACTCACAGTGCATTGCCTGAGATCTGTCAATTTACCATGCATGTGGAATACTAGTCCATCCTTGTTTTTTGTAAGATTTAAGGTTTATTATTTTATTATGGTTTATTCTTTTATTTCTGTCTCTTCTATATCCTGAAGTAACAACCAAGCAGTTGTTTGGGGAAAAGTTTAAGGTTCATCAGGTATAAGAATGAACTTGTTAAGCCATGCAGCTCCATTCTCTGGGTGACTGCCTCATCCTCTGTTGCTCATTCCTGGGCTCACTGAAGATGTTACAGCTGGCCACTTTCTTCAAGAGCTTTTTAGGCTCAGGTTAACTGTTTGCAGTTTTATTCCCCAATCTCCCATTTTATCCTGCTTGGCTTCCCCTCTCCAGACAACAAGTTGAGACATGGTCTTTAGTTCTTTTTCAAATTGTCCATTCTGTGAAAGAATTTGAGTGCTGATGGATTCTACTGTACTTGCTTGGTGCTCCAGAAAAACCACTCTACCAATGCCAGAAGAGGTGGGGAAAAAAAGAAAATAAGGTCCTGATTTTTTATTTCAAGTCCAAAATATTCTATTGGCTATAACTGTTGCTTTTCAATATGGTCAGTCTTGCTAGAATTCCATGTTTGATCCAAAGTTGGCATTTCAATAACAAAGTTTTGAAGAACAAATTTTGTCTGCCCTATTGGCAGCAAATTCAGAAAACATAGCAAATATATTAGGGCTTTATCATGGAACTTAAGCCACTAAGATTAAAGGTCACTTTTGTTGTAATTATGAATTATTGAGCACACAGACTGTCTACTCAACGTGTCAACATGTTTTGAAGAGACTGGTTAAGGAGGAACAAAGAGCTCAACCTCATACACTGGCCTGTCTCTGGGCAGCTTCTCAGCCACAAGTAGAACCTGAGGTCAGCTGGATTTGTGCAGCAAGCACAAAGGGGAAAGGGATGGGAAAAAAGGGGACAAGGTAGAAGCATAAAGTGTAGCAAGAACGTTATTCTGGATTAATAAATGATGTGAAGTCATTTATAAGCAGGCTTGAATATTAATATATCCATGACCACTCAAAATTGTACTGAAAGAACCAATTATTTCAGGTAGTTTCAAAAGAAACCAGTTAATATTTTTAGCTGAAGAAAGATAGGTCTCTTTCACACACTGAGCTACGTGCTATTGCTGTGTCAGCTTTAAAGTATTCAGTATGGGGTTTTGTATATAATGCTAATTCATTTCTATTTTTATAAATCCATGTATACATATACATGTATGTATATACATTTATATGCAAAATATGATTATTTTCACGTTCAGTTAAATTCACTGGCTGCTTGCAAGACTATAATACATCTTGGGTGTTCTGGCTGAACTGGTGCTGCCAAAATTGTCAGCAAAAAGACCGGAAAGTCTGATGAACCTTAAACTTTTCCCCAAACAACTGCTCGGTTGTTTCTTCAGGACACAGAAGAGACAGAAAGCCCAGGCAAGAGAGGAATGGTTGAAAACCAGGGAGGAAGGATAGAAATTGCTATCCAATGTGGATTTCACAAACTGCTGTGTTTCATTTTTTATAAACAATAATAATAATCCATGCTAGATAGCATTTTAGAAATTTTAAGCTTTATTATAATATTGCTTATAAAAAAAGGTAACTCCAGCTTTTTTTCAGAGCTTTGCTTACTTCCCAGTTTCTCACCTTCATTCTGCTTGGGATGGAACGGTTTTATACGTTCTACTTGAAATATTCTCAGAAACAGCTACGTGCCATTATTGAAAGGGGTTTTTCATAGTCAGATGGAGATCTTCACAGGCATACATCACCTAAGTGCTAACAGTTTTAACACAAACAAGACACAGAAACAGCACTTCAGTTTCTCAGGACTGGTGCCACTTCTGGACTTAAGCTAAAAGCTGGTTAGTTATTTTTATTTGGTACGCCATATAATTAAATAACTAAATATATATAGAAAAATAAATACTGGCACATATAATTCTTATTTCCCAACGTGGGTTTGTCAGACCCACAGGGACAGCGCTGTGGTTTGTGGGCTCTTCTCCTAGCAACTCCCATTAACGTCAGACTCACTTGAGCAGCTGCATCTTTGTACCCCACACCGAGAGTTTACTACTTGGTGCTGTTTTATGCGTAGATTTCATGTGCCTGTATCTCTGGTTATTTGCACCAGGTCTACTTCAATTTCCTGTCATCGTTCAACCACTTTTAATAACAGCTTTAGGCTATTGCATAGTGAATGTCTCTGCCTTAGTTGTTCGTATTTGGAAAAAAGATGAAGATACGGTCCCTGCCCCAAGGAACCTATAATTAAAACAAGACTAGCATTATAGAAACATATATACTAGCTGGCCTGTAACTGGATGGTCTGTTTCATTTTGTTTTGACGTACCACATAAGGCAGCGCTTAGCAGATGTTGGGAAATGAGCTCTCTGAGTTTTTCATATAAACATACAGCAGAGATGTAAGGGTATGAATTAATTTCATCAGCAAATGTGGGTATTAATGTCATCAGGCATTTTCTAATGTTTGTGCCTATTCTGTTGCACTTTGAGTCCTCCTGGACAAAAGCATGGAAGCATCTTGAGAGCTACCTAATCTAATCAGATATCTATCTGGCAATGCTTTCTAGAACAGCACTGATGTTTTGTTCTCTTGTACTAAAGGTGCTGCCTTGTGCCAGCCTACCAACCAAAAGAAGTAAAACAAGAAGAAGAAGAAAAGGGTGTAAACTCATCACAGACCCTCCATACTTAAGGCTGATGAAAAAATAGAAGTGGAGGGGGATGGGAACACCAGGGCCAAAGCCTATAACTTTTGAGAATAGAGCTGACAAAATGACACAAAGATTTCTTAAGTTCCACCTGTATTTGATGTCTTTTCTTTTGTGGCCTTCCTAGCTGAGTTTTCGTATATCTAAGTGTTTTTAAAGAAGATTTTAGAAGGATGTTTCCCCCACTCCAAATTGCAGTGGTTGTGCAATATTAATTTAGGGTGAGTGGGCACAGATGTTATCAAAATCACCCTCTCACCTGTCAACTCCACCCAAGTTTCCAGTGCTTGGATATTTTCTTCCACTGCTGTGTGGAATTTCTAATTTTAATAGTCTTTTTTTTTTTTTTTCCCTTCAGATGTTTTATCCAGTTACAAAGCCTGCACGTGGCTTCCTCCTCTGACGAGCCAGCTGAGCCAAAACAGTACCTCACTAAATAGAAAAGCAGCCTCTGAAGGTACTGATGGGTGTAGAGTGAGAGAGTGGGGTCTTGGTCTGGGTGCTACGAGAGGACATCATAGCCACTGCAAATCAGTAAGGTTGAACAATGTGACATGGCAGAGGAGAAGTGATGTGATGAGAAACGTGAGTGGAGTGAATGTGCAAAAGAGCAGGGGAAGTGAAAAGGCAGATGGATAGTGGATTTTTATTTTCCAGTGTTATCCCTGTATCAGTTAACTGTCTTTGTTGACTCTCTGAGTGCTCTACCTCTTCTTTATTTCAATATTATGGATGCTAGCATGCATCCATACAGCAAAACATACAGATGTGAATTCTCCCTGCACCTCCACAATGCTATATTAGCACAGCACTAAATCTGAAATAATGCACCCTGCCTCTCAACAGGAACTAATGGCTCAGGATCAACTTCATGCTAACAGCTTTTGAGCTGCCTGAAAGTGAGTTTTATCTGCCCACAATGTATGCTGTAGATCTATCCTCATTGGGTCTAATTTGGAAGAAGCATTAAAGCTTCCCTAATGCATGATTTTGCTTTTTGTTGGTATATGTCAGAGTGCTTTACAAAGGAGGCGAGCATCACTGTCCGTAGTTCTTGGGTTGCAAAACTGGGACAACCAAAATATAACACGCACCCTTAGTTTGTACAGTGACATGGTTCAGATCTCCATCACCCTATCAATTAGACCCCACTGTGTCTCTAAGTGGCAGTCAATGGAATGTTTAAATTCTGTGTTAATATTCAGTCTTTTATGGCTAATCACAGGTTTTAATATAAATATCCCACAACTGTCAAATTGGAAATGCTGCAGCGTATTCATGCAGCCTGTGTTTTTCTAGTTTACTGCCTACAAAATCAACGTAGAATTATGTCAGTCTATTATCAAAATGTGTGGAATCTTAACCTCTGTAAGCTGAGGTAAGTAGTAACAGTGTCACTATAAAAATATCCATCATTTACTGCACATCAAGTTTCCTGTCTTTACAGAGAAACTGAAAAGTTCCTAAAGATACTTCAGTATGTTTTGGTTACAAATTAATATTCCAATTAGTTTTGTTTAAGAAATTGATAGCACACAATGCACAATGTTGTACATTATTCTGTCTACATTTGTTGCTTAAACTGATTTTATTTTCTAAAAAGACAACAGAACATCACTCACACCTCAGAGCCCAGAATTTGAGCTTGATTCATTCTGGTTCTTCAGTGGCTTTGTATCAGGGACTCAATGGAATGTAAATGATTCAGGTTGTTTTAACACATGTAGGAATAATCCTGCTGGAAATAATCACAGTGTTTAAAAGAATGTGGTGCCATCGTGTGGACTATATTAAGAAGTGTTTAAAAAAAAAAAAAAAAAAAAAAAAAGTTGCAAAAGAAAAAAGAAAAGGGATATAAATCTGAAAAATCTGTGGTTTTAAAATTGTATTAGATTAAAATCGTATTAGAGCATCAGGAATTGTTGATTGAATCCTGTTCATTTTCCAGCAGTGCAGGTAGTCCTTTCCCCTTTCTCATGATAGAGTGTGGAACAAGTTCAACCACCTAATTTCTTTCCACCAATCTTTAGATGTCAAAGCATCACATGACAGCTTGCATAAGTTTGGTCTTTACTGTTTTGGAAAATGTATGGTCACTCTTTTCAAAATTGTGACCCTGATTTGGGTTAGGAAGCATTGGTTAAAAACACCCAGAAGGCCAGTAATTGAGTGCAATTCAATTCAATATGTTCTAACTTCTTTTGCCACCAGGGAATGTGCAAGTAGGAAAATGAGCTTTTCTTGATTCATCAGCTTTTTTGATGTTGTGCATGAGTGTGTATAAGTAATCCTTTTGCCATCCACATATGATGAATTAATGAGATTATATTAAATTTTTAATGGCAGGTTTCCATATCTCTTCTTAACATAAACATTTCAAATGCTAAAATGTGAAAATCAGAAACAAAAAAAAATCAGAATCTAAGCAATCTCTGTCAGTTGGAATCTGGGATTTTTACGTTGTCACTTCATGAAACTCGTTCTTTCCTTTTCCTCCTGGCTGAGGTTCAGGTCTATGGAGCATTGTACCACCCTCGTCACCAGGATTTCCTGTAACTATTACCCAGTAATTCTTGTCTTCTTCAACTCGATGGGAGTCCAGGTAAGTGTGACAAATTACTTCATATTCCCTTCCAAAATAAGACCTGCAAAGTCAAAGAAAAGGGCGGGGAGGCAGGGTGTAGAATGAGTTTGTGTGCGTTCAGCAAGTCTGCATTAGCTGTAAGATGTTGAAGGTTTGCTCATGAAGATGACTCTGGCTACTTAAAAACCATGGCAAGCTTTCAGCCTTGGAGAACTTTTTCATCCTCAAAAAACTGATACAAAGTTCACAGTAATATTTAACCTGAAATGTAATGAGAAACAATTGGTGTACTCCTTAATGATACTTAATCAACATTATTTCAGTACATGCATGTTAAGTCAAATTGTTGAATTAACATTAATTTGTTATGGGATTCATATGGATATAAGAAATACAGTTTTGTGTGGTGCGTCTCTATTGAGTTCTTCACATACGAATTTTTCCTTAAAATATATACATACATATATATATATATATATATGTACATATAATTGTTCAGAATATTCAAAGGGAGAACTACCAAGACTACAGAAGCCTGGGAGCATGATGTGATAATATAAAGGGGAAAAAAAGGAAAGAAAAAAGTAAGACAGAGATGTTTGCTTGCAGCATCACAACAGAACACAAGAATTTAAAGAGGGAAAAGAAGAATGTGCATCCTGCATTCTTTGCCATTTCCTCAGTGTGCTCCTGAAGCAATTATTTTACTTTTTTCAGTGATTCTGGATGCCCTGAGCTGATATCTCATTAAGCATATCACTGCCAGCTATAAATTATTCTCACCTTGTCCAAAAGTTCCTTGGAACAGCTAAACTTCTATTAGTATGGCAATGAGTAATAATCAGTTTAGAGTTTGCCTGGGAAAAAGAAAAGGAAACACAAACAAAACAAAATACACGCACACACGCAGAAATACACTTGATAGATATTTTAAACTAACAACACTTATTTAAAGTGAATGCTTTAATTAGTACTGAATAGAAGTATGCATGGCTGTATATCAGTCTCAGAGTGCTGCAGATTGATAGTGAGATATTTTGTACTGTCAGTTCTCAGAATGATTATATCCATGATATTTTGTTATTTGCCCAGCACTTCAGGAAGCCTGCTTGTTATGTGGAATAGGAAAATACTGCAGCTGCTTCAACTTAAAGAAACGTATTTGGAAAAGCACCCATTTTTTCCAATGCCTCGATTCACAGAATCATAAGGGTTGGAAAGGACCTCTGGAAACCATCTAGTTTAACCCTCCTGATAAAGCAGGTTCCCTGCAGTAGGTTACAAGTAGGTTAGAGGATCAGTTCCCTCTGTGTGAAACCAAGTTATTCCCAGATACTGATACATTAAGCAGCATATTCCCACCTGCTTCTGCAGGTAGATGGATGTAAAAGATGTCTAATGGAAAAAAAGAATGAATTTAACCAGTGTTTGCAGCACAGTTATGATGTTTACAATGGAAATAAATGATAGAGGAACGAATGTGAACACCATGGTCTTCAAATGTAAAAGATAAAGCTTGATACATGGTTCTGTTTCAGCCTACTTTGACAATTAAATACTCAATACTTTTTATTTCCATTTTAATGACTTACAGGAATGGGAAATCCTTCATATTCAAGACGCAGTTGTGGATCCAAGAAGGTTGCTTGCCAGCACGTCAAATAGGAAAGCTCATCTGTCAAAAATACTTGCTGAAGGTAAGATTTTTTGGCAAACCTCATAAATGACTTATGGTCACTTGCTAGATATAACTGTAGATTGAAATATACATGAAGGATACATAAATATAGAAGGAAAAAGACATGTAACTTAAAAAAGAAAAACCAGCACAAAAAATTCCCTTTGCTTCTGAACAGTCTGCCAAGCTACAGCTACACATTTCAAAACACTACAATAGGTTCTAAAATGTCAATAAATTCATGAAGTAGACCAGTGAATATTAACTGAAAATTGATTTTATGTTCCAAAGACTCCTTCAGATCCAAGTGACAGTTGAGAGGGAAAATGTTATCATAGTTGATGTGATTTATTTTGAGCATCAAAATAAATTTCTGATGCTTTCCTTCTGACTTGCAAAGGGAAACAACATTCACATTTAATAGAAATCTCCCCCTGATTTGTTACTTCATACACAGACTGTATTTTTTCTTCACAAGAAAGGAAATTTTCTTCTTGGATTTTTTTTCTTTTTCCTTATTTAAAATCTGCATTACCCATCATTCTGGGTCACTGTCCCCTTGGACTGCTCAACTGATCTCAGACAAGTCCCATAAACTTTCCAAATATATATTATATATTTGGATTTGCAGATGATTCTGAATCTGTTCTGTAAAGCTAAGACACTGCACCACTGTGCAATTTGAAATATATAGTACCTAAATGCACACTATCAGTACATGCCATCAATTGCCATTTGCAACTTTGTTCCCTTACCATTGGATCAGAAAACCCTCCTGTTGTTCCAAGACCAAACTTTTGCCCAAATTTAACAGGTTCACCCACTGATTCTCCATCAACGCTGTTAAAAATGTAAAGAAAACAACGAGAAATTCAAATATATCAGATTTTCTAGAATTTTAAGTTCTTGTTTACTGAAATGATATTTCACAAATTACTTTTGTGAATGCACTTAATTATAAGCACCTGAAAAATCAGGGACTGGAAGCAGAACACTGCCTGTTGCTTAACATCAGACGGTGTTGATCACATGTTGATATTTAGTAATCAGGTTTATCACATCAATGTACATGCTGATATATCTGTATTTTCAGAACAATTTCTGTATTTTAAATTAAAAGATCACCGAATTAAATGCCAGGCTGTTCTAAGTACATTCAGAGTAACTTACATAGCTGATAAAACCTGTGGTCGGTTAATGAGAGCCCTGAAAGTGTTTGGTGTCAGTGATTGAAGGATCATACAGAAGCTGGGCAAAAATACTTTGGTTGCATTTCTAGAAACCCTAAATTGGCTTCAAAATTGTTTACTGTGTCTAACCCAAAGCATTTTGATCAGTCAGGATTAGTTTGTACACTTGTGCACTTTAAGTTGTTATACTTAAATACATGCACTAAGGAAGAGCCTTCCACTGTTGAGCAGGGACTTGTTCTGTTACTTCTCCCACAAGCAGCTGGAGTTAAATGTGTCCTTGAGAGACAACACTCTGTTTGATGGAGAGGTCTTTTTTGGGACAACTGAAGCACTGTCCACTGTGACTCAAATTTCTGCTTCAGAGACATTAATTGCACAAGAACAAATAGTATTACTGATATTCTGCTTTCACACCAGTTCTGTGCTGATTTAAACTTCCTTGAAATTATTCACAGTAATATGCGTAGCATATTACTACATAATACTTAGTAATACTTAGTAGTACTTAATACTGCATTACTACATAAGACTTAGAGTCTTTCTTCAATAATTTAATCTTACTCAAACTCTTCTGTATTTTAGCAAAATTCATTGCACTTCTCTCAGAACAAGATACCAAAAGCTAACGTCACTGAAAACCTATGAAACTATGGAAAAGAATCATAGAACGGCTTGGGTTGGAAGGGACCTCAAGGATCATCAAGCTTCAACCTCCCCACCGCAGGCAGGGCTGCCAACCTCCATATCTAAAATCAGACCAGGCTGCCCAGGGCCCCATCCAACCTGGCCTTGGACCACAACTTCCGTGGGCAGCCTGTTCCAGCACCTCACCGCTCTCATATGAAGAACGAAGTTGCCGTACCTTAAAATACAGAACGTGTTCCTTCCCACAGGGCTGGTGGTGGTGATGGCACTCAGTGCGCAGGGTGCATGCAGAGCCACAGCTGAATAGACGGACACCTCCTCCAGGTTAACTGCCAGCGTCAGCTCACCGTGTGCCTCAACATCACGCTGCACTGAGGGCTCCTTGCCCGGGCTCAGGAGCATCACCGTGTCTCCAAAGCAAACGAATCCATCCTTAGACACCGACAGCTGCACCTAAGCCAAAACACACCGCATTTTGTACTGAGTTATCCGAATTTGGCATCAGGGGTGCTTTAGATATCAAATGCTAGCATTGGGAATGCTGACAAACAGCTTCTGCTGTTCCCTGCTGGGTCGCGAAGGGCTGACAAAAACCTTTAAAAATGACCTTCTTTAAAAGGTTATCCTTCAGTCTGTTGATTTTCTGCATTAGAAGTTCTCCCCGTTCTCTCTTCTGCATGAAGTCCCTCAGGCGCTCCTGTTTGAGTAGAGGGAACACGGCGTTACCCGGCGCTGCAACGACGGCTTACAACAGAACTAGGGGAAGCTCCACGAGGAGAAGAGGCAGGCGAGGCTCCCGGAGCTGGAGCGGAGGCCCCGCTGTTTGCCCACCTCCTCCAGGCACGCCTCCTCCTTCCAGTTGCCCATGAGAACCCCGGGCCGGTAGGCAGCCATGATGGCGGGCGCTGCGGGGCCGCACGGCGTCCTCTCTCACCATGGCGACCAGTCCGGCCGCCAATTGCGCGCTGGAGGGGCAGAGTCAGCCAATCAGCGGAGAAAACGTAAGAAGGGGGCGGGGCCCAAGAGCTGCAATTGGTGCTGAAGCGAGCCTGGAGATCCCAGTGCCGCCTTGGGCAGCGCGGCCCTTAGGTTTCGTACCTCTAAGAATTGCTGAAAGTGATGCTCGTGGGTTGCAACGAAAGCAATGTCTCCTACTTATTTCCCTGGAAACTGCAACAGACACAAAAGCACAATAACATTATTCGGTAGAGCAAATTCTCAGCTACAAAGCGCTGCTTTGTCACATAGGCACCACCATTAGCTATGTATTTTCACCAGCGATGAACCAGAGCCTGTGTGCAGAGCCTGTAACAAATCTGCTCCAGCAGAAGTGTCCCAGTCTTACTGACAGCACTGCTGAAATGCAACACCACTTCCTTGCTGTGCTCACATCCACTGGCTGGTCTCTACAAACATTCAGCAGGCATCAGTGAATGTCAGTGGCTGCAATTATTTCTGCATGGAGGAGGAATTCAGTGCTACCCCTCTGCTCCATCTGCACTTCCTTGTCAGATGCCATTTTGTCACACGGCCCCTCTGTTGCCATCTGTCCCACAGCAACAGCATGGAGTGGGATACTGGTGAGAAGGTTCAGCCTCTACTGCCAGCCCTCTGACATCTGCCTCTGATGTTATAGGCCAACATTACAAGACAGGAAGCATTACTGCATGCTCATATGTGTACATACTTTGATTCCCTTATGTTTTAATGACACACAGTCTCACAGCAGGCTTTATTTATAACCACATGAACTTCTGCAGCCTGTATTGGTCAAGCAGGTGCATTAGGCTAACACAAGCACGGAGCCAACACTGTAGCTCAGGTGAATGTGGTGAATGCATTGAGTGAACTTTGGTTACATATGGTCTGATTTTTGGGTGGTCTTGTGTGGAACCAGGAGTTGGACTCGATGATCCTTAATGTGACCCTTCCAATCTGGGATATTCTATGATTCTGTTCTTCTTTGTGAATATAGTATGGGGTTACTCTCCAGACAGCTTAACCCAATGATTTTCAGTGATGGTGCAGATCCTTGCTGAAGACACTTCATCCTCTAATGGCTGCTCTTGCATCTTACTGTTTTCAAAGCCGGCCGACTTAAAAAGCTTAAGAGAAAACATGTTTTTCATAAGGAGCCACGATGCTATTTCTGCCATCAATTTGCATGAAAGCAGGCTGACTTTTCTTCTTTTCTTTTTTTCTTTTTTTTTAATCTTTCTTTTTTTCTTTTTTCTTTTTTTCCCTTCTGTTTGTTTTCTTCTCACCACAAAAGCTTTTCAGCGTATCCCAGAGCCATTGAGAGGACTAAATAAATCCATATTCGCTCCCATAGCACCACTCCGTGGTCAGCTCTGGTAAGTGAGGTTTTCCTGCACCCGATTTGGAAGCGGTGCTAGAACTGCTCAGATGGAATAGGGAACTTTGTTCATCCTGGCCAAATATGGAAATCCAACAAGTTTTTGGAGAAAAGTGTAATTAATTTCCTATGTTACCAATAGTTTCTGCTTAGTGCTCAAACTTACTTTCATGCTTTTCACAGACAGGCAGTTTTGATTGGGGTTTGGTATCCTGGCATGCAAATGTTAATGTGGGCCTATCGAAATTTAGTTCAAAGCAGCAAAATCCTAGAATCAGAGAATGGTTTGGATGGGAAGGGACTTTTAATGGTGATCTAGTTCAAACCTACTGACATAAGCAAGGATATCATTCTCTAGTTCAGGTTGTCCCCAAAATATTTTAAATTAAACGCTTTACCTTGCTTATCTCAGTGTCTAAAGAGTTTATCTTCTTTGTGTTTATATTTTTTGTTTGTTCATTTGTTTCAAAGCTAATCCTCTTTTAATTCGATATTCAATAATAAATCATAACCAAAGAGCTACATGCTATACTGAGCCATGTTACTAAGAACATGTGCTCTGGGGCCCTGGGCAGCCTGGTTTAGCATTAAACGGTGGAGGTTGGTGGCCCTGCAATGTGGCAGGGGGGTTGGAGATTCATGATCCTTGAGGTCCCGTCCAACCCTGGCCATTCTGTGAATTCTGTGTGATTCTGTGATTCTGGAAATGTGGTTAATATATAGGCTGCACTGCCTGCTTCAATAGATTTGGAGCCTTATCTTGTGGATGAGTTTGTACTTATTTACTTAGATCTGTATGCAATTGTTACAGAAGTGTATGTATTCAAAATAGAATTGTTCACAGAAATTCATTCATGCGTGTGTAGTAGGATGATGCAGTCACTATCCTTGTTACTGAAAATGGTTTCATTTCCCATTGCCTAGTATTCCATGAAAAGAAACAAAAGGAGGTTTCCTTACACACGTATGTAAGTTGAATATCTTTTCTGTTGGGAAGTTTACAGGTCAATTTAGCTTTGGTCAATTTCTTTTTCATCACATTGAATCTACATTTGCTCCTAACAATTATTGGCTTTATTAAGTGGAATTGTTTCATGTTTTGTTTGCTAACTTATGCCAGTGTACCAACCGACCAGATTTAAAAGTATGTTTTAATTACTGAAAACATTTTTTCTTTTTTTCTTTTTTTTTTTTTTTCTTTGATAATAATTTTAGTGTAATGGAGTCTCCTCTCTTCTTCCCTTTCCCTTCATGGAAGAGAAATGAATGGTTGAGAAGACCTAAAATATCTATCTAGACCATAAGTTTACTTGAAAGTATGAACAGTTTCAATTTTTAATTGCCTCAAAATTGTCAGTAATGTAGGACAGAGCATGTTATAAATAATTTGACATATGCATGCATTAGTATGTGTCAATAATACAAATTAAAATAGGTTAGTCAAATCTGGCAGAAAGAACAAGACGTGAACATTAGATAAGTCTGAGAACAGGGCAGGCCATCTATATTTAGAGGAATCAACAGAACATTAAGTAGGTCTGTGAGCTCTTACAACACGTGTTTTCAGGATGAAAACATGATTTTTGTTTGCATTACAGCTGTTGGGCAATTTCTGAAATTCTGTTCATACTGACAAACATTCGAGGAATGTTTAATCATGTGTAGGTTGGATGAGAATATTTTTAATCCTGTCCTTTTTGGCCTTGGGAGAATATCTATGTTTTGTCTTGTTTTGCTGTCTTTAGTTTTTCCTTTCAGTGTTAAGAAGGAGCCTAATTTGATTAATGATACAGAATAAATAGCACTACACAGGAGTAAAACATGTTCATCAGGACAATGTCTCCTTTCACTTTGTTACTTCGCACCAGCGTTATTCTGGCACATGCTAAAAATCAGAGTGTAGCTATCATTTCTACTTACTGTTATGAGCTTTTTGGCTGTTAAGATGATTAATCAGCTTGTTATTAATATAACTCCAGTTCCTTATTCTCATCTATTCCCCAAGCACTCATCCATTCACAGCACAAAAAGCATTAAGTATTTTATGTGCAAAGATTTAAGGACTGTTGTTCTGCCAGATGTGTGTTCTGCTGTCTCCCATTCTGGCTGTGAATTTCCACACAAAGTTTTCCTGTAGTATTTGTTACTGAGGAGCAGTAATTTCTGAAATGCAGTTGTGCATTAAGCAGACCTCTTGGTCTACTTCCAACAAAAAAGGGGTACAGGATGCTTATGTGTTGTACTGGCAAAAAGTATGCTGATTTGGAAATTTTCCCAATATCAGAGCTGGCTGAAGATGTCCATAATTGCTATGATTTCTTTCCTGGTGCTTTATAACCAAAAGATGCTCCAGGAGAGAGAGAAATGTGCCCAACACAGTCAAACACTTGCCAGTTAAAGTTTGGATTGTTGTCCACATCTCTGTGGTAGATTCATTCTTTTATATCTGCAATTTAGACCTTTTCAGAACATGTCCTGTTGAGAAATTGTTGTAAAAATGAATGTTTTCTCTTCCAATTGAGCTGTTTCATCAGAATGAAAAAATATTGTAATCTCAGGAGCAGTAAATTATTATAAGAATACAGAAATATTAAAGTCGGCCCTCCAGGAGCAATAATTATTTTGCAAAGAATTCCATATTAATTCTGAAGGAGCTAGAATACTTCCATCAGCTAGAAATAGCTTAGCTGATGACTACTGTTTATCAGCCCCTGCAAAAACACTCCTAACAAAGCTATATTCCTTCCTGTGTTTATCCACACAGCTGTGCATTAGGTATGTCTGCCTCAGGCAATTTAATAATTCTCATTTTTCTAGTTGAATTATTGAATTATCTACATGAATTATTTGCCCAAGGTTCGTGACCAGAGCAATGAGAGTAGCCATGCTATTGGCCAGGCTGGGATTTGGACTCAGCGGTTTCTTGAGATCCTTTCCAACCCTTGTGATTCTGTGGAAGGTTTGTATTTAATTTGCAGCCTTAAATGCATGATAAGCTCCCAGTTGGCTGCTTTTAAGTACTGTTTACTATGGATCTCCTTGAAGAGAGTTTTGGTAAGTGATGTTCCACCCTACTTCCAATGTATTGAGTGCATTGCACTTACTGAACTACAAAGTTCTGTCATCACCCCCAGTTACTGACACAAAATCATTGTGGTGAGGTGTGGCTGTATTTATAAAGGCTGGAAATCAGGTCATTGTCTCTCTTGTTTACTGATCTGTTTAAACTTTGGTTTCCATGAGTACCCATGCTTGAGATTTTAAAATTTGCTTTTTGTTAGTTTGTTAGGGTTCTTTTTTTTCTTTCTTTCTTTTTTTTTTTTTTTCCCCCTTACAAAAAGCAATAGCATGCTTGTCTGTAGAAAAAAAAAAGAACTCTAAACTCTGTAACTTCAGCTGACTTTGACTTTAGGGTTGTTCAAGTATGCAGTCCTGCCACTGTGAAACTACTGCACTTGAAACTGAGAAGCGACATTTTTGTGTGACCTCTTGTGAACCCAGCTGTTTCTGTCTCTTCCCACTTTAGGGCTGGCTATAGATAGCACTGAGGGTTGCCTCTGCTTCCCCGTTTAGCCCTGCCAACAGAATGATCTTTATCTTCTATGGTGAATCGCCT